GTAAATATTTCTTAAAACTAAATAGTTATAGCCATAAAGAAACTGAAACTTTGTCGAAAAAATTTATGCAAAGAAATGAAAATGACCATAAATAAAAAAGAAATGAATGAAAGAAATTCAAATTTTGATAGTTTTATCATAAAATTCTTGTGCAACTTTCTTCACATCAAAGCGACGAATTTTTCCCGAAGGTGAAGTTGGAAAATTCTTCATAAATTGAACTCCACCTCGTAACATTTTCGCGTCAATGACTTTATTGTTGACGTATTCAAGAATGTAATCAGCACTGAGTTGTTCCTTCGTTGGATCTTTCTCGACAAATCCAAATATCAAATCATTTCCTTTATCTTGTTCAAAAACTCCAACAACGCAAGATTTCTTCACACCGTCAATTTCGTTGATGATTGTTTCAAGTTCTGATGGATAAACCTAAAAAATTCTTCATGTAAAGTTGTCAAATGAAATGAAAAATTTAAAAATCTTACTTGATATCCATTGAACTTCAAAACATCTTTCTTCCGATCAATAATAAATAAAAATCCTTCTTCATCAAAATATCCAATGTCACCAGTAAATATCCAGCCATCTTTAATCGTTGATTTCGTGCTTTCTTCATCATTAAAGTATCCCGAAAACAAAACTGAAGGTTTGACACAAATTTCTCCTTCTTCATTTGTTCCAAGTTTTGTTCCGAAATCATTGACAATTTTCATTTGAACATTTGGAGCTGGAACACCAACAGAACCAGCACGATGTGAAGAATTAAATGATTCAGCTAGGAAGCCTGCTTCAGTTGTTCCATAACTTGAAGAAATCATTCCATTAGGGAGAAAAGGTTCGATTGCTTGACTGATCCCTTTTGAAAGAATCGATCCACTTGCCATCAACACTTTGACACTCTTCAATGGCATGAAATCTCTATTACGAAGTAAAGCAACTAAGGCTGATGGCGATGTCAAGAAGTGAGTGATTCGATAGCGACTGAAAATGTTAATCATCCAATCGGGATCAAAGTCTTTGGTCGTTATGATTCTCTTCAAATTGTAAAGCGTTCCAACAAGAACGAACCACAATCCACTCATCCAATAAAGTGATGAGAAGTTAAATAAAACTTCATAATTACACTCTCTAAGATTCCATGCCGGAAGCATTCTCTCAATTAATTGAGAGTGTGAATGACAAACACCTTTTGGCAGGCCTGTTGTGCCCGATGAACACAAGATAACAGCTGTTAGTGTGTCCACGTGCTTAGTGTTTGGGAAGCTAAGAGCGTACAAAACAAAAATTTAATGAAGCGATAACAGAAAATAAACAACTGACGTTTACGAATTCGATGCTTACACGAAATTTTTTTCATCAAAATCAACAAGAATCCAGTCGTCGATGAATTGTAGACCCGCAACTTTTGTCATTAACGTGAAGATAACCGGCTTAATTGTCATCTTATCGATGGCACCTTGAACGTTTTTCGCGATGTTTCCATCGCAAAAAATCGCTTTTGGTTTCGTCTTTGAGTACATAAATATGATGTCGTGTTCATTCATGACAGGTGATAAGAAGTTAATTGGTAATCCGAGTAATAAGCAAGCAAACACAACTGGCGCTAAATTTTCACTATTTGCTGCAATGACTCCAACAACATCTCCTTGTTTCAAGTTAGTTTCCATCAGATAAGAAGCAATTTTCATCGTTCTTAAACGCATCTCACGACAAGTCATTTCTGCGTCGGTATCAGCTGACACTTGGGTCACCATGTCAGGAGTTTTCTTCAGAACATTGAGTATCAAGTATCCTAAGTTCACATTAGAATTGTAAATCACATCGTACTTGGCACCACTCCAAATCTTTTTCTCAGGATCGTACAACTTCATAATTATAAATTATAAAATTAATTTCAATCAGAACACTTCGACCATCAAAATGTAACTGAGAGTCATATGAACTGACTCTGTTTGTATTTATTTTTTTGTTGTTCTTCTTTTGTAGTTGTTTTGCTTTTGTGTCACGCAGATAGACGTAAATTTCAAATATTCATTCTAGTGAAGATCTTTTTCTATAGAAAAAGAAATGATAAGAGAGAAGCGAAGTGAGATAACAAAACTAATTGAGCGAAAGCTTCTAAATGAAGCTTTCAAAAAGCTTTTTTAAATTTTAAATGATTATCTTTCTAATTTATTTAAAACACAACAAAAACAAGTTTCCAATTTCAGATTCTTTTCACAACCTCTATTAATGCCACAACGATCGACATTCAATTTATTTCTACAAAACATTCAAAGTCATTTGTTAAATTTCAGGAACTTTCAAAGTTTTACTGCTTGTTGGCTTGTCATCACTTTTGACAGTCCCATTCACATTTTTCTCATCACTTCTTAAGCTTCTTTTAGAAGGTGGTGGTTGAAGAACAATCGAAGGACTTCGAAACATTTGTTCATCATTACTAACGTCTTCAGGAAAGTCATGTTCACAATGATGTTCCTTACATATTTTACATTCATAAATATTTGGTTTTCCGGTATTTTTAATTCTCTAAAAAGTTTCAAGAAATTATTTGGTGATTTGAAATGCCTTAAACTTTACTTACCTCCCAAAGTGAACTTCCTTCATTGTTATAAACATTGAAGATGGCGAAAGCTGGAATGCAAAGTATTGTGGCTATGACAACGCCCCAACCAATTATGTGTGCCCAGAATGGATATTCATAAGTTCCATTATGATATGTTAAAGGTTGGTAATTGATCAATGCAAGAATCATAATTCCCTGGTAATCAAAGACATTAAAAATTACGAAAGTGTTGAGATAATTGACCAGATATTTACCAGTAGCAAAGCTGGTGCTGCAATAAACCAGCAAAATCTAAAGTAAACTGATGGATTTTTACTCGTCATCTCTTTAATGTTCTTCATAAGTCTTGTGATTCCATAGAACCAAGAAATCGCTACAATTTGAAAGAATGCCACGAAGAGAACTGTAATCGAAGCCACATAATGATCGATGAGTAGAAAGAAGTAAATTCCACCTTGAATGATGTTTGGAAGTCCGAAGAAGAAAGCAATTGCACAGATTATGAGAACGAGAATCTCATGATAAACAAGCTTCTGTCGAATCCAATTTGGAAAACCATCTTGAATCGATGTCACGACAACTTCCACAATAGCAAACTGAGAGTTTAATCCAAGACAGAGAAGCATGAAGAAGAACAACACTGACCACAGTTGAGGTGCTGGCATTCGTGCTAGAGCTTGAGGGTAAACAATGAAGATCAATCCAGGACCGTCTTCAATGACTTTATTGATCGGAAGATTCTGCTCATAAGCTATGTTGCCAATAGTCGCAAAGGAAAAGATTCCAACCAGCATCGAAGTTAAAAAGTTAACAGACGACACCGCGACGACGTCATGAAGAACGTTGTTGTTGTATTTGTTATAACTTGCAAATGAGATCATCGAACCGAATGCGATGCCAAGTGAATTGAAACTTTGACCGGCTGCATTAATCCACACATTTGCACTGGTCAACTCACTCCAATTCGGTCTAAAGAAGAATTGCAAGCCTTTCTCAGCACCTTCAAGTGTCAAAGATCGTGCGAGGAAAATGATAATCAAAACAAAAGGAAAACTTGCTGTAAAGTATCGAATTTTTGTTGATGATTTGATTGATTTCCAGATTGCAAAGTACACGAGAAACCAAGCACAAACCAAACATGCAACAAGATCCCATCGGATTGCGCCGGGATATTCAATTCCCTCCGACATTTGAAGAACTTTATTTCTATTTTTTTTAGATAAAAGAAAAACAAAGATAAAAATCACATTCAGTAATGGAAATGTACAAATTTCATGAATCATTCGGTAAACTTACTGAAAGAACTCTTCAGTGGGTGTTTGCGGATTGTCAGGTCGTGAAAGATTCATCATCTTTCTTTGAAGTGTCCAACAATCTGGCGTTGTCTGAAATATTTTTGTAATCAAAAACAATAAACAATTTGATTTAAAGCACTTGACTTACCCATCTTGGATTGATGCATCCAGTCCATGGCAGTTCGGAACGAAATGATGTGAAGAAGAAGTAAATTGAGTAAGCAATGATGACGCTGTAGTAAGATGACATCAAAAATGAAACAATCACGCTGGCAAGACCAACACCTGGAATTGAAGGAATTTGGAAATTGTAAACATTTCTACGTCATGTCATGTTGACAAGTCAATTTCAATCCTAGATTAATAAATGACAATAAATAAACGTCATTTGAACGAAATCTTTTTAATGGCTTATTAACACGTGGAGTTTTCATATCAAACAGTAAACAAGTCCAATCAATTGCTGGTTGTAAATTTTCTTGATTTTATTTTCTTTTTTAACGACTGCTTAAAGTGTTTAACTGTGATCGACTTTTCTGATTAATCGGTTCAAACTCGTTAAATGAAATGACGCGATATGACAATTATTGATTGTTAAAATGTTTATTAAACGTTTGGTGATTTATTTAAGTTGAAATGAAGTGAAATACCTTTGAACAGTGGACAACATTGCCCAATCGCTCCGATCACTCCGCGTCCTGTGAATTGGCCAATCGAAAGTTCCATGAAGAGCAATGGAACTCCACAAATCAAAAGTGTTATGAAATATGGCAATAGGAAAACGCCTGAAAATTCAGCAAATATTCAAGGGAGGAAATTGTAAATTATTTCAAAGCACAACTCACCTCCCCCGCTTTTGTACATGATGTATGGGAACCTCCAAACATTTGACAGTCCAACAGAATATCCGATACAAGCCAGAACAAACTGCATCTTACTTGTCCAATACTGCCTTCGTGGTTTGAGATTTTTGTCGTCATCGACACAATCTGAATTATCGAAACTTTCATTGTCGAAAAGATCTTCAGGTGGTCTGATAAAAAAAAAGTTGAAAATAAATGAAACGTCACTTGAAACATTGAATGTTAACTCCCGAATTTTGTTCTTCTATGTTCTCAAATTTAATAAATTCACGTTCTAAGAGTGACAACAAGGCAAACAAACAACAAATTAACATTGCCTGACGCTCAAGGCTATACAAAGAGAAGATTCATCTCTGAGCTAGTTTTAAATCTTTTGAACCTTACAGACTTTGGTCAGAAGTCTTTTTTAAATTACTTTTGAACTAATTGACGAAAGAAGTAAATCGTTTCATCGTATCCTTTATCTCCGAGATTTAACTTTGGTGCAGTTGTTGACTTGTAAGGCGATTCTTTCATATTCGGCGGCATCTTCAAACACTTTTCAAGTAAAATTACTCTTTGCAAACTTCCGACTGTTCGCTATGATTTAACAGAGATAACTAAGCAAAACTTTGTATCAAAAAGAGATAAAATGATCGCAATGGAAACTGGAATGATAATGAAAAGATGATACATTTTATCGTGTTTACATTTAATGTATTCAAAAGATTTAAAGTTTTGTTTGCTTCTACGGTAAGATGCGAAGTGTGAATTTCCCTCATGAATGATAAAAAAAATCTCAAGACGACAGAAGACTGATGAAGGTTTGAAATGTTCTCAAAATTATGCAAAATTGACTGCTTTTTGCTTTCATAAACAGAAATTCCATTAAATTATTTTTTAGTTCACGTTCCAATTTGCAAAATAAAAATTGCATCTCGTTTCTATTTATCTTTTTAATAAATTATATCATGTTTGTAGATAATCAGCAGTTTTATTGGCATTTTATTACTCCCCCTCCCATATGATAATGACAATAGTAAATCATGATCATAAAAGTTTTATCAGCTTTTGTTTGCTTTGGAATTACACAAAGAGAAAAGATCATAAAGAGATGTCCTAAACACACGTTGAATGCTTCATAAAATTTACTTTAATATCATTAATGTAATCAAATTACTGGATCTTTATCGATAATTGAGCTTTTCAACTTATAAACAACTTAAAGGGTTTAATAAATGGATATTAATGAATATTTAATATCTGAATGCAGAAAATATAAATTGAAAAGTCAGACGATTTTTGAACAGATTTAATAAATTGAGGAAACTCTTCAACTATTCATGAATATTTGCTGACGTCGTTAGAAGTGAATGAGAGTGAAATTTCATGAAAGTAATTAGCAATAATTTATTTTACAAAATATGAAAATGAAAGTTGAAAAGAATTTAAAAGTCACAAAACAAAAAACTTTACTTAATAAAAAGTCTAATCACGAATTGGATAATTTTGAATGTGGTGATCAAGTTTCACAACGCGACTGTTATCGGTTTATAACTTTAATGAAAATTGTAAACAATTAAGCGAGTCTCGTGCGAGACAAACTGAAAACTGCAAAAGAATTATTCAATACATTCGGACGAATATTTTTTTGCGGAAAGCATAATTTTCAATTGAGTTTGACATCAACTGAGCGTTTTTGACATTAGCATTTGTCAAGTAGACATGGATTTGAAATTTTTGCTTACTTCCCATTCTTCTCAACGCTACAAATTTATGATTTCCTCATCTAATAGATTTGACAATTAATCTGCGTTACCGCGAAACATAATTGAAACAAGCTACGGCAATTGAATAAATGAATGGAAAGATTCAAGGTCAAAGAAACTTACGTTGGTGGGCTGATGTAGCTGAGTAATTCAGATGGTGAGTTTGGAACCCTCCTAATAACCATTCGACGGCCATCAGTTGAACCCATTCCGATTGATACAAGCGATCTAACCGAAGAAGCATCGGAGATTACTCGCGTTGATCCATTATCATTAAATATATACGAGCCAGATCTTGCCAGATGCACATATTTTGGACCCATAAATATGTTGGGGTTAGATGAAGTCACAGAAGGTTCACCTGAAGATTGTTGAATATCAGTTCACTATTGAATGATTTCTCAAGTCAAACTCACCTAATCTATGACCTCTCATGCTGATATGACTTTTAGATTTTGAGAAACTTGTTGATGGTGACAAGAACGGAGTTGTGGAAGTTTCAATTCCTTTTCCAGATTCCATCGAACCTGCTGGCACAATGACAAACTTTTTATCTCTAAGCGATTTGGGTTTAGGTTTTGGCGTCTTGTTGAGTGCATTAAATGTGAGTTCTGAGACGCCGTATTTCGGAAAGTTTTCATTGTCATAGAGTGCGTTCGTTTGCGAATCCATTGTGGGTCAGTTGAAACTTTAGATAATATCACATTTAATGATGCATTGCATTTGTATTCTTCTCAGAACCAGCTTAATTAATTATAGACGTTTTACAACTTTAGAAATACTTCCACGTTGTGCAACTTCTAATTGAGTCTGTTTAGTCACGATCAAACTTTATCACTTTGAAGTTCATTTATTTATGTTGATATTTATTAGGTGATTTTGTGGGACGATTTACGTGAATTATTATTATGTAACTGCAGACTGCAATTGTAGCAATTGACATAAATTGACTTTAATGCTACTCAATGCGATTTTACATTCACGTACGTCCGATGATTATCCACAGACAGCTTATCACTTTTATCTTTAATATTCTATGTTGATAATTCGGAATTTTATTCTCACATATTTCTGATTACATCATTTATGATTATTGTTAACTTATTTGGAATTTATATATTAAAGTAATGCCTCATGTTATCACGAAATATTTTCTTATCAATAAACTTAAAGGCGATGATATATTTCTTATCATTCGGTCATCGATACAAAACACTCGTCACTTACATCCACACACTGAGATTTGTTTTCTTTTTTTCTTGTGAAAATCGTCACATGTGTTAATCAGCTAATTGTGCTTGAAACTGTATCACTTAGGGATTCAATGTTGAATTATTTGTAACCAATAGCAAAGTTTCATTCAGCACAAAAGTTCGAGAGAAAATCCACTAATTGACGTACTTAGTTGTCGGAAGACATCAAACAAATCAGCTGTGAGTTCATTAAAACTGTCACAGTTTTATCGGTTTCGTCACGCAATTGTATTGTTTAAAATTTCATTTTGTTGACTTGAACTTTTTATCAATCAATTTTGCACTTTTTTTTCTTAATTTTGTTTTTCACATTTAAAATTCTTATTGAATTGTCTGGGGATTGAACGCGAACTACATCCAGACAGTTCTAAAGCTAATAATGCAATGATCTGCTTTGTTTAGTTCTCTGCTGAAATTGCCGTAAAGTTTTATTCTCCGATCATGTAGTCTGGACACCGTGATATCAACTGAAACGACAATTCTCTCAAACAATTTTTCTTGAGCGTAGAATTTGTTTTTGTTCAATTGGTAAATTAGTGTTTGAGCTTTTTAATCGAATTGACGGGAATGCGAGTAAAGATAAAGTTTTGTCATTGTATAAGCAGACAGTTCTCTTTGCAACGTTGACGCAGTGCGTTTCATGCTTTTATCTTCATGTCTAAAGTACTCGAATGAGAGTAAAACTTCTAAAATGGATAATTAATTTTACATTTTAATAAGTACTCTCGAAGATACAATTAAATACAGTGTGTAAGATATTAAATATGCATTTTATTGTTAATAGTACGAGATCGCATCTGTCTGTCATTTCCTCATAATAATAAATAAAGAAACTTGCAAATATATTGCGATAATAAGCTCATCAAGATAATCAGTGAAGTGTAGCACGTCATAATCATATGATTGATTAATTCAGCGATTAAGCTTTGAGTTCAATTACTTCTTTTATATAAGCATGTCTTTGGTAATGATGGATGACAAGCTTATTATTCTTTATCAGGCTTATCCTGAGATCAATTTCAATTGGGAAGTGAAAATGAACGAAAAACGTGTTGAACTTATTTTTCCAGTTGAATTCTTGTCTAATCTTGAGATAAATTTAAATTTATAGCTTTGGGCTAGAAACAAATATTGAAATTACGTCAACATTCTAACGTTAATATTTTATCTGAACTTTCAAAAAGCTTTCAGAAAGCTTTCGAAGCTTCAAACTTGATTTCATCAATTACACAATCATACTGCATTTCATGATGAATTTGATGGAAAAGTTTAAATTTCTTTTCGTTTAATTAAACTTCAATTAAAGAAGAATTTCATGAATTATGACTAAACTAGTAAAAATTTAATCATCAAAGATATGAAAATGATTAAATAAGTTAACCCATACGAATTTATGCAACAACTTTTTCTTGTTTAGATATCGACAGACCTCTCAAAATGTTAATTTCAAACAAATCAAGAAATCAAAAGATACAACACACGATTTCTTTCGCTCAGTCTTCCTTCAACTTTTGGTTTGTGCATATCATAAGATATGAGAAATCTTCGAACTTTTGCTGTAGCTGCTGGAACAGGAGCCTTGATAGCAGGTTTGCTAAAACTTGAACACTTTTTTTGTGATTTCGTTGAAAAAATTCCTGAAGTTTCATTCATTAAAATTCCATAACTGTTGAGTGTGTAAAATAAAATTTATTTACTTTAAAAAAGTATAAAATAATGGGAGAAATTCAAATCGGAAGTTCAAAAGTTCAATACGAAAACTTTCGACTTAAACATTCATTGAATAAAATTAATTATTTTAAATCAAATTTAGTCAACATTTCAACAATGAAAATATTTGAATGAAATGCTTCACGTGCAATAATTATTGCCTAAGAAATTACATAAAACAAGAAAAACCAGTTTGGCGGCCTTGACCAACCACAATCAAAGCATTGAAATAAAAGAAAAGTTTTTCTAAAACAAAACAAGATAAAATTCTTACAAGATGTATGAGAACCGTAATTAACCGTAACTTATGAGCTTTCTCCAAGTTGTTTTCCTAAAATTACGATGAAATAAAAAGTAGAATCCAATCGAGTATCACAAAATAAAAATAAAAGAGAAATATTGAGCGGAATGAACAGCGAAGAGAAGAAATTAATTTGCGAGGCGCCTAAAGAATGAGACAGAAAATGTAAACGGCATGAAGCTGTAGTCGGCACAAACAGAATTGTTGTCGTTACTACTGTATGTGTTGTGATATGAATGAGATACAAATCGACAACTGTCGGTGTTATTTTTTTCGTGCTGCTATATTTACATTGCTACAATTAAAGAATACATTTCAGTCTGTGTTTAACTTGCAAAGCCAACACGTGAACGCAAGAGATTGAACGCTAAAGTTCTTAAATAGATAATTAAATATTTTCTTTTCTAGTCTAAATTTAGAGAGAAAATAAAAGAAAGTTTCAAAATTATTTCTGCTGATTTAAAAGCGTGAGAAATGAATTGGAAAATTGTTGAGTTTAAAATCATCTGTTAACCAATCCGGAAAACCTTTCAAGTAAACAAAACTTAGTCAGAAAACTTTCTGACTTGTTGGTGACTCATAAGTTTAAAATTTGTTGTGTCAAAGTTTACTTGTTTATAAGAACTTTAGTGAAAACATGAAGAAATATATGAATCCAAGTGAGTAGAACGTCGTTGCATTCGACAACTTGAAATTAAGTTACAAACTGATGAAATAATAATTGAATTAAAATATCTACATGATATCTGCATGACGATAAATACGAAATTATATTTACATTTGCTTGATATGCCATCGATTAAGCCAAGTGGAAGATAAAATATGAAATTGCCAATGATTGAAAACGTTGTTGACTAACGACACTCACGCGACAAATAAATTTCCTAAATTGAAGTTGAAACTTACACAGGGGAAACTATTGATTGCCTTTGCCGTAACTACACAGCTTTCGAACTGATTTTACAATGACTTTGCCCTTGGAATTTGGTCAGAATGATCTGCGAGAAATTATGTGTCTTGAAGATGAAACATTTATGAATATCGAAAAGGAGTTGCAAGCCTTCTTTAAATGGACAACTGTCAATGACATTTCATTTTGGAGCTCATTCTCATTTTCATTACATACCAAAATCAGTAAATTCTTTAAACAGAAATAAAACGGAAGACATTGGTAAACCAAAAATGTTGAAATTTGGTAGAACCGCAAAATAATTTCAAAGTTTCAACAAGAGATGATGAACGAATGAACTTTGCAATTAGATTTCAAGAGAATTTTAATTGAATGCTTCAACCTTATTTGTGTGTGTGTGTGCAAATTGTGAGAATTTATTACATTCTCTGATTACTAATTAATTTCCATATTTTCCCTTATAAAAATTATTTCAAATTTGGTTTAACAAACTATTTAACATTTCTGATAATTTTGAACACATAAGTAAACCTCAAACTTATCAATTTCAATGCTTTATGGGAATTTACTGAATGGCAAATATTGTACGAATTATTATCGGAAACAAATTTCAAGTTAATATTTGTGGAGATATATCTTGATAATTCAAACAGGAATGTCATGTGAATGAGGAATTGATTCATTCATTAAATTCATTCGTATTTTTAAACAGATTTAGAATGCAAACAATGATATGTTCTTTTGAATTACACTCGACAGAACATGTGACTCACTTGACATTCGTAGTCACATACGTGAACCGTCAGCCGTTAAAATCATAACTAAATCTAACTTTTCTATCATTCTTCTACGTAGGATTATGGATTGGACTTCGAGCGACAAAAGCAACATTGGATTCAGCTAAATTCATTTTATTTTATGGGTAAATTTAATTCATTTAAAATGTTTCGTTTTAAAATTGAAAGTGACAAAGGGACGAAAAATCAAAACTTGTTATTAAATTAAATAAAAAACTATTTCCTGGTCACGTTGAAGCATTCTATGGTAATTAACATCTCACTGATTCAGATGAATTTTAGAAATGTTGATCACCTTGTGACTTAAAGTTTTTGCTATTAAATTGAACAATTCGTGATTAGAGAAAAGCATGAAAAATCGCAAAATTAATCATTAGTGAAAATCCTTGAGATCTAAGAAACTTTTCTTCTTTTTATCGATTCCGATTATAAAACTACAAATCATCAGTAAAACGTTAAACGAACAACGTGCTTTCACATTGCCGAAAGCAGTAGAAATTCTAGAGCAGGAAGAGTTTGACAATGCAAAGCCGACTGTAATCTACATACATGGATTTATCGAAACTATGGCAAACGAAAGCATTAAAGTTATCGTCGATGCTTATCAAACACGTGGAGATCACAGTGAGTTCTATCAGTTTACTCAACCCACTTAGGATTGAATTTCAATTTCATGCTTTTATGATTTCCGTAGATATCATCATATTGGATTGGGGTGAGTTAGCCGATGGAAATTATTTACTTGATGCTGTTCCCAATTCAGTGAAGGTAAATTTCTCGACATTATTTCAACATCACATGCTTCTCAATAATAATATTTCAGCTTGGAAATATCCTCGCGGATACAATTCTTGATTTGGTTAATAATGGACTTGATGTCAACAAGCTTCATCTGGTCGGACATTCGCTTGGAGGTCAAATGGCCGGATATATAGCAAGGAAAATTAAGGACAAATCGTGCAATACAATTAAGCTTAAACGAATTTCAGCCCTGGATCCAGCTTTTCCACCTTTCTATCCCGGAGTATTTGTTAAACCACTCAATAAGAAAGACGCAGAATTGGTGAGTTAATTTAGCTTTCAATTTGTTGAAATTCTTAACAATTATTTAATGTCTTTAGGTTGATGTGATTCACACTGATGCATGGCTTTATGGTGCACCAGCATCAACAGGAACTGCAGACTTTTGGCCAAATAGTGGCAAAACTCTTCAACCTGGATGTCCCAAAAGAAACTACAAGATGTTAAGTGAAAATGATTTGTGTAGTCATCGTCGAAGTTGGTATTTCTGGGCTGAAAGTGTTGCAAGAAAACAAGAGAAAAGTTTTCCTTCAATCAAATGTAAATCGTGGAATAATTTCAAAGAAGGACGTCATGAAGGAACTACTGAGATAGCTTACATGGGAATAGACTGTCCATTGAATGCAAGTGGTGACTATTTCCTGCAAACAAACGGTGAAACTCCATTCTCAAAAGGAATGACGGGAACCGTTTATGAAGCGAAAAAGTCTAAGACTTGAATGCTGTTTTAAAATTTGACGAAAATGAATTTGTGATGTGTTAAGAGAACTATTTATTATTGACATAATGACTATTAAAAGCTGTTTTTAAAGAAGATTTAAGACAAAAGTCCATTAGACCAAAATTTTGAATATTTTAACATAAAAAATGGTTTCACACCTTTAGATATTTTACAAAACTGTGTCGTTGATTTATATTAAATAATTTAATTTAATTAATAGACTCACAGAGTTAGCTAGCAGTCCAATTTAAAGTTACAAATTGTTAAAAGAATTTTCATTGATGTACATAATTAAATGACAATTCTAAAATTTAAAGAAGAAAGCTTGAAATTTCTTATTTGAAAGATTTTTCTGTTCTTAGAAAATGTTAAGTCCAATAAGAATAAGAATCATTATTGTTTACAAAGTAGACATTACTGTTGAGACTCTGACTTTCAGAGCATAATATTTGAGACAATTAGTGAATGGTAAAATATTATTAATTAACGTCAAAGAAGTTTCATTCATGAATAGAATTGCGAATAAATACGAACATAAATTTTGCTAATTTCTTAACAACAAAGCTCATGAAAGAGATTGACGAATGTCAAAGAGACAAAAAATGTTCCAAAATAATATTTATTAATAAAAAATATTCAATTCATCATTATCAGTTCTTATTGGTTACCCCAGCAATAAAAGTTGAATCTTGTTATTAATTCTACTTTGAATAAATTATAATGACGCATTAAGTAATATTTTCAATTCAACTTTTATTTATATCATTCATGGAAGTAGATTTTTTCATTCCAATAAAATCAAATTACGATGAATGAAAATAATTTGAAAGCTTTAAGTGAAAAAGCTTTAAGCGCTTTAAAGTATTTAGCGAAGCTTTTTTTATGAGAAATGTTCAAATGAACTTTGATTTGAAACGCTTTTTTCATCTTGTCACTTACATATGTCGGAAGCATTAAATTTTTAATTGCAAGAATAATCACAACTTTTCTACGGCTCACTAACAACTTTTAATTAAATGAACCAAGACCTTACCAAACTATTTCATTCTGGTCTAATTACTTTCTCTCTCTCATAATGATTGAATGATCAAGACATAATTTATCTTAGTTATTGACAAAAAAAGTAAATCATGAAATAATGGAAATTGAAATTTATTATTTTATAAGAAAAAATATTAAATAATTTTTTTCTGAAACGATCAAAACTTCACGCTGTTTACAAAGCGTTTTTATGTATTATGCTGCCAACTACAACGCACCCGTTGATCGCATAGATTTGAATTTATAAAATCAAACCGAGTTCTTAGTCACGCAAGCATTTTGTAATCGAATGATCATCAAAAGCGAAAACTTTTCCTATCGATGCAATCATTAGAAGGTTTTCCCTTTCATCTAATCGCTGCTGCTCTACACATTCGAAACTGTAGCTTGGCTTCATCTTTGAATGACATTTAATGAATTGTTTTCTCTTCTGATCACTGACTGAAAAGCTATTTAAACTTTGTTGTAACGTTGTTTAACAGCTGTTGGAGTTCCCTTTTAGAGAAAACTATTAAAGAGAGAATCACTTTCTCATGCAACTAAATCATTGCAATCTTATTGAAAATATCTCAAAGACATGTCATAGCAATTTATCAGTTAACAAAGGAAGTATAATAAAATACGAGTTGAATTAAAACAAAAACAACTTTAAAATTACATTTATGATCATTTGTTGTTTTGATATTGAAGTTGACTATTGTTTGAAAGAATACTTGCAACATGCTTTAAAAGTTGGCACAATTATCATCGCATTATAACATTAAGAACTGGTCTCATCTCTTCAAAACCATATCAGAAGGTGTGGACGAGAATTTCCCTTTCTCTAGATGATATCAAGATTTAACAGGTTGAGAGAATCTTTTCCAGTAATTTTTCCTTTCATTCTCGAATGGAATTTAATGTGTCAAGTTGAAAACAGTCAATGAGAGAAATGGAACGCAAGCAAGATTGTAAGAAAAGTGATTAAAGTTGAAGTGGATCGTCTGCTACCATCTCAGTTGGTCAATTGAACTTCTTCTTAAAACATTTTCTTTTTATTTATTTTTCATTCTATCTGAACACTTCCATCGTTTCTTACAGAAGAACTTTTAGAATTCAATTTTTAACACTTTTCGAATAGAATTTATTGGCTTTAACAATTGATAATCGGTTATAACTGACGATTAGAAGCAATGCAAGATGTATTCAAACATTAAGTAAAATCACGGCTTCCCATAAAAAATATCAAAACGGTTTCTTAAAGCCATAGAAATCTGATTCTCGGTTGCTTTTACACAGTAGGGGAACAAATGTGAGAAAGAAAAGCGAATTGAGGTTCGCTCGCAAAAGATTTTCCTTCAGTTGATTGTGAGTCGTTGAAGAGTTTCAAAGTCATCTGAATTGTCGCAACTGACTCAAAAAATTTTTTTTTTCTTATTTATTTTGAAAACTTTAAATAATGAACAAATTGCTAGTGAAAAAAAGTTCAATTTAGTAAATAAACGTGAATGTCTTTGCATCAGCTGATGCATAGATTGAAAGAAAAGAAGTGGGAAAGCGAACATAACAAAAAAAAGTTTTTCTTTCTTATTTTTAACAGCAAAAGTTAGAGCAATTAGGTTTCAGGTTTAGATACTTTACTTTTAATTGATCTCTTCAAGCGTTAAGATCGGTAGTTTTTGTGTTCGTAGTGGGCGACTTATAATTATTTTGAAAGCAAAAGTCATGAGTTGTTGTCGATAGCGGGAAAATTGAAGTTCAGTGAGCGTTGAAAAGAATGAGAAAATTACAGAAAATTAAAAAGTGGATTTAAACTCAAAGAATGAAGGTGATAGTGGTCTTTATTCTTGTTCTTCACATTACAACAGGTAATTCCAGATAGAAATATGTGTTAAGTGCATTCAATCAACTATTATATGATAGCATTAAAGTTGCATGTAGAACTATATGTGCGTCATAAATGTTATGCTTAATTTAAATGATTTAAGACAACGCCATCAGTTCCATTTGAGTCTAATTGAATCCAGAGAAGCTTCATGTGCACTCTAGTTCATCAACATCTGATTTTACTTTTCTTCTCATCAAATCTACATCGTGATGTGTTTTGAAAGAAACATAAAAGAATAAATTATCTGTTTAATAGTGCAGGAAATGTTGTACCTTTTCAAATTGAAACACTTGTTTTGTTAAAAGAGAAGATTAAGCTTTAATTAACTTAAAGAATAAACATCAAAACAATTTGATAAAAAGAGAAAGAAATTAATGTACTCAAAGGAGTGTTGTGCTACAAATTATTAACTGTTCACAGTTGATGCAAAATAATATTCGAATGCATCGATAATAAAAAAATATTAAAAACAAAAATAAAACAGCATTAAAATGCAATTCCTTTAATAAAAACGAATGAGTTGAAGTTCTTTGTAATAAAATCATCCAAATTGTGAAATTTCTTCTTAACAAATATCAAGAAAAGATTAAAAATACTTCCAACTGCTTATAGAAATCTATTCACTGTTCTTGCCACCTGCTCTGCTTGATCTACCTCGTGGATTACTAAAATGCTTCATGTTCAGAAAAAGTTACGGATGCCCACATGAAGATATTGGTTTTGTTCTTTACACACCGTAAGTAAACACTTAATTCAATTAAGAACATTTCAGTTCGTGAATGAAAAGTTCTCAGATCTTAATCGATTTCTTACTGTTCTTTTAACTGTTAATTGATTAAACTCTCAGTATAATTGCAATAGCTTAAAATGAGAATGAATTTGGATATTTATTTCGCTGATTTTCTTTGAATTAAAATTAGATGAATCAGAAAAGAAAGTTTAAAAAAGAATTACGCGAAAATTAACCTAAGCCATGATATTCATCAAATTAAATGTCTGTAATCGGTCAAGACGCTCGATGACCACAAACTGTAATGCTTTGACATGTTTCTTTTATCTTTTTCTCTTTTCCGCATCATTACAACATCTTTAACTTTCATTTATCAATTTCCGATCTCAACGGAAATATTGAGCGAGAAGTAAACAATAGAATTATGGAGATTATTTCAGTTTAGTTATAGTGTAAATACAAATGATTAATGCTTGTTTTTCTCCACCTTGAAAAAGTTAATAATATTTATTTTTCTACTATTCAAGTTCATAGAAGCGCCTCACATTAATTCACATTCTCCATGACGTCACGAATTTTATTTCATTTTAATAGCTTTTCGTTATAGAAAATCAAAACGAGGGAAATTAGTGGATGTCAGAAAACCAAAGACATTTGTGAAGGCTGGTTACATTCCCGAACATGAGACAGCTATCATCATCCATGGATTCAATGGAACACAAACATCTGAACATATTATGTACCTTAAAGATGGTGATTTATTGCAAATAAATGTTTTCAGTAGAGCGATTATGTTTAACTGATTTGTCTTTATAGCTTATTTGTCACGCCGGTATAATGTCATTGCAGGTTCGTAAGACATTATTGTGATGCGGAAATAATCACAAAATTAGTTTAACTTAAATTTGATAAAGCTTTTGTTTTTGCATAAATCATGTTGTGTAAGTTGACGAATGACGAAATGATTTTTTTCTCGTTTTTCTTATAGTTGACTGGGAACGTTTGACGACTTATCCATGTCAGTGAAGTTTTCTTAAACTAAAAGATAATTTAATAACAATACAAATGATTTCTTGCAGGCTATCTTTCGTCACTTTCCAATACGAAGCTTGTCTCACAATGCACAGCACAGCTTTATTCTTTTTTAACTTATATGGGAAGTAAGATTGAAGACATCACATGTGTCGGTCATAGTCTTGGCGCTCACATTTGTGGGATGATGAGTAATCATCTTACATCAAAACAACACAGAATTATTGGTAACAATAAATTTTAATTTAATTGCAATTCGAATATCAAACGAGTTTTGTTTAAGACTCGATTTGAATTAAATCATCTGCATAAATATTTAAATGCATTTTCTAATGTCATAATGAAAAATGGGAATCAATACTTTGGTCGTTAAATCTAGGCTTAGATCCCGCACGGCCGCTTATTCAAGATCATGGCACACGAGCTTTTCGACTGACACGAGATGATGCATATCATGTACAAATAATATTGACAAATGCGGGATTTCTAGGTCAATCGACACTTTCAGGGAGTGTGAATTATTGCATTAACGGGGGACGTGACCAGCCTTATTGTACCGGAAACAAGATAAGTAAGTTTGCAAACGAAGTTAAGCTGAGTCATTGTTAAAATGATTTTGAAATCTGTTTCTTAGAAAGATCCCGTTGTAGTCATTTTCTCGCTGTATGTTATCTTGCGAATGCCATTTTTCATAACAAAAAAAATCTCGGCGTCCCGTGTCCTCGTGGTTGTGTGATGAACAACCGATTCCCATTCATTTTCAGTCATACGAATGAGATTGATCTGCTGTCAGGGAAGCTAAGATATTTCAAATTGGGTCAGGATACACCTGATTAGTAAGTTGATAAATGAGCTTTTAACACATAGTGATTAATGATATGTCGATTTATTCATGTTTTGCAGCGGTCATGGGACGTACTGTATACGCGTCGAGCATGCCAATCACTGTCCATTTCATTGAAATGTTGAGGAACTCAGAGCTTAAGAAAATAAATCTCAGTTAATGTATAAAGACAAAAACAAGTAAATTAAGTTAGCATTAACAGTAAATTAATGAATTAAATTTATCCAAATGATTTCAAAAATAGTGACTGGGTTGTTAGTTACATTAACATCAATAAGCATTGTCATTGAATAAATTAACTGATAAAATTTGAATTTTTTTTTTCGAATATTGCGAGCTTTTTTTAAGCTTTTTGTTTACATCGAGAAACTTTTTACAGATCGAAGTTTTCTTTTTTGTTCGAGTGTTATGAAAGCTTAATTATTTCATGCAAAAGCTGCAGATAAGAAATTATTTCACAGTATTTAAAAATAATCCTAATGAATGTGAGAACTTTAAAGAACTAAAGTTTGACCAAAGCAATCTGAAATGTCATTATGAATATTCATGAACTTGTAGCTTTTTGTTTAATAGAAAATCATTAAAGTTTTGTTCAAAATCTTAATCCTTTCAATGAACTTCGCATAGGAGAACAAGAAAATTGTATGACAGAACTAGTTATCTAAAAAAGTTTCCGAAATGTAGAACAGATGTCAAAAGCTCTCATAGAAGTTTCAATTATTTTCTGATTGTAACTCTTTCCAAATCAATTCAAAATGAAATGAAAATAATAAATTGAATTTGAAATCTGAAAAGCTTTTCTTTGTCTTTCTTCATTTGTTTTAAATATTTCTGACTATCTACGAAAGGTTTGAAAAGTTCATTAAAATATCGGAAATTTAATACGAAAATGTGAAATTCATCATAGGCAGAAAACACGTATCCAAATTTACTTGATCTGAATGAAGACGAATGAGTTGAGTTGGCATTTCGAAAACAAAAGCCACATCTGGAATTTCGTATTCCAAAAAGCAATTCACATAATTTCTTCTTTATCTTCTTAAAGAATATTCACAAGTAACATTAATATCCAAATGATTATGATGCCAACATATCTCATACCATCTTAGATAATCTAACCCAATCCTTAAGAATGTCTAGATTTCAGAATTTTGCATTGGAATTGACAAATACATCTCGAATATTCTTAAACCTAGATTTCAATTAAGTTGCGTATAAGAAGCATGCCTCGAATTGGACATAAGCTTACTAAACAGAAGTCAAGTTACAATGGATTAATTCTGTAATGCCAACATAATTAATTTGTGGTAATCAAACAAATTACTTCCTTATCGTTTTGTATTCCAACCAAATAACAATAAAACTTTTATTCCTTCTCAAGCACATCTCATCTTTAAATTAATTAAATTACATCAAAAACTTGATCTCGAAGTAAGGAAGAATGAATTAACTTACTTCTCCCTCGTGTCTATTAATTTAATAAAAATAATCATCGCACTTAATGTGGTGATATAGTAAATAATATGTCTTTGTGTCAATAGTCATTTGTGTGTGTGTAAGTGTAATTTTGTGTGTTATTATTTACTTGATGTAAGGCATCGCTAAGTTTGCTTTTCGCACTCACGATGCGGACATTTTTCAAAAAAAATTTCTTCTATTTTGTCGTTTCGCTTTCACTTTCCTCGTTTGGCGCGGGCTCTTTGCTCTGATAAATGTAATTGTCACGTCCCGGAATGCCACTACCTTCGGAATCTCCAAGCCATGGGTACTTGTTTGGACAATCTTGGCAAGTCTCCATATATCTTGTGTCGGTGATATTTCCTAACTTGAATGACAACGCGCATTTATTTCCAAGATTGCATGGACGTTGCGTATTTGTTTGTGGTTTACGACAATCCCAAGCTTCAAATGCTGCAAGTTCTTTATTTCTTTTGGGATCGGTCATCCATTGAAGTGCCTGTGTTGTCGTCACAAACCATACGTCGGGCCTTCAAAATAAACACTCATAATTCTCATTCAATTATTCACTTATTTAACTCACAATTGTGACGCCCATTCTATGAATTTATGTAATCCCTGTTCTAATTCCTTAATCTGGAACCAGTTTGTATGGAAAGCCATCATATATGGAGCTTTATTTTGTTCATAATATCGGGAGAAATCTTCTTGTAGCCATTCCAACACCTCATCAGCATCGTGATTGTGTAAGACACATTGGTCAAGGTATGGACAGACTCCACCTTCAAACGACTCAACGTAATGTGTATTCAATGGAACTTCCCAGACACCAGGGAATTGTCTCGATGGACAAGTTCCACTCTTGCATTCATGTGGTATTTTGTAGTCTAAAGTGTAAGGCCAAACGGGAATTTTATTAGATGGTACAACAATCGATGAGTCATAAATGAAACCAAAGTCTTCAACCACTTTATATTGCGTGTTACGTCCTGGCTTCAAGAAAGGCGCACGCATTCCATTTACTTCTGAATTGGAGACATTAGAGAAATAACGTAGAATTTCTCTCATTCCAATCATTTCTCCCACCCACTCCTCGTAACCTTTATCTTGCAATCCTTGTTGTAAGCTGATGGTTTCCACAGCTATCTCATTGCCAGCGTGAGAAAGATTTTGAATTTGCTGATAATTGCTGTAAAACGATAAGAATTTTAATAATGTATTCCACTTCTCTGGAGGAAGAAGTAATAAATATAGAAATGCAGCCATCTGTAAATGATGTCAATGTCTGACCATGAAAATATTTACCTGTATTCATGACTGATGAAGAAAGTTCCTCTGATGGGACATCCGTTTGGATTTGCGTAACGTCCGTCTAAGACTCGCATGTAATGATCATAATTGTTGTGATTGACAGCACCATCGAATGTAAGAAGAATCATTTGTGGAATCTGAAGCATGAAGAGAAGAATTCAATGAAACTTCGGGGTCGTTGAAAAGTAACATCATTTAAGTTATAAATTAAAATGTTTATAAAAAGAAGAAAAAAAGAGTTGACGGCAGTGAAATGTGAAGTAAAACAATTTCATCATCTTTTAATTAAAGACGTGACTTCATTTAATCATAATATCTAAATATATAAAAATAATAATAAATTGCGGTGATGATGAGACTGCACAGACATTTACAACATTGTTGATAATATTTCATTACGTTTGTATGAGCTTGGGCGGTGATTTTATGATGATTTCCTTTCATGACACGATATTTCTTTTTTTGCCTTTATTATTTGAATTGCTCATGGTCGAAGGAAAAGAAAAATATTAATTAAAATGGGTTGTCATTTTTCAGCAGAACAGAAACATAAAAACTCGCCGGAAAGCTTATGAAAATTTCAATGCTAGTTACCGTCATAAAATGTTTTCACTCGAAGAACTTTTGCTTAGTAATGTTTAGCAGAAAAAAAAGGAAATTAATGACTTTTATTCCAGGTTATGATAATTTCCAACCGTGCTAAGTATAATCAACTAACAGACGAAATGACCTTTGGGAATTAAAAATCTCATTTGTCTGCTTTTAACTTACGTCTTCCGCAGCAAGATCCTTAGGGATAAATGTTCCATCCTTTGAACAATAACAATACGGCAACTCACATTCGGATAGATCACATTTAAGCGCTAAATCTAATGGAGCTTCAGTTGCAGGCGAAACAGCTTGAAAAAAAATCCAAATGCATTTATTTGATTACTCAAAATTGATTTTTAAATTTTTTCTTACTGGTTGCAATTGGACCGCAACGAGCTTCGTCTTTGAATGTACAAAACTTTTGTATGTCGTCGAAATAAAGTCCTGATGGACAGCGATTCAAATATGGATAACCATCCACACACTATTACGAGCATAAAGAATTATCTTTGATATGTCAAAATTTATTGAAGTTTAATAAAATTTTACCTGATAAAATCGTCGACATGTGACGGGATCAGCAAAATTTCCATTGCCGGCATCTGTGGGACATTCGAAGTCTTCCTTTGATTGTGCTGTAAAAGTAGACACAGAAAAAGATAATAAAATAAAAAAATGATTTAGAATAACAGTAGATGGACATTCTGCGATGTTCTGGCAGGACGATAAACTTTTTTTATTGGAGTAATCGCGTTCATGGCGCCTCAAAACTTTATAATGCATTTCTCGATGCCGAATAAATTGCAAGCTGTCCACGAAAGCAAATCTCGGCAGCTTTATCATGAATCCTCATAGTTAACACCCTGTTTTTAAACATGACTCTGAATTCTCCAATTTTAAATGTGTCACATTTTGTCTGCGGCTTTTTTTTGCGTTTGCCTTAGATAACTAATACTTTCTGCTCCAAAACAGCTGAGCGAAACATTATATAAATATTCAAACATTGTTCGAGTTTACATTTCGCGTAAAGCTTTTCCATCGTTTGGTGGCAGGTTTAGTGCAACTGAGAAGTAAAGTATGGTGCAGTGTGCGATAAAAAAGTGAAATAAGCGCTAAGCTAAAGCCATACATATGTGTGTTAACGAAAAAAAGACAAAGAAGAAAGAAAAATTAATGTTCAGCGGTGCACGATGCTATTTGCATAAAGTAAATGGAGTTTCAGTGCCACTCCATGAAAAAATTTATGTTCGGTCATAAAAACAAGTTGTTAAAAAGTTAAAATACGAGTTAAGATGCTTTTCATCTTTTCATTTTCTTTTTTTTTGGGTAGGTATGAAGAGATTGAAGACAGAAAAACAGAAACATGGCAAGAGAGTGAGAGATAAGTTAAGCACCGTGGCCGTCAATGAATGTCATGGACGTGAATGCTAAACGAAACGAACTTCCGAATGACAAGAAATTCAATGTTCCGAATCAAAAGACATTTCCATTACGTTATTTTTTTGTCATCATGTTTAATCTCTTCTTTCACTCGTCTATTGAACGAAAGCATGCAATGAATGTTGATCGAAAATATAAAATTAATACTTTCATTATAATTTGAAGTTTCTATTTGTTATTTTAAGATTTATGTAGCATTAAGTGATTGTTTTGATTATTCAATTTCCAACAAAGATCCATTGATTGACTTTGCTTTCTCACACAATTCATTTAATATCAAGTTTTTGTGGTTCATACAATCAAATTTCAATGGGAATTCATTTCTATTTAACAAACTGTTTACATTGTTTACTGATTTTAACAAATATGAATAAGATTTGGAATTGTACGCTTAAAATTTTGAGTCAACAAGTTTATTGGTTGAGTTTGACATTTAGTAGCTGAGGTAAGTTGAAGTCTCTTACAAAAGGTCAATGAATGTCGATAAGCAAATCTTATTTGAGATTGTAAGTGCCAAATGATATGAAATCTTTTGCATAGCTAAGCAGTGTTCTGAGGTTTTCGGCAAATATTGGAAGTCTGAAAAATCTCCATACCGCTCAGATTGTAACTTGATATTTAAATTAAATTTTTTTGTCTTCTACTTTCATGAACAACGAAGTCACATCTCTATCAGTGACGTCGAACAACCCGTTAGCATATTTACATAATTTTTTTTCTCTCTCTACTAGGAAAGTGATCGTGAATATTGAACCTGAATTGAATTCGAAGAAGTAGGGAAAATGCCAAGTGTAGATGCCCAAAGCCGGTTTGTTATTTGCACATACGAGTTTCACTCACAGTTTATTTCTTTTAACCTTTTTTTTTTGCCGAATTTTAACATTCATTTGTCGTTTCATTCCTTGCGTCCCATCTCGTTCATCGAAAACAAGAAACTGAATATTAATTTAATAATGAAAACCTTTTTTTTTACTTCTTGTTTTTGTTAAATCGCTTTTGGAGTCGAAACGATTTCCCGCGAACCCTTTGAAAAGGATTTCAAGAATCTAAGCTTTGCAAATATTTATCGTCTTAAACGAGAAAATCTAATTTACAATTAATTGAAAGTTTCAAGAATCTTATGAAGTTGATAACAACCCCAGAAGCAACAGAATTGTAACGAAATTCCTTGAATACTTCATTTGCATTATGTAAGAGACTCCAGACAGATGAAATAAAAAATATAAGCGAAAGAAACGATAAAATCCGTTAAATTATTCGAAAACAATTTTCATTTTCAATTTTCACTTTCGTGCTGTATAATTTAATTTCCAGTAAACCAAAATGCCTTCTTCAAGGCAGTTCCAAGTTTTTATTTTGTCGTGTATACAGTTAAGATGCACGTCGTTTAAAAAAGAAGTTTGTGTTGAGAGTTGAGACATTGCGGGTTGTTTGGAAAATAAAACATTATATAACATGACTTCGTCGTCCGATACGTTTAAAGTGCTGCTAAAAGCTGATGTTATTTAAATCAAGTTTAATCAACCAGGAAATGAACACTGCTGTCTTGTGTTTCTCTTAATAGTGCTGAATACTTTTTCTCATTTCGCGGCATAAATCGATATATTATCGCTTTTGACTTTAATTAATTATGCCAACCGATTCTTCTTCTTTCTCTTCACATTAAACGATTTTTAAATCTTTTGCAAACATTTCTTTGAACTCTCACTCAAAAAGCCAAAACTTAAAATTAAAACAGCTCAGCTCAGCCAACAAAAAAAGTTCAATTTCAAAAACTTTCGATTTTCAAACCATTTTTGATAATAAAAAGTTTATGCATTGGAACTCCTTCACAAAAGAATGTTTCAAATGTTCGTTCATCGATTGTCATCATACATAAATATTTAATTTTTTATTGTAATAAACATTTTTCCCACATGAATATCGATTGTCGAACTCACGAATAACAAGACGAGAGAGAAAAAATTTATTATTTGCATAAATTGCACTTTTATTGCATTGTCGAAGCGATTGCAAGATAAATTGTGGCATCACAAGAATGATTTGATATGGGAATGACAAAATATTTTACCGGAAGTCGTTGTGAAGACAAGTGCAAGCACCACAATTGCAATTCTATGATCAAACAAAGTTTTTCTTTGAAATTTATTCATCTTTAATTTTTCTCGAGTTCTTTTGTGTTAATATTTTGTTCGTCACTTGATTCACTCGCAATAGTGTCGTAACCTCGATAACGACGACAAGAAACCGACTCTCGCTCTCGTTTATCGAACACTTTTTCTGTTAATTCACGTCACACTCGCCTCGAACTCAACAGCCGACTGAATCAACTCTTGATATGTTTTCAACAAGAAAACAGTTTAAAGCAAGAAGAGAAGAAAAAAATAACGTGAAATGTTAATTTTCGTAGTTTCATAAAGACACTTTATCGAAGAAAGAGGGGAAATAACAAATGAAATAACTAAAGAAGAAAAAAAAAGTTTCCAATTCAATATGGATAAGTTGTTTGCATTTCTCGCAAAAGTTTGACGATGCTTAAGAGTGATAACATTCTTTGAGAGTCGTCATGTTGATTTTGAAAAGTCAAGAGTTTGTATTTTTCTGTTGTGGTTTTACGACTGGTTGATAATTAAAATGAAACGATATTTTTTGGCTTTCAGTCGGAAGATTTTTACTTGTTTATTTCTGTGAAGTTGGCAACGTTTCGAAGCTTGTTGGCTTCTTCATCAGGCCCTCTATTTTAATAAATTAACATTTAAATAAAGATAAAATAAAATCAAACATATAGNTTGCATTTCTCGCAAAAGTTTGACGATGCTTAAGAGTGATAACATTCTTTGAGAGTCGTCATGTTGATTTTGAAAAGTCAAGAGTTTGTATTTTTCCCCTTTATTTCCATTACACTTCCCAATGCCCTACACAAACCAAAACTAAAGAAACTTTGGCAATAACTTCAGACTTTAATTTAATGTTGCATCTTAGCCAATTGACTTCGAACTGTCGGACAAGAAAACGTACAAAAGAAACTTTTTCTCTTCTCACTTCTTGAAGAAAAGTTTTTTTTTGTCTTGAACTTTAAGAAGAAACTTTTTCTTATGTTTTATCGAACTGTTTGGTGTGGTTTTTGTGTGCTACAAAACTGAATTCTTTTTACTGTTTTAGTGTTGATTCCATAGGAATTATCACCATTCATCATTGAATTAAACATCGATACGACAAAGTTTTCCATTTATTTTCAAAAACAGTTTTCAAAATCGATGAAAGGTGTGGATGATTGAGTATTTATGACATAAACTGCAGGAGAATCTTTTCTTCATTAATTGCTCTTGATTCCAGAACGATCGATCAATTTTTTTTGTAACTTAAGCAGCTAAAGATATTTATAAAAGCAGCGAAGAATTATGAGTGTCGATAAAGAATAGTGAAAGAAAATTGCAAGATGTTATAGTTGATAATGCAACTTAATAAATCATTCTGATAAATATTCTTCGAGAAAAAGAAAATTTTTCTCTGCTTTGTACTTCCACTTAGCAGTTGATACCTTTTAGCGACAACGGTACACCCACAATATTACCATAAATTGAATAGAAGAACGTGCTTGTGAGGTAGACAAGATAGAAATTTATTCATGTAATGCTCGATGATAACATAACAGTGATTTGATTGCTCTGAATCACTCCCACCCGCCCGATTCTGATGTGAAGTAAGCACAAGGTCAATATAAGATTTTCCTTCATTTTTTTCTTGCTTTGCTTGTGTCGAGTGAGACATTTTTATGTATACATTTGCATTTGGAAAGCTCATAAATAACGTCACAACACTCATCATCGTAAATCATATTCTTCGGTGCTTCGATAAAAAAATACGCTTGGTAAAATGTTGACATTTTTTTACGTCGCCATCAGTTTGATTCAATATTTTCTATGAAAACAAGTTTTTCTTTCCTGTCTTGTCTCTTCTTCGTACTGCTTGAATAAAAGTAAATTTTAATGCCATTTCTCGTGTGGTCTTTGACTGGATTTAATGAACAGACAAGCATAGTAAAATGTGTTTTGTTTTCGTTGTTTATTTCGTTTTGGTACGTTTGACATTGACACGTGTTTATATGCAGAAAATATCAAGTTTTTATTGACATCGAATCGATGAATGATTAAAATAATTTCACAGAATTTGAATTTTTCTTAGAATTCAATTTATCATTTAGATATTTAATAACTGGATTTATCTTCTTGGAAGCTGCTACCTTGGAAGCGTTCTTTAACCAGACGTTGATCGTTGAGAAGAGAATTCTCTAATTATAGAAAATAAATTTCATTTTGCAATGCTTGCAGTTAAAAATCATAAATCGTACATTGCACGGATTGCATTTAATAATTTACGAGAAAACAGTGCACTCCAATTTAAGTCTTTCGTTTATGGCAGGTCTGGAAATGAATTCACATAAAGCAATGAATGGATTATGCTACAAATGAAAAATACGACATTTCAATCTTTTGATGAACTTCCATGTAGAAGTGAACATCAAAATTGAGTGCAATAAAAAAATCATATTTTTAATTCACTGCTACGATTGCAGCAACAACAACAAGCAAGGATGAATTATTAATGCAATTTTTCCCTGTTCTCAGTTTACGCGTATTCGTTGCTGATTCGTATGATTAATCCTCTTCATTTGCTTCTTTTTTTTAGCTTCCAGCGTTCTGTCATTCGTGCCACATGCAAAGTGTTGTAGGAAGTGATAAAAAAGTTCTTTCCAGTTCATTGAATTGTAATTATTTTTCCTGAACATGAAGTTTTTATCCCAAAATTAGTATGCAAAGCAATGCTCTATTCATTCCCGCTATTTTTTTCAGTGTCACACATGGAATAAACAATTATGGTTTCTTATTCTAAGAGAAAAATTATCGCTACATAAGCAGCAGCAGAAAATACTCAAACAGCCAAAAGATTAACAATTAGAAAAAATTTAAAAATGAAATGAAGATCGAGCATACATTTTAGGCGAAATTATAAAACAAGAAGAAGAAACAAGAGAAGAATTGAAATGGCAAAATTGAAGTTGTGGGTGGGAAAAATTTGTTAATGTCAAGCAAATTCGAGGTGATATTGGAAGTTTTGTGTATCAACATGAATTTTAAAAGACGTGAACAGCGAATGTTTCCCAAACGACAATAATATATTCAAAAGTCCAGGCTGAAACCTTTTCTCCTTCTTTTCAACATAAAACAGCAATAAATGGCTTTTCTTTGCATCATAAAACTCATTCTTCAACTCATATTTTATTTAAACGAACATTCAACCATTTAGAATGTGTAGAACATATAGCAGCTTTACCGCAAAGCTTTCATTTGTTGCAATCGCCTGATTGTTTGCATTTTTTTCACTTTCTATTCGAGTTTGCTGCTTTTCAATTCAATGCGCCTTCCATCCGACGTCCGACGATTTTTTTTCTGCTTCCTTCCCCTATTGTTGATATATGAATTCCATTAGAAGCGTATGCGAGATTTCAACAAGTTCTTGAGAGAAATTTAAGCGAAACAATGGTTGAAAAATTACACATAATTAGAGATAAAAAAACTGCTGAAACTTCAGACAATCTTTTTGCTTATTCCATCAAAACTTTGAGCTTTTATTTGCAGAAAACTTTGAAAATGTCTTTAATTGTACAATAATTCAACATTTAATTGAACATGGAAATGAATTGCACTACATGTTTGAAAGCTTGCAAAAATATCACCAAAATCTGCTTTTGAATTAAACTTAAAAAGACTTCCATATGAGAGAAGGAAAAAAGATGAAATGAGTATTGAACAATGAATTTCATCGGCAATCTTGCTTCGTTCTATTATTTATTGTTATGTGAAAGCAGAAAAACTCTCATAAAATCAAAAAGTAAAAGCTTCGGTATCATGAAGAGAACAAAAACAAACATACAGAAAAGATGAAAACATCATAAAAGCTTTTGTATTTATTCGTAAAAGGAAATTGAAGAATGAATTTCTTTTTGGAGCTTTCATTGTTTTTATTTATGCGAGTTTCGTTTCCACAATGGAGGCATAAAGAGTTAAGGGCCTCATTTTTCTATACAACAACAATTCAAGTCCCTTTTTCTCGGGAAAGTATTCACTCACCTTCATCAACATTTCCCGACACAATGGCACTCAATCAACAAAAACATAAAAGTGAAGAAAAGCAATAATTGTCAGTGTTGATAGACTTCAACTCACCTAACTTTGAACGCTTGAGGCTGAGACAGATGAATCACGAACAGAAGTTAATTATCATCATGTTTGATAATTGTTCTGACCTTTCTTGTGAAATTTTTTATTGTTTATGTCTCTGCCATGTGGATTTCATTCAAATATCCTCTCACAGTGAGACTGCGCATAATCACCAAACATTCTTTCTGACTCTCTTTAGAACTTGTTCGAAATGAAGAAAATTCCTACAGACGAACATTTGTTGTTATCAAACGTTGTCCTTTAGCATAAGATGCGAAGACGAAACTTCTCATTGAATCAGTTCCATTTGTGATATCGTGTGGAAAAGTCTAACATTCTTAGTTCGCGAACCAAGGTGGTTGAAGCTACTTCATAAAATATTTGTGAGAAAAAAAATCAGAGGGAAAATTTAATGTTGTTCAACTTTATATCTGGGAAAAGTTTTATCATCAAAATGTTAATGATAAAAGGCTTGAAAAAGAAGTGAAACTCATTAAGAATTAATTTGACTCATACAGTCAAAAATGGTGAAAATTTAAACAAGATTTATTGTGAAATGTTACTTAGCTATGTGTGTTGATATTTAATAGAAGTAACTTGAAAACAGCAGCAAGAACTGTGGAGTGTTGCCTCATAAATGTGGCAAGAAGTGCAGCTAAAAAGACGTGCTGTTGCTATACATAGTACATATCTACATTAAATTTTAATTCGAGTTCATGTTCAAACATAAAACATTCCCCAAATAAAATTAATCTGAAGTATAAAATAAACATGAAACAATTTTTTTGTCTGCAAGGAAATTTATAAAATCAAGGAGAAAGTTTGTGTGTATGTGTAGTGTTTTTATTTTTGAAATTTATACAAAAAAAGGGAAACATTATGTTGTTATTATGTTTATTTCATTGCAATTGTTGTCTGCTACTTAGGGAAATAAATACTTAAAATTTAAATCGAAGTTTTCCATCGAAACTTTCTGTTTTCTGCCTTCATCTGTGACAATGTGAAAGGAAGAAAACTCAATTTAATTTTTTTTGGGACTATTCACATTCTAAAGATGCGATTATCTTAAATTCAATTTTTCTCGTGAATGAAGCTTAGACACTCTTAAAGAGAATATTTGAATGTGTTTGACTTAAAGCAATAAATTGTATTATAGAAAGCTTTTTAAACGATTCTTGATACTTATTTATAGCTGCGAAAAATTTCACTTATTAAATTTACAATAATTTAATGTATGTAAAGATAATTGAATTAAAGCTCATCGTAAAGTTTGTACACTTCGAGATAAAACCTCCTTGAGTTATCGGTTACAAAATTAGCTGAGCAAGTTAAAGTTGAAATTTATGATAGTTTTGGGAGCATCTGATAGTTTCTTGTCGTGACAAATTTGAATTTATTTTTTAAGTGACGTCGTTTCCCTCCCCAACCACTTTGAAATTGTTGTTTTTCTTTCAAATTCCAAAACAAACAATAAAAATATTCAAGCACGCAAAAAGCTATTTCGTTGGAAAAAACCTACACAACAGTATTCATTTTATGTTAAAACTCTCTCCTCCGTAAGCCAAAAGTTTTAGCGATAAAAAATTTCAATTATTCTTTTCCTGCCTTTTTTTATAAAGTCGCTTTTGTGATGAAAATTGAAATTGTTGTCGGAAAAATTAAGGAAAAAATTGTTTTAAAACGAAAACTCATCAACCAACATGATTCTATTAGGTTGTTGAATTGGAGTTATGTTGATATATAGGAAGAAGAAACATCGTCAGAGTGTATAAATTTTGTCGACACTCCCGCTCGTTTAGTTGCAAAAGCACTTTGAAGTGAAAGAAAATGTCCAGCTGAGGTAGAAAGAAAAAAATTGTTTCACATGCTTCACTTTTTCTCGCTCACAAAACATTTGTCTGGCGAGCCTTCTCAGAACCTTTTTTGCATTTTCGTAAATTTTCATGATACGAGCTTGAGCAGCTGACGACCTAAAGGCGACTCACGTTTTTATGACTTCAATAAATTCTCATCAAAAGCTTTCGCACAAGCCATGTCGCTGAGAAATTATATTTTTTGACAAGGCAAATTAATACTTTCATGCACGCTCGACGGTCATAAAGTCAGCCACTTCCAAACACCGAATTGATTGTTCTCCTGTGAACTCAAGTGTGAAGGAACATAAATACAAAGGCGTGTTAAGGCAGGTATGAACACCGTGGGATCCAGATGAACCAAAAATTTATTTGCAAGCGTGTTGTTTTTAATGGATTCACGCTCGTCCCTTCGATACATGGGTCCAAAAACCATTAGTCTTCACTTCACCCACTGAATGAACACAAATTGATTAAATTCGTCGTGTTCGCTAAGGGTGATCAAGATTGGAAACACCAGAGAAAAAAAGTAAAAAGAACTTTCGTTAAACTGCTGCCTTTAATTAAATTTCGTGCTTAAATGAATCAGAGGCTAATATTCGCTGATGAAATTAAAAAAGTTTTTTGTGTTGATTTTCCGCGTCCTTTTGTGATAATCAAAAAGCCTGTCAGGGATGTAAAATTAATTAAAATGATAATTTCTATTGGAACTCTCACTGTTGTCCGAGGAGGGTTCATCATTAATATCAAGATTATTTGAGCGTGACGATCTAATAAAATTTTTAATGTTTTCAAACAGAAATCTGACTAAGGGAGTGGCGTAATGCAACAGAGAACTTCACTTCTTTATTTTAAATAAATTAAAATGTCTAAGTGCATCGTAACAAATGAAATCTGTCGCAGATGGAAACAAACCTGATAGGAAAGCTTTTCCACAAGCCCAATTCAACTTTACGACATTCAATTAAAAGTGGTTCGCTTTGTTCGTTTAAAAGAGTTTCTTCTGATAAGAATCAGTTTAAGTTGAGCAGTGGAAAATCGAATGGAATTGAAGTTAGGAAAATATTCAACTGCAGTTGTGGCTTTTCTAATGTGTGGGTGGATGTTGGAGAAGAAAGTGCTTTGCTATTTTTAAGTTCGCTCGGATAAAAAATGGATAAACTCTTGAATCAACATTCAATTTTTGTGACGGCCTCTTTTGGATATTTCAAGTGCTTTGCCAGAGTATTTGCGTTTGATCATTTAAGTGCTAGCATAAAATAAACTTGAGGCAATTTAAATGGGAGGAAAATAGGGAAGAAATCTTTGCAAAATATTTAATGTGTTTGTTTGTGTGACAAACTCTTGAGAAGGGTAGTTGAGACGATTGTCAGAAGCTAACATTATAAAAATGTTTCAAACGAATAGATATCATCTATCTACTACTTTATAATGATCATTGAGTGGGTATTTTAAAAATATATAAAAATGAATTTGAAGCAATTCTCGAATGAATAAGAAGCATTTTTTAATAAAGTTTAAGGGTCGAAATATTTGTTGGTTTTCGAATTAAATTTAATGGATTGGATTTTCACTTGAGATGCTTTGGGCGTAGTTGCTGTTTAAGCAAAATATCCATTTGATTGTCGATTCTAATCTGATTTTAATTCAAATTCGTTGTGTCATCGTCTTGGAAAATTTTCCAAATGAAATTCTCGAAATCGTAATTTGAATCTGTGGAGAAATTGAAATGTCATAACAACATGATACAGTCATGAAAGTTTCATTAATTTTAAGACTGTTGTTTTATTTTATTTTTTGTTTTTCCTTTTAATCCATCTAATTAAAATTTTAAAGATTTCAAGACTTCAAAATGCAAGGAAGAAGATCGAGATAAACGACTTGGAAATTTTTTTTAAAAACGTTTTTGTTTCTTTGATAAATGAAATCTTATTTAAAAAAAAGAACTCAAACAAAACTCATCCGTCGCCTGACGGGGTACAAGAAAAAGAGAAAAATCAGTTTGATGAATAAGAATATTCATCTTGTAAGAATGAAAAGGCGGATACTCAAGTATCTTACACAACCGGATGACGAGCCTGAACAAGTCGATAAATAATTCATTATGTCTAAAAATCTTCAAAAAAGCAGATGAAGACAAAGTCTTTTCGATGAATTCAAGTCCTTTGGTTGTCATCGTAGCGTTCAAGAAATAAACCAGCAAAAACTCACATTTTTCACAATCTTTATCGTGTAAGTGACAGATGATGGGAAATCAATAATCCGAGAAATATTGGATGTTTCTTTTTATTTTTAACAAAGTCATTTGTGGAGTTTGTTGTTGTATAAATGTAGGTAATGCGTGAATGGCATTTTTATCTTCAATAACAACTTCACTGTGATTAATCCAAATGTCTTCCCCCTCAAGTTTAAATAAATGTTTCAATCAATCTGTTATAAGAAAATTTAATGCCTCAAAAAATAAAGCGAAATATTTGCTGTGAAATTAAAGCACGGAACCAACAAACTAATGCCATTTATTTTCCGCGATAGAAATGTCACTACGTAGGCTATGTTGGTAAAACAGCTCATTATCGTTCTCGAGATTACATTCCATTCACAGTTTTCCCTCTTTTTTTCCGGTACAACGCAGAACTTACGAGTCAGAATCCAAAAAATAAGATTCTTCCAAGGATTCTTCGTTAATAGTCGGAAAATAATCTGGGAATTCTGTTTTGTATGAGGTTTTAAAAGTTGTTTCTTTGCTAAACGGCTTACAATTTTCGACTGTATATTAGATTCCATTTTCTACAGATTAAGTTATTTACTTAAATGCGATAAATAGAATATTCTATTTGTTACCAAAACGAAACTCTGCTGAAGTCAATTTGAAGAGATTAGAAAGTGAATAAACATTTTTAAAAGTACCAAATAAGAATTTCCTTCGTTTTAAGTAGTAAAGGCCTTTGTTTGGATGGTGAAATTGTTGAAGTCTCTGGCGTCCTTTGAAGAATTGAAAGTTTCCCTTGAAAACAATCTAAACACGATATGGAAGTACATTTTGTAAGAAAAACTCAAAGGAAAACTCTTGAAAACAATAAAAAAAAGAGTTTAATGAGTTTTCTTGTTTTACAAAGAATTCTTTTTCTTGCATTAACTTGTAGGATAATGAAGAAATTTTTAGGGAGTCGATTTAAAGTGTAAACTCATGTTGTAGAATATTTTACAACTTTCGACATTTTATAAATTCAAGATTCACAAATTGACATACATTCAATGTGATTGCATAAGTTTGAAGTGAAACTTTGACTGATATAGAAATTTGTGTGTTGTTTGTAAGAAAAAGTTTTGCATTTCAAAACTCAAATCACTTCCATTTCCCAAGGACATTCATTCTATGAATAGAATATTACAAAACTTGATATGACTTCATCTCTCAAAAGAAAGAAGAGAAATTCCTTTTGAGACGTTACCAACTATACGCAGATAAATCCTTGAGAGTCTAGCAGAAAAGGAAAGAAAAAGCTTTCGGATTAAATTGTTCCATTTACAAAGGGATGAAGAAACATGAAGAAAAGAACAACAAATTTGTGAAATTGGAAAAATCGGTTTGCAAAAACAAGATTACAGTGAATAATGTTAAAGTTTGTCTTAGACGCGATTGCCGAGAGTTCTTCCTCTCGCAAACATCCGACATTCAACGGTACTTTCCATGTTGTTTACTCACTTTATTTTCTTTTTTTCCCTTTTTCCATAGCACTTTTTCTTTTATTTTTGCTTACTGAGGAAAAAAAAGCTTTAAAGATTGCGAGATATTCTTCTTGATTGCCCATATCATATTCCATTCGTCTCGGAATCACTCAAAAGTATGGGCGAAACGTGTAAGAAAGTAGAAGGAAGCTATCGTTTATCACATTAAGGAAAAGCCTCACAAGATGAAATATGATTGGGATGATTCGCGTGGGAGTTAGGGTAGAGAAATAATAAGGACTGTCTTTAAGATTTCGGGTGGCGTAGTCACAAAACACAACAATGAGAAATAAATTTATGAGCGTGGAAATATTTTTATGAGTTTTTCTTTCTCGTCTTTTCACTGCCATGCACGATTGAAACACTTTTCTCTCTGTTGCTCTATTTACTCAATTCTTGCAAATTAATAGATGTTTTCTAATGTGAGATGCTTTATCATGACGAGAAATGAAAATGATTGTTATCGCCAAGGACAAAAACCTCTTCTTGATGTTTGATGTGATGTAAAGCTGTGGAAATTTGTCATCATTTTTTGCATCATACATGATTGATACTTCATTTTCATTGAGTTTTGTTCTTATCCCCACAATAGATTTGTTTCTTCTTATTTGTTATGCTTCCTCTCGTATTTAATGTGTGAAAAATAAGTTTTATCGGAAAGCTACTGATAAAAAATGTCGCTGCAGGTCATAAAAAGCATCGGAGTTAAACGATGAAAGGAAAGTCATAAAATGTTGATGATTCTTACATAAAACAAATCAATCGTTAATAAAATTGATCTCTAAATGAAAAGACAGTAAATATTCTTTAAGATTTTAGCATTACATTGGATCGTCTTTAAATTATGTTGAAATAAAAATTAATAATTCCTTTTGACGTCATACATGTAGAATTTTAAATTCAGAAACACAAAGACTTAACTTTATCATGATTAACATTCTTTTCAACAAATCCAAAAGTCAAAAATGTCAACTTGAAAAGGCTTTGTGATTACTTTGTGAACATATAAGAATATATATCTACATATATTTAAATTCTGAGCGTAACAATGGAAACAAAACCAAAAAAACTTTTCATGGCATGTCAAAGTTTTAGCTCTTGTCGAATCAGCTCATAAAGCTCAGTGAACGAGAAGCACATAGATTATCGAAACGTGTAATGCCGTAATCTCTTTTCCATAATCAAGACTCAAATACTCAAAGTAAAAGCTCATCCCTTTTGTGTTTTTTTATTGTTTGCACGTGGAATCTTCACTGAAAATTATGTAAATAAATGTTAGGTTTGAGATTCATTTACACTTCCTATAACAAATGTTTAATGGAATCTCAAGCAGACATGTCTCATAAGCAAATCATGATATGTTCATTTATATCCCTTTATAAATGTGCCGTCATTTACCGGCACAACCCGTCATTAAACCCAAAACATTTCCTCTTCTAACAAAAAGGGTTTAGAAATCCAGGTAAAAGTCTTAATTGTTTTTTTCTTTACTCCCTCAATCAACGATTCGAAAAAATCCCATTTTTGTTACCACAAACTTTGTTCCTGACTCAATGGCACGAATAAACGTTGATTATCGGTTTCAATTTAAATATTTGATGAATTTCCATTAAAACAGCTTTTACATTCAACTCACTTCCCACCCTAAAAAAATGAAAAGTAAAAGCCGCTTCAACGTTAACTCAAAATCAAATTTTTGCCTTTTTTCTTCTGTTTGCCGAGCTTATAAATAGAAGGAAATTCTTCAGTTGTAATTCAATGTCGCGTTGGATATTAAGGAAAGTTTTCGAATTTGTTTAAGTAGTAGTTTTATCAATATCAGCAAAATGCGATCGTTTCTCATCGGAAAGGCGAGTTAATGCCTTGGCGTGAATTAATTTATATAAAAATTCTTTCTATTAAAACGATGAAGTCATTGCGGTTTACTTGGTGGTTTGAAGGTTAAATATTTTTTGGGCGCACGTCTAATTGTTTTTCCACCTCTTTTCATTCAACCTTTTTTCGTTTTTTCCCTTGTAACTTGGCTGTTCTCTTTTTTGTTCCGAGTATTTTAATAATTTAAACCGAGTGAAATTTTACAGCATTAAGACAGCATAGCGAAAGATTTAGAAAGTTCTTACTTGGAATTGAAATTTAAAAGCTTTCAATGAAAAGTTTTTTGAAAGCTCATTAAAATTGGGTTTCAGGGTGAATAATTTACTCACGTAACTTTCATATGTTTATCATAAGAAATTATATGCTTACAAATATCGCGACTTACATAATAATTATAGTCTTCTAGGAAGAAAATAATTAGAAGACGAGATTTGAGTTGCGGGAAAGCGAATACTTAAACAAGCATAAATAAATTGAGATAAATTACAAAAGTTAAAATCTTATTTCAAATCTATAATTAAACCCCGACGTCATGACGACATTTCTTGTTTCCTGTAGAAGAACAACGGATGGAAATGTTTTTGTAGTAATTAAACTTAAATTACATACTTCTTACTTTCTTTCCAGAAAAATCAGATTGTTGAACCTGAGGTTGTGTTAATTATACTGAATTTCCACTCAATTTGAATTATGATAGAAAATAATTTTCCTAAATAACTCGAACACACACACATGAAGTCATGTATCACAAAAATTTCAACTTCAATTGCTAAATAAACTTAAACCTTGCCTTGAGCTTTAATGGAATCTCTTTGAAATTCAAAGGAATGAGATTTTTATGTTATCAAAATATTACAAACGAACATCAAGAAAAGTTTTCTCATTCGTTGATAAATTTATGTAAAGTTGACTCATTAACTTCAAGCTTATTCAAATAATTCTCATCCTTTCAGTCTAAATATAAACAACAATTGCTTTACAAATAGCATAAGATCAACAAAAGTTTTAATTGAAAACGTAAAGTAAAGCATATTTTCAAGTTCCTTGTTTCATCTTTCAGCATATAAAGAATGAACACAGCGAAAGGATAAAATAAGAATCACAATTGTCAGTGTTTAGAGTTTGAAGAGAACAACAAATAGCCTTGCAGTTGGCACACAGTTGACATTTCTGTAGTGTGTAATAAAATAGAATAAAAAAATAACAGAAGAGAGAAAAATTTCGTGGAAACTTCATGTCTGTAAACATAAAATATAAATTTTTTTGTTATTCTTCTCTGACCTTTCATAAGTGAGTTTATAAAGCAAGTTTTTATTGCTGTCAAGTGTTAAATATGAACTACATGAAACGCTTGCAGTGTTGAACTATATATATAGATGTTTACAAAGGTAACGTTTAAAAGTGGAAAGTAAATAAACCAGCAAAAAAGAAACAACACAAACAATACGCCCGGGTAAGTAAAGCTTTTAAAATATTTATTATGGAAAATGACTTTTCATAAATGTCAAGCTTTTTGAGTATACACAAAAAATATATTTATTCATTGCGTCCACTTTCAAATGAAAACCTAAGAGGCTCTGTAACCAACTTATGTAAAAAGAAACGAAAGTTTGATGTCGTTTTAAATGTTTGAAGAAATTTCTTAAAAATTTCACAAAAGAATCAATAAGTATAGGAATAGAATTAAAAACTTTATCATAAAAGTTCACAGGATCAAATTTGTTGATGTTGAAAAGGAAAGCGCTTAGGTCGAAATAAATTTCCAAGAATGAAAAATCAATTGAAAACTTTAAATATACAAAACAAAATGGAAGGTCTGCTTTCTTAAAATTGACAAAAGCAAGAAAGTTTTTTCTTTAAGTTATTGACATAAAATTAATAAGATAAATATTTTTGTTTCTCACGCATGGGTGAAATTATTATTATTGATATTCAACATGAAATATGATTTCTTTTTATTATATTTCGTTCTTAAAAGAAGACGTTGTGCCTGGCGGAAGGCAAGAACGAACTAAGAAAGAGAAATAAATTGGTTATTTGTTCCGGTAGACTGCAGTAAAAACAGAGAAAAAAGGAGCAACCTAACAGGAAAGCTTCCAGAGTGAACATTAATTCAACTCAGGTATTGAGTCTGACATGGCAATGAATAATATCAGGCTCATTGGATTCTCGTATAAAATGATGCTTCGTCGTTTAATGTTCTATTTCGGTTGTTTCTTGTGTCTTGATGAAGGAAAATAGCGAAGTTGATGGGAAAAGCTATCAAAAGAGATTGAAACATTTCTCCCCTCCCCTGATCTCAATGCAAATAAACTCTTCCTTAAGATTTGTTCTTTTGATTTAATCATAAATATCATTCCTCTCCATGAGAAGGCCTCATTACTCTTGTTTTATTTTATGATTCGCTTCAATAAAATTATATCGTCGGAAAAGAGAGTTATCGCCAACAAAGGCCAGAAACATGCCAATAAAGTATGTTCATGACATTTGCATTGAACGCTATTAACTTCTTGTTTAAGCCATGAAAACTGGGCAAATGTTTGGTTGCAAAACTCGTAATTTGTTGATTATCCATTCTATAAAACATTAAATTAATTCATGATCAGCTAAATATGTATTTTCGATTAAAACCAACATATAAATAGTTACGATATAATTAATTTAGTTTAGCCATTCGAAATTTGGTAACTTAATTTGACAAATCTCTGCAAATAAATAAAAATTGTAATCTAAATTAAATTATTTGCAGAGTTTCAAACTTCTGGTTTTAAATTTGGATTTTTATTTGTCGATTTCTTAACAATGCGAATTTCTATCAATTTCTGTATTCAATTCCATGCCCTGAATTTATGAATTCATTATTTTCCATCACGTTCTTGTATTGTTGTTGATTAGGGAAAATAGACAATCTGCGCATTATATTTCGTTACCAAAGGGTTTGATTGTTTCATTATTTATATAAATATTGTGGCACGAAGAAAATCAGGCAAATTTGATGTAACGAAAATCTTATTAACATCCCTGAATTTTCCATTACATTTTCACTTTCTACCAATAATGAGATTACAGTTCTGTTGCCGAGTAGTCGAAAGGCTATCCAATTTCATTCTGGAAACTTTTCAGAGATAAAAATGACAGAAATGAATTTAACAAACTGAAATGATGGCAAAATGTTCAGAAAAATTGAAATTGTGTACAACAACTTGTAACCAACATGACACTTATTTATAACAGGAAAATTTCATAAAATTAGTTGCGGTTGTTGAAATAACAAAAGTAGCACAATTAAAACAACATAAAATTTCTGTTAATATTTGTTTTTCCATTTTAATTTACCACTGCTGCAATTATCAACGAAGAAGCATGGCGTTGTCCGACAGTTCATAAAATGTTGTGTTCGAAACATTACATTCTGTAGAGTAAACATCATTGTTTCAATTGCAATTGCTTGGTATAAAACAAGTTTATCAGCAGCACGAAAAAAAAGTTATTTCAATAAATAAAGTATCAACTTCATTCTCGGATCTGTTTTATCTCAACTTTAAAACCCCATGCTTGATATTTCATATTTAAATCCCCCACTCCCTTTATGTAATGCCAATGAAAATTGCTTAAAACATAAACTGTGTTCTGTGTGAAACATAAATACAACGTTTTATGCTTATGGACTTTTATGGTGAAGAATTTATGTTATCATTGTAATTGGCGAGATTTTTTTCAACAAAAATTTCTGTTGTGCTTGTTTCATGTGTTGCCGTTTGATTAAAAACGCCAACATGTATGTGCGGACGTAAACATTTCCAATAAAAGAATTAAATAAAAAAGTTACTTGAAAGTGATATTCATGCATAAATATAAGCTCGAGGGGAGATGAAAAGAAAAACTTTAATTCAAAATATATTTTACCAGGTAAACAAATATGAAAAATAGAATGAAAAGTTCTTCTTTCATTTCTCCTGCTGTGCGCGATGGAAAGCTTGTTTCATGTTGTTACCAGAACAGCGAATAATGGCATGCAAGATAAACGCAAAAGCTCGAAAAGTACATAAATTTATGTTTGTTGCAAAAAGGAGAGATATTTAATGGTCTTAATGTATGCTCCTCGTGCAAATAAAATAACTCAGCGGCGAAAATATCTCCAAGCCTTAGATTCGCTTTTTATGCCACTCACGCAAACATTTTTCTCCCTTCAAACTCCTTGAAGTACTTTTCTGCGTATTTTGATTCAGATAAAAATCATTAGCAGAAAGCATAGTTGAGTGGATGTTTGAGTAGTTTAAATTGTATGTTTGCAAAGTAATTCACTCTCATACTTTGTTGCGTTTTAACAATGTTGCTTCAAATAATTAAAAGGTGAATGGTAAATACCACATTGCATTTTATTCTGCAGTTTTTCATATTTACTAGATAGTTTCAAGTTTCAATATAGAATTTGAACTTTAAAACTCTTCAACATTTAAAAAGTTCTTTCAACCACAAAATTAATTTTTCTTCTTTTTCAACAGATGGAAAAAATTTTTGAAGAAATGTTTCGAGTGATAATTGAAAAGAAAATATGTTCGGGGTTATAAGAAAAGTCAATTGCAGTTTAAAAGATGAAGTATTAGTCTTGCAATTAATGTTCACAACAGTTCAAGTGTCTTAAGATTTTTCTTCGTCAGTGAGGGGAAAATTTATTGAACAATCAAAACGATTCAAACCCAAAACTTGACGTCATACGCGAAAGTTTTCGATTGTGTTTGATTTTGTGTTCAAACGAGAGAGAAAACGGATTCAAGTGCAGACGTATGATTTATATGAATGCTCCAATTTTATTACTATAACATCCAGATACAAGACAGCTATTTATATGATTCATTATATTTCCTGAGAACTTTTTCATGTTTTTAATATATCGAATGTCGATTTCGCAGCTTCACACAACCAGTTGCTTCATGAGCTAAAGATCATACATTTTTTATCTGCAGATGTTGCAGTTGAAGTCACAAGGAAATTTCCCATTGACAATTTTTATTCAATTTTTCAATTTTCTTTTACAAGTCAGAGAACAAAATTCTCCGTTTAAACAGGAAATGGGAATTGTCGAAAACAGAAGAAATCATTGATGATAGGAAAGAATGTTTCGTTGCTTTACTTGAATCTTAGATAGTTCTTATAAAAGAAAAGGTTGAACTTTCACAGTTCCTAGTATAGTGTAAAGAAATGAATTTAAATATCGTTTCTTTTATCGATGTTTTATTCCCAAAGTATGCAAATGTTAATAAAAAAGTTTCCATTCAATTCAAAGCTCTGATGAAGTTTTTGATTCACTGATGTGAAAGATATTTGATAGTGACATGAAAAATTTCTCAACTTCGAGCTGTATGAAGTTTCATGAAATTTTTTGTAACTATCTTCATACATTCTTCATTTAATTCTAATATCAAGGGAAGAAAGAATTTTACAAATTTAAAGCCTTTAGCATGAATATGATGTTCATCAAATAAGTTAGGTAATTTTACAATTCAAAAAACAAAATAGATTTAAATGTATGAAAATAAATTCAACTCAAAGCCTCGAGCAATTTAAAGTAGTCATTAAAACAACAGAATGTTTAAAAACAAATTTTAATCATCGTGAGTTGCTCATGCTTCAGGCAAGAAGAAGAGAGCGACAGATTTAATTACCATAAAAGCACTCAGTCGTGCGTTGGCGTACAATTTTTTTCTGATTAAATAGAATGGAGAGAAATATCTTCATACATGTTGCAATGAAAACGTGGTTGGAGCTTTTCATATCTTTAAAAAGATGCTGAGCTGCAAATAAGTGCTATGATGTTTCACTCTCAGCAATAAAAAATATTCAAATTTTTCACAAAGCTCATCATATGCAACTCTTATGAGATGGAAAGTGGAATTCACAAGAAAATTAAAATATAAATTCACTTGAATTGCATAATCAACAGTATTTCTTCCCAATCTACTACAACACAATAACAGAGCTTTTCATTGTATGCTTTCATGTATATTTTTATAATTTGAATGGTAAAATATGCTGCCACATATTAGAAAATTATTATTCTACAATTTTTTTTGATCGTCTCCCGTAATTTTTTCTTTTCTATTCGTTCTTCATGTTTATCATGCACATGTGGTTGGTGGTTCAATGAAAAGGGGAGAAAGAAATCGTGGTGAAAATTTATTGCCTCCTTTGCCGTTTGGCATCGTAAGCATAAAATACTTTCGTTAAAATATGTTGTGTATGCCCTTCCACACTTTACTGTACAGTCGAAGCTTTTATTTGAATTTTAAATGCGCCAAAAGTGACATTAAGATGAAATATTTACAGATCTCAGTTTCTTTCTATCATTCGCATCCGCTCCATCTTGAACTGTTCTGTCTTCGTTAAGAATGTGAATGATGTTTATGTCTTCATACAATACATAACGGAAGAAGAAAGGAACGTAAAGATAACACGACTTTATCATATTTAATTCAATTTACCCACGGAAAATAACAAACTCATTTGAAGGCGACACGAGGCTTTGTCGTTGAATTGTGATGACTTTAATTAGGTCATTTGAGTGTTGAGTCACGTAAATATCATTACTTTTCGTGTAAGTGAAGAAGGTGAAAGTTCAGGGAAGAAACAAAATTGATTGAAGCAATAAGAATCGTCGTTTATTTATTGATTAAATAGGTCGAGATAACTGAATGATTTACTCCACAATAATGTAATAGAATGAAAATAAGCATACTTCTTGGCATTCTTTTTATCAACATAAATATCCGTTCAGCGGAAAAAGGAAGAAGGATTTCTATTGACTTACAAACCGAGTGAGATCACCAGTCTTTGCACTAGACGAAGTTCTATGTTTCCTTCTTACTAACGGATGGAAATATTTTCCATCGTTAAAAAGCCATGAACTCATGGAAGAAAGAAATCTTCAACATTAAGATAATAAATTTATTAACATTCTCATACATTTTCGCTCCACATATTTTCAACATAAGTATCATGCGAAATGGAGTGGAAATGAAATCGAGAATGTACATGATTTCGATTTCTCATGTAAATATTGTTCGGTAATTTGAGCTGATACGTATTTATTTCGTAGTTTTATGTTGGAAATGAGAATAAATTCATGGGATCCTTAGCTTTTAATGTAGTTTGGCGTCATCAGGACGTGATTGCTTTAATGTATCATCAGTCTCCAAAAATATGTAATCAAAGTTTTATGTACAGTCGTTAAATATTAAAAGTGTCATGGGAACTTTCTCATAATGGTCCCAAATACTTAACTATAAAACTTTGCTACGTTGCATGTTCCATGCTTGTCATTGATAGCGGTATAAGTATGCACGTTGAACATCAGTTTAAATTTTTCTAGTTCACTGTATCTCCCATAAAGTAAATTTAATCATTAATAAATAATAAAACATGAAGTTTTTGAACGCAACAGGGATGATAGTGAATATCATCATTTGACTTACAATAGACAGAAACATGAACCACTAATGTGATTTTTAAATGACATAGTATGGAATATTTTCACACTCATTCTGTACAATTTTAAGCTGTTATGACATGTTAGTTTAGTTGGGTTAATAACTTCTCTGCATTATAAATGATGATGACCTTTTCAATAACGAACAAAGGATTGAAAAACTGAATGTCAGAGATTCAAAAACCAACTTTCAACCAAGACTATTGACCCAGTTTATATCTTCAAAGCCTTGTTCACAATAATTCCAGATACATTCTTATGATCTTTAATTTCAAGTGAGCATGAATTTGAGCTTTTTGAAATTTTATGATTTGGAATTTCTCTTCATCACTTTTCGGATATTTTATATAAAAAAGTTAATATCTTGTCAATTTTATCACACCGGTAATCACATAAAAATTCCCTTTTTCGCCTTAATCTTGGAAAATTAAATATTTATGAGAAATTTTCCATTCAACTTAGCATAAATCTTGTTCGAAAATCATATGAGAAAACGATTCGTTTTTTAATATGAAAAATCTTTTTTCATTACAAGCCTTCTCAAGGCTTTATGAATTACATCATCCATGATAAAAAGTTCAAGCTGGAAAAATTCCTTAAGTAAGACATCAAACAAATCATTTTTAATTTCCATGAAGTAAGCGAATAAAAAAGTTTTCTGTTTTAAAAGAGTTCCAGCAATTAAGACTTTATATCTTACATCTCAAGCAAAAGTGCAAAGTTGCAACGCAAATGTTCTTTTTCGTTGTCTAAAAGAAACACTTTTCTGTTAAAAAAAATGTGAGGGGATAGAAAAATTTCCCAGGTAAATGCAGTGTAATCGAAAAAGAAGTTTTTCTTTTTTTTTAACTTAGTCACAGATATTTATTGCATGGGAAAGAATGTGAGACAAAAAATGCTGATGTTAATACTTTGCTTCACAAACTTTTCCTTCCATTTTCTTCTTTATTTCTTTTACTAAAAATTAGCAAAAAAAATCACAATCTGGTCTCCTACCCACGCTCTACTAATATTAACCGAATATGTATCTATGAATGAAGAATGCTTGAGATAGCCAATTCAATTACGTGGGAGATTATTATCAAATAGGAAAGAGAATGAGGAAGTTTAGCTCAAACAATGTGGGTTGATCAAATCACATTTTTCCATGCTTTTTCCTCTTCACCAACCTCTTTTTTCAGCATCCGGTTTGAATTAATTTGTAAAAGCTTATCATGAATCTTCACCCGGAAAATGTTTGACGAATGAATGAAATTAAATCAGATTTTTCTTTTTTAAATGTTTCTTATCTTTTTCAAAGACAATTAAGAAAAAGTTTGAAGTTCAAAAGATTCTTTTAAAATTTGTCTTTTTATAGAATTATTTTCTGTTGTATTTCCAGCAATAACTCCTCATTAATATCCCATTTAATACATGCTGGAACGACCTTACAACAACTTTCTTATTTCTTATTTCCTTTTATAAACATTCCAAAAGATACTCGCATAAATATTGAATGAAGATTAAAAGGATCTTTAAAAGAGAATCCGAAAACAGCTTTTCAATTACATTTTTAACTTCTTCTCTTGTCAAAGTTCAATTAATTGACAGCAATAAGATTTTCATTTGAGAACTGAAACATTTGCAAATCTCATTCTCAAAACATTCTTTTTTTCTTCCGATCGTTAGAAGCCGTGAAATTAAATGATGTTCGCTTTTTCGATGACTGCCAATGGCAATTCTATAAGTAAAAGAAGACCAAAAAAAAAGGGAAAAAGAAAAGCTTTTCAGTTAAAACTTTTATCGAGTCATAGCTTATTATCATTCCTTTCTTGTACTTAGGGACAACGAAATCGATTTGCTGCCAGATCCCCAACCAGAAAAAAAACATTAAAATTTTATGACATAGCGAAGCTTATGGATGAAGTTTTTTTTAGTTTTCAATGGAGATTCTGTTGTTTTATGGACGAAAAAGCTTTTGTGCATCAATTTTAATGATTCCAGAATACATTAATTTTAAGAGGAAGAATTAATTTCAAAACTTTTCCGTAATGATTGTGGGACGAATGAAAATGTTATTTCTTTTGGCTAGAACGAAACTTCACGACCGTTTAACACAGAAAAAAAATTGAATGAAAAAAATCCTTTTGATAAATCTATAAAATATTTGTCTTTTATATGTGTTTATTGAATGACTCTTTCGGAAAGTTAAAAAATCGAATCAATTGACCTGAAAATTGATGTTCAGATAGCTTTCGACTTTCAAATCATAACTCGAACATAAAAAAACTTATTTTTATAAAAGATTCTTTTAACATGTCCAAATTACTGTTCGTATCTATTTGAAAAGCTCAAATTATGACATCATGTTAAAACCCAAGGCAGTACTTCACCTTTTTCTACATAGTAAATTGTTCAATTAGGATAACGTTGGAAACATGATTTTAATTTCTCTCCGTTCACTGAATGAACGTGTGAAAATTAACGCCATCTTTGACAGTTAAAAAATGATTTTTATTCATGCAACATAAAACTTCCCAAAAGAATGTTTTCTGAAGGAAGTGAGAAAAAAAAATGTTACATAATAATTGCCAAAGCACAAATTTTTGATAATTATGATTCTCGTACCAGAGACGAAACGTAAACTTAGAATTACTGATGAAAGTTTCAATGCTAACGGGCATTGTGTGGGTGGTATGATAAGGGCAATTATTTCATAACTTTGAAGCTTCTATTATTTAATTTGGAGAGGAAAGAAGAGCTTCGAAAAGTTTAATAAAGTTTTGCTGTTGTTAATCGATATCTCAAATTGACACAGTTTTTCATCTAATCAGGTTAAAGTTTCGTCTCTTGTTTCTCTGTTCAAAGTTCAGGATATAAGATGGATTTTAAATCTAAGATAAACTATATTGCTTACATGAAACTAACGTGTCCCTTGTAACATAGTGATTGATTACAAACCTCATTTGATATCATTTGTTTTCATGTCTCTTTATAATGTATAAAGTTCAACCTTTTTATCAATAAGAATTGTCTCTCGTTTCTTGGTAATTTGATGACCATTTTTAAGAGATCTTTGTGTCCAAAATAGCTACCGAAGCCATTCTTCATTCAAAGACTGACTGACTAACTGACTGACTGATGAACGAATGATTGATTTTTGTTGTGATAGGAATTTAATTAAAAGGAGTTTAGTCGTGAAGCAATGAACATGGTAAAAAGAAACTGACCTTCTCACCTTGTTATCAGAATATTTCTAACTCGCTTGGATTTTAATTAAAAAACTTTTTGCTTTCATGAAACTTGAATCAGGAATTTCAAATTCTTTTTTTATACCCTTTGAAATATGAAGCGAAGCAGGATGAAAGTTTTTGTTTTGAATTAAAATTCAACTCAAGTTTTTTTTAGAATTTCTATAGTGATGCGATGCGACTGTCAATATTGTTTATTTACACAACTAGGTAGAAGAAATACTTCAAAATAGGGTTTTACGGTAGCTAGAAATTCTCAGATTACCAACAAAAATTTATGTCTGAAATAAAATATTTTTTTATAACGTTAAGCATGATGCATGTTGGTTGACTTGGCAGCACTCTAGCTTATAATAATTAAAAAACCCTACTTAAACAGGTTTTGTTTAAATCACACACCAACACAATAATCGAAAAAAGAAGTTTCATCTCAGAGAAACGCATTCTATTCGACTGATAACATTTCAAGTGGATTCTTAATGAACTCTCTCCAAAACAAAAATATTTTTCTGTTTTTTTTCTTTTCAATCTACTTCATTCAAATTTTTTTCTCACATATCAGTCTCACTGCTTATTCAGTTTGTCTTGCGTCGCAGAGCTGGTTTAACGTCATATCAAGCGTAAGGGAAAATAAAAAACACCGGTTCAAGTCTATCACCAAACGTTTTAGTGTCAGATTATTTTGTAGTAATTGAATTCGTGACTAAAAAAGAATAAGAAAAGATGTCAAAAGCTGAGAATCTCGAACAAGTGTTTGTAGATGATCCGTGGTTGAATCCATATAAAGGAGAAATTCATCGCAGGTAGAATTAAATTTAAAGTGGAAAAATGTTGACCTTGGTCATGGAGTCAAGGTTGCTTTAAACGACTTTAAATTATTCTTTCTTTTTTTATTCCCATCGTAAGTTACTTAAGGTTAATAAATTTTGTGATGACGTGCAATCAAAAAGAAAAACTTTTCACTTTCTATCCTAAAATAAAAATTTGCATCTTGTGCCAGATGATCATCAACAGATCACACGCAAATCAAATAAACTTGTTCGTTAGTGACTGACTTTACCATTAAGATAGAAATGCGTTATCATAAAAATAGATGGGAAGAAAAAGAACAAGAAAAACGAAAATAAAATTCGACACTCGGCAGCATCGTGACTTGATTTCGTGCTTCGATACACAAAACACGTTTTTTTTTTCTATGAAGAGAATTACCGGAGGTGCTAAGAGTTTAATTATTATTTACAATCAAACATTTGATAAGAGAAAGTTTACTAGAATGGTTTTAAATTGCATATCAATGATCTTTACCCCGACACATTGACCATAGTCCGAAATATGTGAGTGCCAGCTTGGAAATATCGATAATCTTTCTATTTAATTTTATTACGTAAACGATGTGGGCATTTCGAGAAGAACGATGATGCTGTGCTGCTCTTATCTCATTTTGATTTTCAATATCATGGTCGTTTGACTTAAATGCAATGTACATATTTTTGTTTCGTCTATAATCTCATTGAGAACGGCTCCATGACAATCATTTACTTACTTACTTACATTGATAATTCTTGCATAATTTAATATAAAAATATTTGCATAGACATGGCATCGTCAAAGATTGGATACGTCGCATTGATGAATCGGAAGGTGGACTCGAAAATTTCTCACAGGGTTACAAATATTTTGGGATTCACATTCAACATGACAATTCTGTGATTGTTCGAGAATGGGCGCCAGCAGCACAAGCTCTCTATTTGACTGGTGATTTCAATGGATGGCAATGGTTGTCACATGAATTTAAGAAGCTTCCATTTGGTAAATGGGAACTATTGTTGCCACCGCGTGAAGATGGATCGTGTCAAATCAAGCATTTGTCTGAAATAAAAATCATTGTTCGGACACAAAGTGGACAACTTGTTGATCGTTTATCGCCCTGGGCTAAATATGTCGTTCAACCACCGAAAACAGCTGGTCAAGGCACCAACTACAAACAATATGTTTGGCATCCACCAGGTCACACAAAATATCATTTTCGTAATAAACGCCCAAAGGTTCCACGCTCGTTAAGAATCTACGAATGTCATGTTGGAATTGCAACTGAGAAATATGAAATTGGAAGCTACCGCAATTTCGCCGATGATGTCATACCGAGAATCGTTCGTCAAGGATACAATGCAATTCAAGTTATGGCTATCATGGAACATGCTTATTATGCTAGTTTTGGTTATCAAGTTACAAGTTTTTTCGCTGCTTCATCACGTTACGGAACACCTGACGATTTAAAATACATGGTCGACACTGCACATAAGCACGGACTCTACGTGATGTTGGACGTGGTTCATTCTCACGCTAGCAAGAATGTTCAAGATGGATTAAATCAGTTTGATGGTACAAATGCTTGTTTCTTCCATGATGGAGGACGTGGCGAACATACACTTTGGGATTCGCGTTTATTCAATTACAATGAATTTGAAGTTTTGAGATTTTTGATTTCAAATTTACGTTGGTGGTATGATGAATATTTCTTCGATGGTTTTAGATTTGATGGTGTCACGTCAATGGTGAGAGAATTTTAATTTATTTCCTTTTTTTAACATCACAATATTCAATGATTTATAGCTTTATCACTCGCATGGCATTGGTGAAGGATTCTCCGGACATTATGACGAATATTTCGGTTTGAATGTTGATACTGAATCTTTTGTTTACTTATCATTGGCAAATAAAATTCTTCATGACTTGGATCCAAATGTCATAACCATTGCTGAAGATGTCAGTGGAATGCCAACACTTTGCAGAACATTCAATGAAGCTGGAGGTGGTTTTGATTATCGTTTGGGAATGGCGATACCCGATAAGTGGATTAAAGTTTTGAAAGAAGAGAAGGATGAAGATTGGAACATTGGGAACATTATTCATACATTAACTAATCGCAGATGGAAGGAGAAGACAATCGCATATGCTGAATCTCATGACCAAGCTCTTGTTGGCGATAAAACTTTAGCATTTTGGTTAATGGACAAGGAAATGTACACACACATGTCAACATTATCGGACCAATCTTTAATCATTGATCGTGGATTGGCTTTACATAAAATGATTCGTTTGATTACGAATGGTCTTGGTGGGGAAGCTTATTTGAACTTCATTGGGAACGAATTTGGTCATCCAGAATGGTTGGATTTCCCTCGTATTGGAAACAACGAATCATTCCATTACGCACGTCGTCAGTGGAGTCTCATTGAGAATGATCTTCTCAAATACCAATTCTTGAATAATTGGGATCGTGCAATGAATTTCGCTGAAGAGAAATACGGTTGGTTATCGACAAATGACGCTGGTTTCGTTTCATGGAAGCATGAAGATGATAAAGTCATTACTTTTGATCGTTGCGGTCTCGTGTTTGTGTTCAACTTTCATTATAGCAAAAGCTTTACAGATTACAGAGTTGGTGAGATTATTGAATAAAGATTAAAATTGTTCGTTAACTGATTATTATGATTTACCAGGTGTCGAATATCCCGGAGATTACAAAATTATTTTGAATTCTGATGCACCTGAATATGGAGGATTTAATCGTGTTGATTCAACGAAAGTTCATCAAACCTTCCCTGAAGGCTATGCTGGTCGTCGTAATCACATGTGTGTTTACATCCCGTCTCGAACTGCTTTCGTGTTCGCTAAAGTTTAATGAAAAGTCGTCGATAAAATTTCATTTATTTTCTATTGAAATAATTTTTCTATGTTGGTTTTGAAAACATAATAATAAAATTAAATAAACATAAGATGAAGTTTATTACTAATTAAGCGAATGAAATTTTCCTTAACAAGTTCAATAATTAAAGAGAACTTAACAATGCAATGTTTCAAACATCAGATTAAAAAACGATTGTTTAAGCTTGTTTTTGTTTGTTTTATTTTCCATGAGATTACAATTCCTTTTGAAGCGTTTTTATTAACTACCGGCGGTGATTGCAGCTTAGATATTAAAAAAAGAAGAAAAAGTTTTGATTTATTTGATTTCATACGATGCTCGTTGCAGAATGTTGAATGCTTTCGTAATTTCTTCATTGGATAAAAGACGATTAACAGCCACGCGAAGGCTTGGTTTTTGAGGAAACTTCTCAATCGGTAGATAAGCGCAAGGTACGATTGCTAATCCCATTTTAATGCACTAAGTTAGATGAATTGTGAATATTCCATGCTCAAAATCATTAATTATTTAAACTCACCTGGTCGGAAATCTTCCGCAATATTTCATCAGTTTCACTTGACGTTTTATCGTCTTTGAGGTAGAGATGCTTAATTGGAGAAATTGGATGGCCACGCAAAAGAAATCTTGAGAGTTCTTTGAATTTCTTATCAACTTTTTCACAGACTTCATTGAGGTCTTTAAAGATCTTTGGTTCTTTCTCGAAGATGTCAAGAGCTGTGATTACCACTTGAGTTAAGAGAGGGGGTTGAGAAGCAGAAAAACAATAACCAAGTCCCGATAATCTTTGATGCTCGACAATGAAGTGCGTGCCAACACAAAACCCACCAACAGATTCGACTGACGCTTCTAAACTCGCTGAAATCAGATCAACTTCAGTCTTATCGACGCCCAAAAACTCAGTTAAGCCACGTCCATGCTTTCCAATCGTGCCGAATGAAACACTTTCATCTAATATCATTCTCAACTTGTATTTACTTCTCAGTTGCACCAATTCACGTAATGGACACATTTCTCCAGTATTCAAGTAAATTCCCTCAGCAACGAGAAATCTTCTCATCTTAGCCGCCTTTTGTGGCTTCTTCACATCCATTTTATGTTGTTCAATGAGTTTTTCTTCAAGGTCTCGCATGTTATTGTGTTTGAAATAAACGACTTTGCTTCGTGAAGCGTCAATACCTTTCTGAATGGCAAAATTAACACATTCATCTCTGATAATGAAAAAACATGAACAAAATAAGAGAATTAATTTGAAAATATCAGAAATAATAAAGTATTGAAACTCACGCGAATATTATGTCGTTTCGTTTGCTATAAGCTGGAATGGCACTTGCTATTGTTGAGAACGCGTATGAATACACGACAGCTTCTTCTTGATCCATAAATTTTGCTAACCGTTCTTCAAGTTCCAAATGAACGTCAAGCGTTCCATAAAATCCTCTCGGACCGCAACTTCCAACTCCATACTTTCGTATAGTTTCAATGGCACTTTTCTTGATTTGTGGATATTCTTCCAGACCCAAATAATTAAATGTTGACATATTAAGACATTTATGACCATCTACAAATATATATTTGCCTATGGGCCCTTCAACGGTTCTCGTTTTCAGTGTTGGATCATTTTCGTCAACTTCAGGAACAAGTGGTTCCGGTTTCCAGTTTTTGATGATTTCTTTCTTTTGTTCCTCTGTTAATTTTCGACTTCCATTAGTTTGTTTATGAATAAGAACCCATATGACCATTAAAAGCAAGAAACCCTCAAGGAAAATGACATAAATCGGCGCCTATTGATAAAATTAGAAATATAAACAAAACTTTTCTGGGCGTGTTTCATTGTAAATTCACAAATTACCTTAAAGATTATGTCAAATAATAAGTTGAAAATGTACGGTGTTGATTCATATTGCAACATATTTGCTTAAATAGATTTAAATGATTTTACAAATACTTTTATTCTTTTATTTTATGAATAACTTTGGTTTTTATCACAACTTCGATATACCGAGTTCGGACTACACCGATGTACGGATTAAAACATTTGTTAAAAAATTCAAACAGACACGATACGTTGAATCAAGTACGTGATAGCTCCAACGAGAGTTGAATATCTACTAAATGAAAATTTTTGTGAAAAGCTTGATGTGGTGAGGAAACAACAATTCTCTTGATTTTTTTCCATCTCTCTCGATTTATTTCCACTCTCAGAGAATTGAGGAAAATTCAAAGGAGAATTTTCTTTTCACAAGGCTTTTCACAAAAATATCCAAACGAAAACTTTTTTGAAAAGGTAAAGAAGAAGTAATATTAGGGCGGAGGTGTATGGATATTAAAATTGACAGTTTATACGTGATCGTAATGGAATTAAATTAACTATAAATAACACTCTAGAAGAATGATTTTTGTGTATATGTACATGCGTGGGGATGACGGAAAATAGGAAGTCAAGAATACTTGTCTTTATTTCTTTAATAATTTAATACACTTGACTTTTTTGCGCCTCGAATATTCTACTAAAGTAAAATGAAACTTTTTGCTTCAAGCTAATATAATATAAGAAAAAGCACAGAGAAGAAGCCGATGATGTAAAGACTCTGTTTTGCTACCCCATAACCCAAATCAAATCAAAATTGATGGGAAAATATCACAAATGGATAAATGAAATCCTTTTTTTTAGCTCTAAAAAGAAATATTTTGTGAATTTATTTGATTATTGAAAGAAGGGAAAGCTATCTTTAGGTATTTCAGGCTAAAGCAATAAATTTTTGACATCGACGTTTGGCGAGCCTGATAAATGAACATGTCTTTAGCCGATACCCGTAAGAATATTTGATTCCTTTTGTCATTCCTTCATCATGCCTCCCTATTTCTATTTTTAAATTGATGAATCGTATTTTTTCAATTCTTTTGTTGGGATTTATTTCGAGATGATGTTCATTTCATGTTTGCTCCAAAAGTTTAACAAATACCGAAATATGTGTGAAATAGATGCCGGAATTTTTCCACTCACGCTTGAAAGAATCATAAAACAGCCTACTATGAAAATGAGGCACATCATGAAAGGATATTACGTAACGTTAGTTTGATATCAGTTGAATAAATTGAGTAAAATGGATTCTGTTATACCCTCCAATGGCAGAAGGCAAAAGGGTTTTTAACGAAGTGTACATGTATCGCCTTTTGCGTCAACTGACCTGAAAATTTGAACCAACGTTATCCATGAGCTCTGCCACAATTGTGAATGATCCTTGGCATGTGTTGCTTCATGGAAAATATTTTTGTTCATTAGATAAATAGAGGAAAACAATTTTTTTTAACTCTTCCTTTGATATTTTGTTTTGAAAATTTGATTGGGATGAAATTAAATTTGAAATATGCAAATGATGAGAAAATTGGAAAAATGATAATAAAACATGTCAGGTTACAAAAGATATTATAATTTTCCTTTGAAATATCCAGTAGACTTTTCAATTGCAAACAGCGTTCATAGTAACCTAACAAGTTGCTCTATATAAAAGAATAAAAAAACCCTTTTGAATTTGAGAGAAAAACATTTTGAAATAAAGAAATGAAAAATGAAATAAAATGAGTGGAAAGAAATGTCGGAAATGAAAGAGAATTTGTTATTTCTATTTTTTTACCTTTTCCGTTTCTTTCAATGTTTTTGTTTAAATATAAAAAATAAAAGAAAAGAAATTGTGTGAACTCAGGAAGTTTGTGAAAGATATTTAGAAATTTCATTGTCCTTCTTCCCTTTCGTTTATAAAGCTTCGTATTCTTTATTACCAATTTCCGTTTCCTCCCACGACGAAACGATTTCTCAGGTGAACTTATAAATTTACGTTTATCTTTTCGGAGCAAAAATCATCTATAGATGACTTTGAAGCTACCTCTCCAGTTTCATTGAACCTTTTCTTTCTTTCCCTTTCGTACCCTTGGGTCACACGATAAAAACACCAAAGAGATCAATATCAAAGTAAGAAAAACGTTTTGTGATTTCTAAATTTGACACAGAAAAAAAGATAAGGAAAATATTTACTTTCAAGACAGTGATTTTTCCATATCAGATATTCGATACTATTATAGAGCAAGTACGTTTATTTAGCAAGGAATGATTTGATGGACCGTGCCAGAAATTCAAGTTAACAAAGGCAGAAAATCTAAAAAGGTTTACTCGCTGATACCATCCTTAGGGATTGAATTCTATAATGGAGAGTCCATAATAATAAGTTTGATAAAAGGTAGAATGTTATTGAAAGTTTCATATAAGCAAAAAGTTAAATAAAGGATGGAAACTCAGGTCAAAGTCAGTATTTAATATTACACCATCTTCTTATGTTGGAGGCTTCTGACCCAAACGTTTCGATTAAAATTTATCAGTAAAACTAACATACTGTGAAAAGTTTGGAGTAATTCTATTGAAAATTTCCTGATACAAATTGGCAATTAAACCTAACATAAGAAGTGGAAATTGATTAGAAGAGATTATGGGCAATTTATATTGTTCCTTTGAAAATTGAACAACCCAGGAAGCATTTCTAAGAGAAGGAAAAAAACCATTTAATAATATCAAAAAGCATGAAAAGCTTTTAAAGAACCTCATTTAGTCAACACGAGTAGCGGAAAGGCTTTCATGCTAATGAAAAATACACAAAGTAAGAAAACAGAGAAAAATAGCTCAGCACTTACTTTCCCTAAAACTCTAATAAATCAATGATATTAAGCGGCAGTAAAAAGAAAGCCAGAAAAAGCATTTCTGACGAATGAAATCATAAATCTTCTCGTTGTTTATTTGGATTTGTCTCTCTTGTTTTTGTGAACATTCAAACGCTTTATGATATAAATGTTGGCATCTAGGCATGGCTTAAGGAGAAGCGACATCATTTCGTATGGATAACGGCTGAGTATTAAATGAATGTTCATGTCGTTGATCACGACAAAAGTGCTGCGTCTTTGCTTCGTTGCATATTCATAAATTAGGCATATTTCTTTTCATCTGTTTCTCTGTGTCATTTTATGGACATATCATTTCGCTATCTTGAAGCACCCTTTTTTGGTTTCCTTTTCTTTGCCATAAAAATTGTCTACATTAGATTCTCATTTCAGATGATGAAAAGACGATAAGAAATATAAAAAGCTTTCAACATTATCATTTCATGTTTTTCTTCCAAAAAGTAATAAAACGATGTAACTAAATAAAACTTTTATGGTTTCAGTTTGCAAAGGTCACAAACAAACGCTTTAATAGAGAGTTTAGCAAATTATTCGTATTATTGTAGCTTTTTAGAAAGATGTAATAAAAGCTTCCAAGATGTTCAACCCACAAAAAGCTAAAATGAAATCGTCAACAAATCAGAGAAACAACCAAATTGAAAGTCAAGATAATTTGCCATCAACTGTGTTTTATGGTCAGAAATAATACTTGATATTGCTTGATATATTTCTTAAGCATCCCAGCTAGTTTGTGAATTTGTGATTAATGTTTCTACTATGATAAACTCAATCTGTTCAAATTTCTTTTCATTTTGAATGTCGTTAAGATTTTATTTCTTTTACTCATGATGAAAATGAATGAAAAAAGGCAAGCACGTTGATTTGAATATTTCTCATAAATTCCAGACTTTCATTTTCAGCCTTCTAATCCATGTCATTTCGCTTTAAATTGTTTGTTGTGAATTAAGCAAAGTCACAAGTAAAAAGCGATTTAATTAAGTTTCGTGTAACATAATTAAGAAAGCCGTCCCAACATTACTTCCTTCTTCATGCTAAATTGATTAATTTAAAGGGACACGATTTTTCTTATTCAGTCAGTGTACGTCTTATGCTTAAGTGTAATAAAAATGCATGAAAAGGAAGCTTTGCTGTACACTTCAACGAAACATCTCAAAATGAATTCGAAATGAAAAGATGAACGAAGGACGCCTGAAACATGGTGTCGCAGTGTCCGTCCCGCATTGTAAATTTTAATTAGCTTTTCCCTTGTGTTTTCCTTCTCAAAGTAATAAATTTTTGCTAGATTTAACGTCCCTTTGAACGTCTTCTTGAATTCTGCAAACCCAATTTTCCATCTTAATTACAAAGTAAGTAATAGTCTTTATTTATAAGGTTAGTTGCTTTCCCAATGTTTCCTCTCTCTGCATCTTTCTTTTGACGGTTTCTTTATTAAATAAAGGATAAGGAAATTAATGAGCACCAAGAAATCTTTTCGATTAATTTTTTAAGGAACGAGAAATAAAAACATTCTCTCGTGAAAGTTTAAACATTAATGGAAATGAAATTAATAGAAGTGAGAAAAATATTTTAAATGAAAAAGTTGAATGACTTCTGGGAAATATTTAAATCACTAGCATATCTTTTACCTCGAAGTTATGCAAATACATTTGACATGTGGTTACAGACATCAGGTTGCAAAGACAGTTGTTGAAATATTTTATTCATTTTGTTTTCCCTTTGGTGAAGATATTAAAGCATGATAACTGTGAGCGCATCAAATATTTATGAAGGTTGATGCCATCCAAACACTCTTTAAATCCTACGCCTGTCTGTCTTGTGATAACAACACTAAGAAAACTTCCATTTTCGAGATGTTGAAAATGTTCTCATTCATTAATTTTTGTCACTCACTGTGAAAGATTTTTGTTGATTAAAATAAGTCGTTTACAACACATGAAAGTTATCGCATGTTCTACTCTTCCTACATCAGATTTTCTGTAATATAACATCACATATAATTTTTAATTAACCCTCTGTTATGTTAATGGCTCATACAAACTCCATTCTCGTTCATCAACGTGATGATAATGCAGCACTCATTATCATCGCTGACGGTCGAAAATTCTTAATGTGCTGAGATTATCATGAACACTTTTGTGTCGCTCTTTCGTCAATTAAATCATTAATGATTTCAATAATTACTGCTATAAATGGAATTGTAATATCGAAAGCTCATTTGTTATTAAAATACATTTTTAAAGGATTTAAATGACGTCATTAAACAAAAGCCTGAAGATAAATCAGCCTTCATCAAAGCGAATTCATTTCAAACAGAAAAAAAAACTTTCATAAATATTTAAAAGTTCTCGAAAGCATTCCGAAGAATTTCTTAATAAATTAAAAAGTTTTTCAAAATCTGTAAACGAACAGAAACTTTGTCGTTACGAACGATGTTGAATGATAATTTGATTCTAATAATTCTGAATGTGATTACAAGAGAAAATTGGGTTGTGTTTGTTCTAAAACTAATTTAATAACCAGATTTAAAGCACTTTCAAATTGAAATGTCACTGTTAGATATCTGGAGATATTTACCTTGATTTGCTTTTATATCATAGAGATGTAAGTAGAGTTATTCGTCGTGAATAAATATGTATGTAAATATGAAGAATCAACATCCTAAACTCGTTGTTATTGCCATGGGTATTGAACATGAAACTTCATTGTTCATTTTCACTTATCTAAAATTAAAATTTTATATTGTAAGTTTCTACGTTTTCGTAAATGATTTCAACATCCTCGATAATCTGAATGTGGAAAGCTTTGCAACTTCTTTCAAATTTATAGCATCTGATAAAAGAATCTTCGAGAAAATATTCAATTTAAATCAATAACACTGCAATAAATTAAATTTCAAGTTTTCATTATATTTTAATTCAGAATTAATTTCTGTCTTGTTGAAATTTCTCACTGGGATAAGAAAAGTTTTATAAAACTTGCTTTTCTCATGCTGATAATTTGTCTTTCCCACGATTTAATCTTCATTCGAAAGATGTTTCAATTAGATGAATGTGATATTGTGAAATATTTCCAATGGAAAACTTATTCGATACATTCTCATGTTGTAATGACATATGATTATCGTTCGATTTTATTTGAAGTCACAAGAGTAACTCAATTTTCAGCAGATGAAATACTCATGTTAATTTCGTAAATTCTGAAGCAATTCAATTTGTCAGCTATTGATATGAAAGAATCGAAAATTATCATGTTCAGAGTAATTTCACTTATTTTAAATATTATTGACTTGTTCAAGCACAACATATTCAGAAATTCAAATAAATATCTGCAAAGAATTCTAAATTCATCTGGAATCAGTTTCGCCTTTGAAATGACTGGAAATATTTTATCTGAATTTTTTTACTTCTTTTTCACAACATTTTCAGAAACAGTAACATTAAATCATTTTATGAGGTTGTTTAACATTAACACAAGATATATATTTATATTTTTTTTCTTACCAAGAGAATATAATGTTGAATTTATTGATTTTTGCAAAACCTTGAAACGCCTTGAAAATATTTTTGGAAAAGTTGGCACCAACGTGCTTTGAATTTGAACATCATTTTTATTCAAATGTTAACGGGTAGGGTGTAAATAAAAATTGATTTCGGTATTCATGATTCGGGGAAATCCTTAAAGTTGAATCATGAGATCGTAAAAATGAAATCAACTGCTTATCTACCAGGTTTTCAGGAATGAAATAAAAATGTAAGGTTTGTGGAGATTTGTTTCTCATTCAAAGTTTTCTTAGGCAACATGAATCGATGAACAGCAAATTCAACATTTATTAAGTGAAAGACTTCACCTAAAATCAATTTCAAGTGCAATACAGATTCATTTAAACGATCCTTCTCAGCCTAAGCTTCCAAAGTTTTCTCTCGAACAAAAGTTTATTGTTTGCAAACATTTTCGTCATGAAATGTAAAAAAATTTCCCATCCTGGAAAGAAAATAAATGTCTTCAGTTTCCAAATATTTTCTCCATTATTTCGCATGTGTTTTCTAATGGAAAAGAATCGACAAAGTATTCTTGCGGGATTGTTTTTGTTGGAGGCTGTTTATTTTATAGAAGATTGAACTGCTATTTTATGGTTGTATTTTATCGCCTACACCCCCGCGACATATTCGCAGATGTTTTATTTCCTTTCAAAGACATTTCTTTTGTCAATCGATTCTTGACGGTTTAACAATCGATGGTGAAAATAAAAGCAAATGTGTTCAGAATGTTAATGCATTTCCTTTGTTTCGTTGTTTGTAAACAAGCGATAAAGAAAACATTTTTCATATGGAATATTTTTCTATTACATATTTTGTAAACAATTGTGAAGTACATTGAAAAACATTTAACACTTGAGTCTTTAAGAAAAATTTAACTTTTTGTAAAAAGTCTTTTTAAAAGTATTTAAAAATAAATCAAATGTCAATATCGCATTGTTGCTGGAAAATTTCTTCGTGCATAACTCCATCTTTCTATTTTTATACTGAAAGCTCTGTGAAATTTGGTTAATTGCCCTTCCATCCTACTGAAAATCAGGCAAACACCACCAAAATCTCTGTTGATGACAAGAGGAAGGAGAGAGAAAAGCAATGAATAAATTTCTGAAGCTTTGATAAACTTTCCTCTAAAGTTTCATTAAAGAGCTCTTATCTATCCGAAAATGAATGAATTATTTTCACTTAAAGTTTTTAAAAAAAATTAACTTCAACTACATTCAGAGTATAAAAGAAAATCAGAAAAATTTTTGCGGAAAAATATTTTCCAGTTTTCATTTCATCTTTTTTATAACTAAAATTATTTTCAAATGATTTACTACACAAAATTTTTCTGATTTTTCCGTCTTTTGATATTTAAGAATAATTTTCATGAAATTCACTTAGAGCAATAAGAAAACAAAGTTTTTTTGCTATGCTAAATGAAATTAAATCTTGTTCAAAGAAAATGAAAAATATCTGATAATTTATTACAATCGCATAAAATAAAAGAAAATTAATTTTCATTTGAAGTTTCCGATCTTTTCATAAAATTATTTCAGTAGATAGTCAGAGATAATTATTTTATTAAAAGTTTTGGTTGAAGATTGAATTTGTCAAATTAGGTATTTGTTTAGGAAAGAAAATTTAAAATTAGAACAAGGCGATTTTTATTACCTTTGATACTTGAGCTTCTTGAAAACATGGAATTCAAAGAGACATCTATAGAAAGTGATGAAATTCTAAAGGCTTTGAAATCTATTTTTACTACTATCATTTATCAAGCAATAAATAACATAATCACATTACCATTTCCTTGTTCGAGCATCTAAAATTGAGAAGGAAACAATCTTAATGACTTTAATTCAATTCCTGTGTGTGTGATAATTGATTTTTATTATAAAACATTTATAATTTATGCTTACGACTCCCACAACACGTCTATGTTTGTGGAAGGAAAAAAGGAAATGCTCGTAAATTATTTCTTTCCTTGAAGAGAAAATAAAAGAAAGCTTTTAACATAAAAAACGCTTTCCGTAATAATTTGCAAATCTACTTAAACGAATTAATTTTCTGGTGTTTTTGAATTGTTATTACACAATTGAAATTGAAATTAATGGTTTTAGCGCTTTATTTATCCCTCATTCTCTTACGATACTTTAAAATTAATGAGTATAAATAGGATGATAGCACTTTCAGCTGTCAAAATAATAAATTTATGAAAATCTGTTTTGTTGGTTGATGCGTCGAGGCATGAGAAATTCTCTGAAGGATTTCACAGCTTTGCTAGAATGAGAATGTAGTAAATTTGTAATTTTCGCCAGTAATTTATTGCAATGCTGCCAATTATGCTGGCATACAATAAAATCTGCTAGAAAGTTCGTGGTCGTGACATACTGTAGTCAGCCTTAAATTTTAATTATCAGCCACAATGATGAAGCATAAAACTCTCGCGCTATCTTCCTCAATTTATAGATATTACCTTTCCACGAATACTCCACAAGGAAAGCTTAAGCGAATTAATATTTTGAAGTAAGATTCGTGCAAGAAATTGATAATGAAAAATTAATATTTGAGCTGGTGAAACTTTTAATGAATGATTCGCTTGTGAAAGTTTTTGGATTTGAACTTTCTTCTTTCATCGAAAGTTTAGAGTTTCATCTGAATGCGGTAGTAAATTTGAAAACTTAGATTCATAAATTACTTCACGGACCCTTTTCAGTTATTCTTTTCTCCATTTTTCCCTCAACAATCCTTAGGTCTCACATGTTCACGCATTTTACTTATCCCATGAAGTCATAAATTGTTTCTTTATAACGAAAGATTGTAAAAGAGAAAGCAATGAAATAGAATCGACGATGCATGAAATGTTTTATTTGTTAGGAGCTTTTTTCCAATAAAATGAATCACTTAATCATGGAGCGAAAGGTTTACAAAGCTTCAAGAATTGAGAACGAAAACAAGATAAATGAGTGTCAGAATATATGCTCGCTTTATGCAGCAATGAATGATTAAATGTAACAGAGTTTGAATCATAAGTTAGATTGAGTTTTATTGATATTGAGTTGTAATTGAAAAATTGAATAAATTTAACGCGAATGTTTGAAATGACTTTAAACAATTTTCAAATACAAATTTCACATTCATTTGTTTGACTTTAAAGTTTAAACTTCATATTTGTTCTAAATTAAATTTTAAATACAAACTAATGAACAATGAACATTAAAATAATATTAAAAAAATACTTTTATGGTACACCACATTAAATAAAAAGTTATAAAAAATAAATTTTATGTATTTAAAGTCTGATGTCTAAATTTGATGTTGCGTAGTGTGCAAACTTTAGTCGAAAATTGTTGTTTGCTGAGTATTTTTTATGATTCAATTTCATACACAACAAATCACATAAAAGCTCTGACATCATAAAGAAATAGAGTTTCGTGATGAAGTAAACTAACTTTGAATGCTTCGCTCTTAAAACGGACATAAAAAGTGACGCTTTTAGGAACCCATCACGAAAATCTTTTTTGGAGAAGCTTACAAAGATGTTGATAAATTATCTTCTTCCTTTCTATTTCAGACTCTTGAGATTCAACATCAAAATGCCTTAGAATGTGAAACTTTCGAGAACAAAAAAAGAAAATAAACTTGATACAACTTTCGATAGATGCCGAATGATCCACATGGGAAGATGAATCACATTTCAAACATAAATTGAGTTTAAAAATGCAAAATTGGCAGCACTTGACAGTACAATGATGGCAGTGTATTTGAGAAATTTGAGGTTTCTTCAACCAATAACGAGATATCGATGGTGGGTGATTATCTCTCTTCTATCGATTTTAAAATGCTGCTCTACAAACATGGAAAATGTTAACAAGGCGGACGATAATCCTTTTGTTGAATGTCCAGCAATAAGTGAAAATTCCGCTTGTCCATGCTATAAATTTGAAGATGGTAAGTTGAGCTTTTAATTAAGTTCTAAGCTCGTTGTTGAGGATTTATTTGTGTACAAAATTTTAAATTGTTATATCATTTTATCCGGATTTCCTTTCTATCAGTTTTTCGACCGAAAACAGCTCTTATGTAATTTAAGTAATCTTTGAATTTGATAATAGTGAAAGCTTAGAGGGTTGAAAAAGAAAATTTGAGGCTTTTGATGGGCCTTATTTGATAGTCACTTTAATTAGCATAAATATTTATGATGCTATCTTCAATAATTTAAACCTTTTCTCAAATAAAAATTTAACTTTTTTCATGACAAAAATTCTGTTTAATCACAAACACTTGACAAAAGAAAAAAAAAAGCATTTCATGGATAAATTATTTAACTATCGATTATTGCACAATAAATTCCATTCAATAAAAGAGAAATTAATGTTTCATGCACCATAAATTTACACATGAAAAATCGAAGAATAAAAGATTCTTTACGAGCATTTTACGTCTTTTTTTATTTTCAATTCCATTCAACGCTCTTAAAATGTTTAAAACTTATGTCCCAAAGAAAGTCGGATCATAAATTTCCTTTCCACGTATGCGCCCAGGAAGAAAGTTTTAACCTATTTATGTATTATATTAGAATTATATGCAAATTTTGATCACATGTGGTATGTACCATGGAACATTGAACATTCATCCAAAGATGTTGCACGGATCATGGTTTTGTAATTTAAACGACAATTTCGCTATTGTCTCTTTTCTTCCATGTCGCTTCATTCACTTAATGATAAACAGGCAGACTTAACAGATCCCACAAGTCGAAATATCTTTGCCTTTTGTTTCTTATTATCATGAACATTAAATACTGCTAACAAGGAATCATGGCGTATAATTATTAATTAATTTAAACCAACATGATAAATTTATTCAGAAATTTATGTGTGAACATTTTCAGTCAACCATTTAAGTTACACAACACTAAACATTGAATCTTTCCTTTTATTCTACAGGTTTGTTCCTAGAATGTCCCGGAGTCACCAGCTTATTACTGAAAACAAATCTTCAACATATTCAGTCACCCATTCAGTCGCTTTCAATTTATGATTTCGATCGAACAATAACGACATTAACCAGTGATTTATTCAGTTCATCATCGGAAAGTGGATTACATATTAAACATCTACAGTTCTCAAACTCTAACCTTCAGACATTGAAGGAAAACAGTTTAGTTAATTTAAAAGAGTCGCTTGAAAGCTTGAGCATTGTAAATGGAAAGTTAGGAAACGTAAGTGATGAAACTTTTTCTTATTAAATTACTTTTAAATTAAGTGCCTCGTCAAAGTCTACTTTGATAAATTAACTCATTGCTCAATGTAATGCTTTTAAAAAATATTTTATTTTTTGTGTCTCTCGAAGCATTAATCGACAAAATGAAATTCACAAAAGAAATTATTCAATGATCACTCATCTGTGTTTACACATTTGGTTTCTGTTACTACTTGTTTATTATTCATTACATGCCACATAAAATTAAGAATAGGAAGTGGAAGTGGATGACATGAACGTATGCTGATAGTCATGATATTTTATCATTCTGAGGTATCCGACACATGCGATAAACTTCTGAATTCATTTCTCTTCTCATAAGCCTAACACTTTGTTCATTCAAATAGCAATAACAATAAAAAATGAAAGTAGTAACACAATGAATATCACATTAAGTAGGAATGAAGACAAATCCCATGGTGGGAAACAAAGGAAAATATCTTGTTGTCATCTTGACATTAGCACAGAACTTTATTCGATAAATAATTTAACTTCACCCCTTGGACTTATCTACGAAGAAACAAATAATCGTAGCAGAATTGAAATTCTGGATATTTTATTGTCCATTTAGTACTTTCAATATACATCAATTACCGTGTTTACTTCTCTGCCTTCTCAATTTTTCCATCAAGCAAAATATCATCTGAAAGAGATTTTCATTTTTTTTCTTCCCAAGCAACCTTTAATTTGTATTTTGTGAGTTTTCCTTATGTCATATTCACCTTCGTATAAAAAATCATATTTAATAATCATCAACAGGCAGAGTTGGCGATCCAAGAATTTTTTGGATCGCCGATCAAGTTAAGCGATCCAAAATTTCAAAAGTGGATCGCCGATCTGTATCGGAAAATGGATCGCCCAACTCTGTCAACAGGTTATGAGTCATATCTAAAGTCTTAAAAAAATCACTAATTACCCTCTTGGGACGTTTTGAGATTTCAATTCCGAAATTTTTCAGTGATATTTGAAAATTTGACACGCGATTCTAACTAATAGTAAAAGCTTCAAAAAAGAACTATTGGCATCGTTGGAAAGGTCTCGTCAGTGGCTTGCTCTTTCATAGACCTCAAATGAATTCGAAGGAAGAAGATAATTCTTGAACGGGAAAAATTTTTTCCGAAAAACTAATCTTTAATAAACAGACAATTTTTTCATCTTTCTTCGTTAGGAATAAAGAAAAATCCCATGGTAAAGGAAAATATCTCATTGCCATCTTGACATTAGCACAGAACTTTATTCGATAAATATCTAATTTAACTTTCCCCTTTGTACTTCTCTACGAAAAAACGAAGAAGAATTGAAATTCTGAATATTTTATTTTCCATTTAGTACTTTCAATATTCATCAATTACCGTGTTTACTTCTCGCTCATCTGTTTCATTCAGATTTATTTTTCTGCTTTCTCAATTTTACCATCAATCAAAATATCATCTAAAAGAGATTTTCATTCTGTTTCTTTCCAACCTTTAATTTGTATTTTGTGAATTTTCTTTATGTTATATTAATTGGTATTATGTTACTACTTTTGCTTTCCCTTTTTCATGGTTGATGTTTTAAATTTATTTCATTTAACTTCGTCGACTCACAAAAGTTATATTAACAATACATAAAAATACATAAAAAAGTTTTTCCACAGTTTAAGCTTTCACTTCCCATCGCCATTCATCACGTTGAAATGAAATTAAATATCTTATTTTATTTTTCCACTTTTCCGTTCCCTCCTTGTCGTTAGAAAGTTTTCAATGTAGGCCAAGCGACTGCGCTTCCCTTTTAAATGATCATCACAAGACTTTTCCATTGTTGTCATTCGAGGGAGGAAAATGATAAATTTTATTTTCTTCGTGTCAGCGGCGAAATAATGATATTTAAAAATATTATTTTATGAGTGACACATTTTTCATTGAGTCAAACGGAAGTCGTGATTTTTAAACAATAAAATAATTTATGGCTAGCACGAAGCTTTTTTAACTTCGATATCAAAAGGAAAATTCACAGTAATTTTTCCCATGAGATTCATAAGTGGCAAGTGGGCCGTTTACTAGCTTCGTTATGAAAATAAGACAAGTAGACACATTTCCTTTATATTCAAGCATAGAAATATTGTCAACAATGAAAAATTTTCTACTGCTTTCCAAAACGCTATTAAAAAAGGATTTTCAAGCGAATGAAAATCTCTTCACGACGAAAATTATTTTCATGCTTCCCTCCACATTCTGTTTGCATTACAAATCTTATTTAAATTGCGGAATCAGATAATAAAAGAAGAGAAAATCCCTTAATGTAAGCGGAGCAAATAAGAGTTTATATTCAGATCAACATTTCCTTCTTTTCTGAACTTTCTTCGTCGGTTTTTATTTATTTACATCGAGATTTTGTTATGAGAAAATATGAATTCAGATCATTTTCAACTATTGTCTAATTGTTGATGTACATAATCAAAACAAAATTTAAATAATGAACTTAAAATATTATGAACTGTTAATTGATATTTGCATCATTAAATTTATTCCATTTTGTAATTAATAATTTCGAAACAATAATCTCGACTTGAGCTTTTAATATTTCAAATTTTCAAAACATTTTTCATTTGAAATCTCCATGAATAAATTTAAAAACAAACTTAAAAGGATTTCGATCTTTCTTTTATCAATTCAAGTGTGAATCTCAATTTTTCCTTCCCTTTTTTCGTAAAAAAAATCCTTCAGCAAAGGGAAAAGGACAACACCGAAAACATAAAAATATTTACATTTTAATGACTTTTTTAAAATTGCTAAGATTAAATAAGTTTTCTAGTATTGTTTTCCTTTCTTTCCTCCGTTCGATTGCAATAAAGCAAACGAGAGAAAAAGGTAGCCAAGGCACTGTTAAATGATGAATTTTATGAATCTTACATAAATCTTTTCTTATTTATTTTTCATCTCAAATGTAATTTCATTTTTTCTTTGTTTTGTTTCTTTCCAGGTCCCAACAAAAGCTCTTTCACAGTTGCAGAAACTTATAGTTCTGGACTTTGAAGCGAATGAGATAGCAGAGTTGTATGATAATAGTTTCTATGGGATTCATTTAGTTAAACTACATTTAAAAGGAAATGCGATAGAAGATTTACCTGAAATGACATTTTCCGGACTTGAAGAGTCATTGGCTGAGATTGATTTATCGGAGAATAAATTAACATCATTTCCAATTGTTCCTTTAATTAAAATGGAGAATTTACGGTCTTTGCGTTTGTCGGTGAATCGAATAGCATACATTCAACAAGATCTCCCAGCTCAGTATTTTACATCATTAATTTTCCTTGATCTTAGCTCTAATTACCTTGAAACATTGGGCGTCGACTACTTCCGTTACTTTCCCATTTTAAGAACATTAACATTGTATAATAATTTCATTGAAAGCATAGCAAGCACATGTTTCTTTTCACTTCGTGAACTTCAATCACTTGACATTAGTCACAATGACATCATTGAAGTAGATCCTTTGATATTTGAGTTCAACAAGCACCTTCGAATCATCGACATGAGTCACAACCATATTCACTACATCAGTGGAGTTTTCTCAAACCTTCCTGAACTCGAAGAGGTGTTGTTGAGTGAAAATAATATCCTTGAACTAGGAAATAACTGCTTTTCAAACTCGAGTAGTATCAAAGTGATTTATTTGGAGAACAATTCAATTCAACGTCTCGACTTCTACGTTTTCCACTCGCTTGGGAATCTCGATCAACTTTATTTAAGTAACAACTACATCAAGAAACTTCCATCTACGATTTTTGAGTACAATCGTAAGCTCACATCACTGACGTTAGATAATAACTTGTTAAAAGTTTTAGATGACAGTGTCTTCAGTAATCTGATAAATTTACGAGAAATTCGATTAAAGGATAATCTCATCGAGCGCATCGACAACCGACTTTTTGCTAACTCCAGGAATTTAATGGAGCTTTATCTACAAAATAATCGGATTAAGACAATTGAAACAGAAGCCTTTCGACAATGTCACCGTTTGAAATATGTTGACATTCGTCACAATGAGTTGGTTGACGTTGAAAATATTTTTAACACAAACTCTTCGCTGTTATCGGTGCAGTTGAATAGCAATCTAATTAAATTCATCAACCATAAGATATTTAATAATCAATTCAATGTGCAGGTCTTGTCGTTAGAAAATAATTTAATTAAAAAGCTTGAAAAGGCACTTTTTACAAATTTATTGCATATTGAACGTTTATATTTGAAGAACAACAGCATTTACCAGATTCCTGATAATGCTTTTGATAAAATGCTAACATTAAAACATTTAGATTTGAGTATAAACGAGTTGATGACTGTCAACCAGAATCTTTTTGCAAAGCTCGTGAGACTTGAAGAGCTGCACTTGAGCCAAAACCTTATCCATTCGATTGAATCGAATTCGTTTGAAAAGTTGAAGAACTTGAAGACATTGGATTTGTCTGAAAACAATATTCATTCGTTGCATAAGGATTTGTTTGTTGATCCACTGCCATCACTTTACTATTTGAACTTGAGACGAACGAATCTATCAAAAATCGAGCCTAGTGTCTTTAAAGGTCTCACAAATCTCAATGAATTGAATCTTGACGAGAATTTCTTGCACTCTTGGGACATTAGACAAATTGACATTCCAAGCTTACGAGTGATGAGAATATCTTCAAACAATTTCAGTGTGTCAGCAATTAAAGAGAATATGTTTGATAAATTGCCATCATTACAAACATTAATTATGGTTGATTGTGGAATTACACAACTACCCGACACCCTTTTCGTTCGAAACACAAACCTCGTACGAATCGACTTAAGTCGCAATCAACTTCGTGTGATAAATCGTAATCTCTTTAGCCGATTGAATGTGTTTAAAGAGCTTAACTTAAATAAGAACGTTATTAATGATTTTCCACACATGGCGCTTTCGAACATCTCAACGTTGGAAATTTTATCACTCGCCAACAATGCTATCAACTACATCGATTTTTTCAAATTGAATGGATTACCAAACTTGAGGCAGTTGGATTTAAGCGAAAATCTGATAACATCAATCAGTGGCTTTAACACAGCACATTTACCACATTTGGACATGATCGATTTGAGTGGAAATTCATTGTTTTCATTGCCGAGTAATTTCTTCCAACACTCAATAAGCCTTCAACGCATCGATTTAGCATTCAATCGTTTCATGCAGATTCCATCGACTGCATTGTCAAAGAACTCTTTGGCTCGTTTGGCATGGCTGAATTTGACCGGAAATCCGCTGGAGAAAATCTATGCAGGCGGCATTCAAGACGAAAAATATCCATATTTAACTGAGCTTCATATTCGCCAGACAAACTTATCGATTTTAACCAGCAAAGACTTTGAAATGTTCCCAGCACTACAGAATTTGTATCTCACACAAAATCATATCAATCGAATATCGCCGGGAGCATTTATAACATTGTCGACTTTGCAAATATTGGATTTAAGTCAGAATGTTATTGAGATGCTGCCAAAAGAACGACTACAAGGACTTTATCAACTGACCAAGCTCAATGTCTCAAACAATAATCTTCGAGATTTGGAAGAATTCTCTCAAGATTTGGGCCTCTTGAAATCAATCGACTTATCGTATAATCAATTGAATATAATCAATAAAGAGACGTTTAGTTATTTATTGAGTCTGAGGGAACTTCATCTTACAGCAAATCGGTTGACGACCATTCCGATGGATTCATTTCGAACCCTTAGGAAGCTTGAATTGTTGGATATACAAAGAAACAATTTCGATTCATTGCCGCTGAAAGCTTTAAGGCCACTGGAAACACATTTGAAGCATTTGAGAATTTCAGGTAAATATTTAACAATATTGAAATGTAAACTATGGAAATTTTATAATTTTATTTCAATTATTAAGATTTGAATTGACCTACAAAACTTGACTTTAAATTCAAATTCAAGTCAAGTAGAGAATTCACGAGAGTCAAGTTCAAAAGCTCCAAATGAAGAAGAATAAATTTTCTTACTAATATTTCATTTCCTAGAACTTTCAACAAAAAAAAGAGGAAATGTGTGCAAAAAAATGCGATGCATTAAATCATCAGAGTCGTTTTGACTCTACTGATAGTGTCATTATTAGTCGATAATTGCATCATAAATTTTGCCACCGGAATGTCTCCATAATTCAAGCGCATAGCATAATTTTTTCAGTGATTCTATTTTCGCTTTAATCAAATCATCAATAAATTCTTCTCCAATTTCCTCTTGAAATTGAAATTTAATGGAAATTTATGGGATAAATTTTACAGAAAAATATTCGCTTTTCAATTTTATTTTTAAAGGTAACCCAATTCACTGCTCATGTGAATCTCAAGAGCTTTGGGAGTGGTTGCATGACCATCTGAAATGGAAGCTTCTCGATGAGGTTACAGGCAAAAGTCAACTAAATTGTAATCAACCTGAGACATTGAAGGGAAAAGATTTCCTTAAGATGGAACCACAAGATTTTTGCGATGCTCCGTTGATTATGAAACTCGCCATTCAAGATATTCAACCTTATTCAGTGCTGGTTTCATGGCAAAGTCGAGAGCACTCGGGATTGAATGGTTATCAAGTGATTTACCATTCATTAGAAGTGCCGGATGAGGTGAGATAAAAAGAAATTAAAAACTTTTTACAAGAGCTTTAAAAAAAATTAATATTATAAAATTTTATAACTTCAACAGGTTCGCAGCATGTACTTGAACAGATCATCAAATTCAGCTCGTTTAATCGCTCTTGCGTCAAACACTTTGTATTTAATATGTGTTTTGGGAGTTGGCAATTGGTTGACATACCAAAACGACTTCAATAATAGCGATAGTACATCTCATAATTTAATTGCTACTATAACAAATGCCCAAAACGAAGTTTACCCTGAGGCGATTAAAGGACTGTTGACAGAGTCAATGACTTCAAGATGTACGCAAGTTAGGACACTTTATGCCTTAAGTAGCATCATGGAAATGGATTCGTTGTCTAGCAATGGATTTTTCCACTCGTTAGTAACACGACGACTGGGATTAATTGTTGGATGTTGCTTGGGGATTTTCGTCTTTATCATTCTTATCGCTGTTCTCGGTTGGCTAAAAGTGAAAAAGCGGAGAATTGAGCAAGCCAAACGACAACAAATGCCACAAGAATTTCTATCGTATCGTTCGTATGCCGTTGCACAAGAAGAGCAAAGTCGTGAATTGAATCATTATAACAACAATGCAGCATTGACGCATCACATGACAAAGGAGCACGCTAAAGATAATTTAAGTAATATGTCAAATTGTCAACATCATCACATGCATAATTCTCATGGGCATCCTAATTATATATCGGGAACAGTTATGGGAACTACCACAGTACCAATGTAATCATTTTTTATTAATAATAGACAAACATCTTGTGGATATTTATTTAGTAGAAGTTGAGATTTTTGTTCTAAATATTTTTCGAATTGCTTCCTGTAACAATAAAGCACATAAAATGATGATTCAATCGTCAGCAATTATTATTATTATACTGATCTGAAGAGGAAAACAACATTTCCTGAACTGAAAGTGATGTAGGGACATGAAGAAAAATTCATAACACAAAACAAACCAATTTGTTTCAGTGTTTGTTTTATTGTTTACTGTGCATGAGTACGAAGAAAAAAGAACACAGGAAGAGTAAGATTGGCATGAAAAAATAAAAATAAAATCATAATAAACATTTCTGCTTCCTTTTTTTTATTTGATTATCTTTGAGATTTGATTCAAATTCTTAATTTTTTATGAGAAATATTCTCTGAAAGCATAGCAAGATGATAAATGAATCTAAAGCATCATTTTCATCTCATATGTTTGTATCTTCGATTAAGTGGGATGATTTTTATCCTTCAATCGAGAGGGAAATTATCAAGGAATAAGAAATGAGAAAAGTGTGGGCGGGTGGGTTAAGTATGAACATAGCAGTACAGTTTTAGTTAAGGTTGAAGCATTCAAATGATTTTCTGTTTACTTTGCTAATTCAATATGTAAGAAACTCATCAAAGCTTTCAATCGTTTCAATTACTATTACGTATTTCTCTTGGTTAGTGGTCAACCAAACCCGTATATGCCTTTGGTGATGCCTATCGGAAAATCAAATAAGGAAGATAAAATCTTCTTTTTTATATCGAAAATAAATTGAAAAAGGTTGTTCCATTTGCTTCATTTCCAATTTACGTTGTGACTTTTCTAAAAATAAATAAATAAATAAAAATAGAGACTTTTAGTGAGTTAGGGTTGAGAATGGATTGACAGTAAAATAGTTAAGTTTTCTATATTCATAAATACGTATCTAAGTATAATAACTAGAGAATCCTAATGTCTAAATGTAAGTAAAAAAAGAAAAAGTTAGACTAAAAATGCTTTATTCATGTTGGAGTTAGCTACGTTTTTTAACAGTAATCGATTTTTTTCCTAATTCTTTATGATGAATTGAGATTTTTATATGACACATTTGGCAAAAAATAAAAAGAGTTTTTTAAGCTTAGAACTTCCGCAGTATTTTATGAGTGATGGTTTTAATGATAGTTGAATTTTGGTTGCAATCAATCAACTGAAAATTGATTTATTGAAGTATAATAGACCGAGTTAGAACAATTAAATAAATTAATGTAAGATGATGAATGAAATTTGAATTGAGTTGGTTATTTGTATTCAATTATAAATTAAAGATTACTTATTAATATAGATGAATTGAGCAGAAATATCGTTCATGAGTTATGAAAGGCTTTAAGTGATTTATTGAAGGCAATGAGAAATGCAACCATGTAAGATTAAAATGAGTAGTTGGAGTAAAAAAGATTTAACTTGGCCATAAACATTTCATGTTGATCACATTTTAATGAAATTTTTGACAACCTAATTTATGTTTAAAGGGATTTAAAATTCGAGAAAATTCAGTAAATGTTTAACTTAGACATCCAATAAAGTGTTAAATAAGAATTGAGTCACAATAAACTTGGCCAAGTTACGTCAACTTCCTCCTTGTATCTAATTCCAACTCAAATATGATTAATGGATGTAACTTAAAATGTTTACATCTTCATATAAAATTAAAATGTGTTAAATATATGTGAGAAAATGTGTAAATATCTGGCCCTGGGTGATAAATTCACAAGAAATGTTTCTTTTCTATCTAAACCAATAAATCTAAAAAATTAACACATAATGATAATCAGAAATAAAATTACTTTGAAATGAATTTGCGTTGTTTTACTGGAAAATCTTTTACAGAGACCGAAATGAGGTATAAAAGCTAAAGTTTGCGTCGTAATAACTTGCTGAGTTTATGAAGTAAGAAAGTTTATGAAGTCTTCATGATCGTAAAGCTTTTTATATTAAAATAATGTTCAACATTCTTACAGGTAGATACATGAACATCTCAAAGCAACATTCATCTATACACGCGCCGAAAAAAATGTAGCAAAATATGTAACACAAATCCAAGTTCATTAATAATGGAATAACATTAAAGCTCAAATAATTTTTCTATCAAGAAGCGTATAAATTGTCAAAATATTTTCCTGTATAAACGCAAAAGATTTCGAATAATTTATTAAAATTGAGCAGCTGACAAAATATGAAGCCTTTGAACTGTTACAACAACTCATTCAACGGCAATGTTCATTTTGGGACGTATTTTAATAGCTACAAGGCAAGGGTAAACTAAGGGATAGAATTTTGCTTTTAAGCTTTGAATTAAAACTTTGAAACTCCATAATTCACATCACACATATGATGTGTAAGACTCTTTCTCAAACACCAATAGAAAAACATGTAAAGGAATTTTATATCTTTGTCTTCCCTCAAATTTTCAACAAAATGGAAAATTACTTGAGGGTGTTACAAAGGTTTCAAATTTATCACCAACAATTTTAGTTGATAAGCATACATAAAATTATGTATTTAAATAATTCAGAAATTTTATTTTATTTGTTGTTTAAAATAAATGTAAACAATTTTGTGTTTTGAATGCCAGTCAATTACCAATCTGATGCTAATTTATTGAACTTTCAATAGGTTAATCGATTAAATAATTATTTAAGGCTTTATTATAATGTTTATTGACAATAGTAATCAACTATTTTTTATGATATTAATTTATTTACAATTGATCTACTCAATTAATAAGAAAATATTTATTTGCTGCCTTCAAGTCGTCTTTTTAAACGACAGTAGATTAAATCGATCGTTTGTAATGAAAGTCTTAATTATGTTTGAGATTATAATTTATCATCATTAATGTTATGATTGGTAGTATAAGTAGTAAATGAAGCATTCAGTTACATGTTTGAATCCTAATAACACGTATTTGCTTAGAATAACAAGACTGACAATCTCAACATCTCCAAATAGAATTGCCATGTAGGAAGTTAAAAGACAAATATTCCCATGAAGATGCGGATCCTTATTTACAATACAAACTCACCCTTAGGCTACTTCATGTCGAAAATCTCAATTCCTTTTATTAGAAGATCGACAGCGATTCTTCCTGAAGCAAAGAAATTATGATAATTTACTTAATAATTTAAAACATGAGCAGCATTCAACATTTCAAATGAGTTTTAGTTGCAAGTTGCTGGGTGAAATTTTTTTATCTTTCATCATATTTCGTTCAAATTATGTTAATTTTGTAGACCAAACGAAATTATTTTTGTCAACAATGTTTCTGTCCATATAAGAAATTATGAATTCATTCAATGTTTTAGCGAAATAATACTAAATCGTGTATTCAATTCCCGCTTTTAATTATAGTATTGAAATATTCATAACTTTCGTGTAAACTTTTCTCATTAATAACGCTTGGAGGGTCGCAAAGTTTTTGTTTGAAGTATGTTTTAAGACAAATTATCATACAATAAATAGACTACTGCGAAGTTAATTAACTGTCATGGAATCGCTTCATGAGCAGTGTTAATGCGATATCACGCTGAGCTTTCTCCCTTTGATATTGAAATAAGAGTTGAAACCTTTCATGATATCTAACGAAGCAACATAAAGAGAACTCGAGCAAGGTTTTCAAACTCATCGCAAATAGTCATTTTTCTGAAATAATAATTATAGTGATACATGATCGATCTCATGATGACAACTCGTTAACAAAAGTATTCATTTGATTCACATGGGCTACAAATCTTCACCGATGCCTTTTCAATATGAAAAGTTTTGCAAACATCGCTTCGATGCGATGTGAAAACATTTTTCGTAATGTCATCGACGCAATCTTATTTCTCCGCTTTGCAAGCAACATTCTATTAGTACAAAGAAATAAATCATTAAGTTGCTGTTCACTGAAATGAAAATCGATTTCCTTTCTTCGGTATGTCTGTTCAGCCTCTTCTGATGTTCTTTTTTTCATTCGAGCGACTTCATATTGTGTGATAGTGAGGAAAACAAAATATCTAACGAAGGAAAAAAGAATCAACAAAACAAAATTGAAGAATTCTTTTTGAAAAGCAATTTAAAACTCTCAACATACATCACCATAGTTATATGTACTTTAAAAAGTGCATAAATTTCGAAGACTTTATAAAATAGCAAAAGTTTTCAGTTTCTCTTGAAAACGAGAAATATTTTAATTTAAAATACAATTTAAAAAATATTTTCGAAATATGCTTTCGTTCACTTACAAAAGCTGGTAATGAAACTGACCATAGAAAGCTTCAAAGGCATTTGCTGGGCGAAAGAAGGAACTTAAAATTGTAACTGAAAGCAAACAACTTCGCTTTCTTTAATGGATTTTTCTGCTTTTCCCTCTTTGTGCTTCGTCGGATTCTTTTTCTTTAATGTATTTCTTATTGTTATTTTAAAGTGTTTAAGCGCCCACTTCTTAACTCTAACTTCGAATCATCATCTCCCAGCGAAAGTTTCAGGTTTTTAAATGTCCATTCAAGACAAATTAAATTTCTCAATAAATCAAGATAACATCAACATGTCTGTTTTCCCAACATTATTATGTTTGCGAGTGTCAAATCTCAAAAATAAACTCAACTTTCCGTCATGTCTCAGACGAAGCTTATAAAATACGTGAGTCGAATACGGTCTGCGAAGTTTTGGACTTTCAATTTCTCAAGCTTACATGTTTGATTTACTCATTTTATCAGTAATAACACAAGAAAGGTTTCATACTTATGAAATTACTTTTGGTAAAAGCAAGTATAAAAGTAATTAAAACAATTTAAATAAATCTTTAACTAAAATAAACTACAAAGTCAGGAATAATTAGAAAGAAACTATTCATCAAGAAGATTTCAGTCTCAACAATGCAAAATAAACCCAAAAGTTTAAGTCTGATCATTGCTTGTGCATTTCTTTGTCAATCTTACTTTCAATCATTAATCTTTCGTCATCAAGCTTGAGCTTTCTCTCCATTAAATTCTATCAGTTCAGAAGCTTATCTTCCTTTTTTACTCTTGTCCAAGGTCCTTGAATGTCTCAAAGGGAGTCAATTTCATCTCATTGTTGTATGCCTTAAAACTAGAATATAAAAAAACGAATCATTGTGAGATACTCAAGACACAGAAGCTGTTTAATAAATGATGCATCATATCCTTATCCGATTTGAGGCAAACATTACATTCAATTTATTAAAGATTGTGAAGTGACAACAAATGATAAATTTTGTTTCGTTCAAATTGTGTATAAAATGAAAAGAAGTTTTTATTTTGATAAATATCTTGTGATTTCTGTTCTGACATAGAAATAAAGCGTTTTGTCTCGTTGGATAAAAAATAAACTTTATTTATTGCAATTGACAACACACCCAGTTAGAAAAAGTCAAGAAAATTCTTTTTGTAATTTTTCACTTATCCTGATTTCATTTACAGAAGTTTAAAGTGAAGTCTACTCATTAATTTACGAATGACAAAACATGCTCACTATCTGGGAAAAGTTCACTTTAAATATTTTCTCGTGATAAAATCTTTGCAGCACTTCATTCCGTGACTTATTTTCAAAGATAGAAAAGATATGAAAAATAGGATGGTGAAAATTCATATCTTCTTAAATTGAAATGATAGATACAACTCCGATGTAATCACTCAGAAATTTATCATTCCAGCTCATTGAACTCGAGAAAAATTCATTCATTGGACGTGACTAAAATTGTCATACGCATTTAGCATCAGACACTCGGTCGTGTTCAGACAGAGAAGGAAAAAAAATTAATTTTCAAAATGCTGCTTGAAAATATTATGTCAGATTTTCACAAGCCTCTCTCCATGTTTAATACAATAAATTGAATCACGTTGCGTCGTATGTCATGTCAAGTCGCTTAAAATACTATCCATCGTTTCTATCGTTATTCGTTGACCAATTCACGACATCGTCCACATAATCATATCAAATTACTAACATAATTAATGAGGATCGAGATGAAAATGAGCCTCAAGCAGTTCAAAATAAATTTTGTGAGCCTCCAAATAAGCTAATCTGACGTAGGTTATTAAACTTGCATGGCACAGATCACAATATTACATAATATAAAGATAAATTTTGGGATGCTTTCTATAGAAACTGAGCAAACTTTTCTTTCTTTATTTCTTTCGAATCATTGATTTTATTACAGCAGCGTAAAGAAGCAGAAAGCTTTCTTTCCTGAATATCGAACAATAAAAAGCTTTTACCTTAAATCTTATGGATTGATTCAACCTCTATTGTCAGTTTTATTGATCGCTACTGAAATATTAACGGAAGGGATTCCAAACCATCATCCACTTGACAATCAAGCAAGCACCACCTATTTGTCTTAAGCTAAGTTTTATTTCTATTTTGGGGACCAAATCACATTGACACAATCGATGTAGTTTTATCACCAGAATGAGAAGGAAAAATGACAAATATCCAAACATTTCTTTCATATTTTGGCAATCTTTATAACGATTGTGATATCGAAAATTACTCTCAAGAGTGATCTTATCGAAAGATAAAAAAATGAATTAAGTTTAAACCTTTAATATGAATTAACGTGAAGTGTTCGTCACAATAATCATAAAGCGAATGCTTTGTGGTATGTTACGTGACATTTCTGACATTTCTTCCATCATTGATTAGTGCAAGAGTAGTAAAAAAATTATAAATCTTGTGACAGATTTTTTACTGTTGTAATTTATATTTTTCTGTGTTTTTAGATAAAACTTGAATTTAACAAACTTTTATTTGTTTTTCTTTCTTTCATAGAAAAAATGTCATGTTTACAGTCAGTTAAACAAAACAGTTTTTCTGATATATTTTTTCACTTTAACTCTCACTCAGACGAGACAAATATTTACGATTTCAACTGACATGCTATCAAGAATTCGGTTACAATTCTAAAGAGGAAAAACATAAAAATGTGCAATTTCATATATAAACACAAGTTCAGCACACGATTTAGAGACAACAAATCCTATTCACGCTTTGTATTGCGTTTTTTAAGAAACTATTCAAACAATAAGAAAGAAGCTTTCCGTAGTTGAAGAAGAGAAATTTCCTTGCAAGATGAGATAAATTTCTTAAATAAATAAAAATAAAATTGCTTACGTTTCTCCATTCACGGAGCTATGAAATATGACTGGAATAAATTTTTGCAGTTTTAATCTTATTTATGTATCTTGAGATTGAAGAAAGCAAAGTTTTCGTTTTTGAATTTCATTCTCCACTTTCGTTTATGAAATTAAAATTTTGATATGTTTGTTTTCATACTTATAAATGTCATAAATTTAAATAAAGTTTAATGCTCTTTGTTGCTTGAAGGTTTCAGTTGAAAATTGAAAATTTATGTCCAATGTTTACTCTCGCATGTTTTCAAACGATTGGAGATTTCCTTGCTTTATTTCGCACAAATTTGTCCCGGTAAGGGTGAATGGTGGATGCTGCCATTTAACCTGCTGTCAGTAACGAATGAATAAGTTTCACTTTTGTTTATTCCCTGCCATTGAAATATTCAAATGTAGCAAATAAATCCACATCAATCGACTTTTATTGAATTTTCAAATGACAAGGAAACTAAATTTAAATTTATTTCTCTAGATAAATCTAACATAAAGTTTAAGTAAAAAGGAAACAAATGATTTCGAATTTCCTTTTCGCATAGAAATCCGATTATTTGCAGCGATCTGGGAATGTTCACTAAAATATTTCCAAATGATTAGTTTGGGCCCAAACATGAGGTGAGATGGAAATTGACAGTTTGTTAGTGGAATTAAGTTTGTTTTTGATGTGGATATGGCAAAATGCAATTTGTGACGTGGGAAATAATAATTGCAATCTATATAGAAACAAACGATGGATAAGCATCGAATGATTGTCTGATACGAGCTGTTACAACTACCAATTCCCAATTGGGAAACAAAGAAAAGTTCATTTCAAAGTTGATTTAAATATTTTCCATTTCAAAAGAGATTATCGAATGAATTTCATCATTCCAGACATTCTTCTGACTATGTAAGATATTCAAGGTGTTGGCAGTGCTAAACTTCGTTTTATTTCTTTCTCGAATTCATGTTAAACTGTGTCGAATTCACAATATCAAACAAATGGAACTTCCCGTAGAGAATCGAGTAAATTTTTTAAAGCTTAAACTACACCCCCACGCGTTCATATAAGACCATTCTTATTTTAACTGAAAATAAAAAATGAGAAGCTGCAAAAAAAATCAATTGATGCACAATTATTGTAACGCTCCTAACTCACCTTTTTATCGTGTAAACATTCAATTTCATCTGTAAAAGGAATGATAATAGACAAAAGTGTTTGTCGTGGAGTCGCTTTCGTATACGACCACTTCCTATATTTAGCTGTAATGTTACAATTTTATGCTTTTAACGGCCTAATTGACATTCATTATGATGAACTAAATCATATAATTAATATTCTGTTGAATTGGTTTACATTTTGAATAAGGAAATTTTGCAATGTCTTCAATGACCCATCAAGTGCCATAAGTACTTAAATTTTAATTTTTTTCTAATAAACTTATGTTTTTCTAATTTTTATATATTCNTTCTCGAATTCATGTTAAACTGTGTCGAATTCACAATATCAAACAAATGGAACTTCCCGTAGAGAATCGAGTAAATTTTTTAAAGCTTAAACTTTATTTCAATGCAATTTGCAAGTTCTCCAATTGTTTGGAAAACTAAAATGTTCAAAATCAAACTTTTCTTCGTCGATTACTGATTATTTATGAAACTTTTATGTGTTTTTACAATGGAGCATCTTTTCTTGCTTTCATTGATTCATTCGTAAGGGTAATTGTTTAACAAAGAAAACATTCTGTTGGATTAAAGCCATGAGCTTTTCTTCCAAACTTCATTCCATTGCACAAGATGATCCTTTTTTCGAACAATCACGTAAAAAACAAATAAAATTCTCATGAAACTGATGTTTCAGAATGAAGAAAAAGTTTGTTTAAACTAAGCCTTAGATCAAATTTCGAATTTTATTTAAAGTTTAAGCTTACGTATGTGAGCTGATCTTCTCATTTGAATAGAATAAACTGTACATTAGTGCTTAAATTCCATTATAGTAACAGTCAAGTAAGTTTTGAAATAACTCAGAATGATAGAAAACAAAGAAATTCTCTAATTTGGTGTATCAGAAATACGAAAATATTGTCAAAACAGAAACAAGTTGTGACTTTGGTGACTAAATTACATAATTTAGCTTCGAATCCGAGAAGTCTTTTCTAGTTTTACTAACCACATTTTATATTCTCCGAAAACAAACGAAGAGTTAAGTCGATTTAATGCACATTTGAATTTTGTGATTTAAGAAATTCTCCCTAAATTCATTTTTGCAAATGTGATCAGAAAAGGATTTTCCGTTTTATGCGGTTGAGAATTGGAAATTTTCTCAAAAATTATTTTCACACGACTCTTTAAACGGTTGAGAATGACGAGCAACGTTCACAACTTTAGTTGTGAAATGCTTCGAAGATTTATTGTGAAGGTTTGCATTTCAATTTCAAGGATGAATAAAGTTTAAGGATGATTAATAAAAATTTATTTCAAATATTTGAGAGATTTGCTTGACCAAGAATTTTAAATTCTTTCACTGTTTTAATTCACCTTCATTTGGAAACCTTCAAAACACCCAAAATTCAAATTTCCACTTAAGAATTCCATTTTTGTTTTTAATTCATCTGAAGGATTTTAAGGCAACTTCTTCGGCTTTTGTTAGCACAAAAGTTGATCACATATTAAGTCAGACACAAACGTTTCAAAGACATTCACCAGCATAAAAGGTCTTGTGACCATCATTCGACCATCTTTTCAAATAAATTGAAATATTAGGAAAAAGGTTGGACATAGCTTTACAAACTACCGTTCTCCAATGTTGTTTTCCATTCTTTTACCTTTTTTAAATAACCCATTTTAATCACGTAGCATTTATTGAATTTGTGGCTGTTTGCCAAAATGTCTTCAAAAACTTATAGATAGCAATTGGAAGGAGTTCAAGGTGCTCATATATTTCCTTTATTATTTGTCGTTTCAGGGAAGTTCAATTATGGCTTTAAAATTTATGAAACTATTGTTTTTGTGTTAGTTTAATTGTACATCAAGTCGATGTTCCATGTTCGCTTTAATGTCTTTTACTTCCTTTAGTGCTTCTTGAAGCTTAAAAATTCATTTTAATAAATCTATTTTACTGCTATCGATTAAACTCTCAACAACTTTATTTCACTATTTAAGTATTTATGGTACAAAATTTCTTTAACAAATAACATGAAAATATAAAATTCTGATTTAATTCTGTTATTATTCTTCCCACAACAGATCATCATCTCGAGAAGAAATTTATCTTTGATTCTTTTGATATGTATGTTTAAGCACACCGAGAATGAATAAAACATTCTGACTTTCTTTCATGAAGCACTCGAGTAAAAAATTTAGAAAATATTTCTTCCCTCACAATTGCAAAAAAATGTGAACATAAATTTCTTGCTAAAAGCAGCTAAAAGTATAAACACCACAAAAGAATTTATTCGGAGAATGGTTTATCGCTTTTCCCCTCTGAAATGGAATAAATACCAGCTCTCGATATCCAATACTGGTTTTGCCATAACATGCTGAGAGGATAAGTGCTTTTGATCAACCCAAGAAAAATGTTTTCACATTAAATATGAAAATTCTTCAATTTCATCGCCACTCAAAATTATGCAAATTTCAATAACACAAAAACTCAAAGGCGCGTCTGAAACTTGTTAATGTTTGAGCACCCTCGTTCTACTTTCATTCGTTTCTCGGCTCACAAGATGAACCCAAATTTATGCGAGGCTCTTATGAGCAAATAGCCCATCTTGTTTAGTACTTCATTTGAATGCTCGTCAGACCTCCGTGGCATAAGAACTTTGTGACATGATAGGAATTAATTTTTCGCATACTAAGAGAGCAGTGATCCCCGTCGGCGATGACTCTAAATCCATTCAAAGGAACATGTTTTAATGAAAATGCTAACAAAATAAATTTAAATTTCCATGTATTGAATTTTTGGGAAATTTATTTACACTCTCGAGCTCAAGTAATGAGATATTCTGTACGATGACATCGAATAAACCGAGCAATTATCTTAAACGAAATGATTTTGACGTGAACGAGACTTTACGGAAATTTTCAGAGTAAACATCGTTAAGCATAAAATGTAGGAAAGCGGGAATTCTTATGCATTTCAAATGAAGTCTGCAGAACAAATGATAAGAGAACAAAACACGTTTGCACTCTTCGTGGTTTTTCATTCCCTTCTCATAATTTATCCAATTATAAGCCTTCTTGTAAACAACATTTCAACCCCTTTGTTTCATCAGTTTAATGGCTCATAGAAAGAAATGTAATATAAAAAGTTTTTGATCCGACACTTGCAAGTATAAGGAAGCAATTGCCAGCCACTTCATTAAAAGAAACGACTTATTTTAATTATCTCGCAACGAGGCTATAAAAATTGCGCTTTAAATATTTGCACTAAAAACAATTAAGCGATATCCGCTTTTAATGTTGCTGCTTGCATTCACCATCAGCAATGTTCATTTCATTTTCCAGATCTCTTCTTCCTTTTTTTTATAAGCAGAAAACGTTGAAGATAAATAAAAGAATTTCATTCTATATTGGCTCAATGGAGAACGGTGACGGGTTAGAGTGGGTTTGTTTGTGTTTTACAGTTTGTAAGTAACGACATTCGTTTTCTGGGTCGCATTTAATCAAGAGACAAAGAGATGAACGTGTAGAAGAGAAGCGAGCTTTCGTGTGACAAAATTTTTCACGCTTCCGTTAACCATTTGTACGTGACTATCGTTATCATTAGGACCACTTTGCAATTTCTTAATGGAAGAAATTGGTGTGAGAAATGAAAAGAGAAACAAACAAGTCTTAGCTGCTGTAAGAAGCTTTTTTTATGAGCTTTTCACCGTTGAGAAATGAACGAATGAGGGCACAATGACATTATTTTTCTTCCATTGTCATTTCGACTTCTTCTTCCTAATACACTTTGCCTCGAAGGTGAAATCCTTTTACAACTCTACACGACCGATCATATTATTTTAGGCTTGTTTACTCTATGCTTATCTGCTTGTCTGTATGCAAAGGACGAAACGTCGAAGGTTTTTTATTTAAACAAAAAAAAAATCGCGGGCTAGGATTTTTAACGATTTTGTAAGTAGATTGCCTTAAGCGGATAAATTGATATTCAAACAAATGTTCTATGTACATATTTGAATTTTATGTTCTTCCATTTTAATGTCTTCCTAGAATTCGATTGCTTTTTTCGAATGTTGAATTTTAATTGAACTCAAGTTGTTCATCCGATGAACGAAACATGAGACGATCTAAATGCAAAATATTAATTGCTGTGTCATTCTTTCTATTTGAGATAATTTCAGACAATGGAAAATGAAAATTATCTCTGAAGTAGGTGACAGAAGAGAGAAATGATTTAAAGCTTTTTTTTCATATTTCCATCCATAAATCTTCCTTGTGAAATTCAATGGAAAAAAAAAGCAATTGAACAGTCGAAAGGTGACTGCACATTTCAAGACATTCTCAATGGTATTAAGATACGAAATGAAAAGCTGGATGATTGTTTAAGGTGAGAAAGCTGTTTAGCATGAGCATTGAGTGGAATTGTCATGCACATTTAACATAAAGCTTATCGATTTTCAAAGGGATTTATGGGATCAAAAAAAAACTTTGAAATTCGATTTAAACTTTTCGTAAGCAGATCATAATTCTTTTCTCAGGTTTCAGATGCTAAATAAAGTTTGATTTCTTACCTTCTACTTCGAAAATCTCCATCCCTTTATGTTGAATATCTAAATAGATTTAACACCAAAAAATCTTTTGCACCTTTTTTTTTTTTGCTTTACTTCCCTTAAGTCAACAATTCAAAATTCAATGTTGTAAAAGATAAACCCCCTAAAGGTAAATGTAAGAAAATATTTTTCTTAATATATATCGGCAGATATTTTCGGATGAAAAATTACTTGGAAATTTTTTCAATTTTATTCTTCTTTTCACTTTGTTTGAGAAAATTTGAAAAGGGACGATTCGAAGACGACAAAGGCAAAAGTTTCTTTTTGCCAATAAATTTATATCCGAAATATTGCAAAGCAATGTGAAATGATAGAATTTCTCATGCTCTGTCGATTTATTATTCGCATGTTTCAACTTTGTTAAAATAGATTATCAGAGCAAGTGTTAAATATTTTAAGGAACGGACCCAAATATTTTCAAATCTTAAATATCCTCGAATACTTTTTGAGATTATCATCTAGCATTATGTTTCAGAGAAATTCTCTGGCAAGAAATGTTCAATATTTAATTGACCTTTCAGTATCTTCTGACCATGAAACGTTTTTCTTAAACTTCCAGCTTTTAATTTTGTTATAGCATAAAGAAACTTTCCTTAATAAGTTACATAGATACCAAAACAATTTTCAAAGCCCTTTAATATGCTGAAACTTTGAAGATTTTTTCTTTTTTTTGCTGAAAGTAGAAAGCTTAAGATTGTCTCAAATTAATAAAACATTTTATGTTGCCGTCGTGACAAGTATCATAAAAGCCATGACAGAAACAATAATTATAAGAACAATAATCTTAATTTAGTGACAACACAAATTTGTCATTCGTTTAACGTGAAAGTGAGGAAAATGAATCAATCAAGGCATCTGGAAAAGAAGGAATTTAAATTTTGTCTTTCTTACAACTTCTTCTGTCATAAGAAAAAAATAAATTTGAAATTTTTTGTCACTTCAAACCTTTAAGTTTGTGTTATATCTTTGAAGGTAGATCGTGTCATTTCCCAGAAGAACTTTCTTCTTGTTTCCCATTTGAATGTAAATTCTTGTGGAAGGATTTTCTTTCTTTCGTACATTTTTTTGCCTTAAAGAAATTCGAGGTTTTTTCTTTTAATCTGACACCAACGCGCACTGATTTTACAACATTTTTACTTTTACAATCTTGAGATAAAATCTCCTCCTCAAGGGGAAATTCGTCTTCGTATTTCTAGCTTCTTGTTTAAAAAAAGAAGTATCTAAGTTAAGCAATAAATTTTCTCGTTCTTGTTCTTTTAAGTTGCATTCTCTTTTGAATGAGCTCACTTCATTTCTTCTTGTGGATTTGTTAAAGCATAACAGATCAAAATGCAAACATCGAGTTACCCAAGAGCTTTGCTTCAACTATATGCATATGTGAAATAAAGTTTCATATCTCTTTGATAATTCTTTTCACTTTATTTTTTATTCATTTGGATTACTTTTTAATAAAAAATCGAATCACATTAACTTTCCAGCTTTTTTTTTGTTGCAAAACTTCTATCTAAACTTCCGATATTATTAACCTTCCTTCCTTTCTACAAACTCCACCGATTAAACTTCTTCCTTTAGGGCAAATAGACCCAGCAAGAATAATCGTTTGAGTCTCTGTTCCGACCACATCCTTTTGAAGTGATGTTGTGATTTCAATAGCTGAAAAAATTATTTTAAGTAATATCACAAGATTATATTAATTCAATGTTTCACATAGATCACTGCTTTTTGATTCTTTTTCTGTATCCAAATTGTTGATTGGAAAACTATTTATTGCGTCAAAACTTAAAACAAATAAAACAAAAATCGGAATCCAAATTTTGTTCATCTTTTTCAGTGCGCTTGAAAATAAAACTGACCAAACAAAATTGTTATCAACGAAGCTGCTGACAAAGGTTATCAATTAATAATATTTTTCTGACTTCAAAAAAATGCTACAAATAAGAGATTTCAAGCTAGGTCTGACAAGTACCTACTTCATTTAATTTAATACAGTATCAGTTTTCATTTTGTTAAATAAACAGAAAGATATTTATGGAAATTTTATTTACACTTATATTTGGGATCATTTATGAATACATTTTGAACAAACTCAATTAGAAAGTTAATCATCATCATCAGAACAAACTAAATATTTATTAAGCCCAAACCTGTGTACATAAATTTGTTTCAAAACAAATAAAAATAAAAGGGATAGAAATTTTCGCGCCAAATTTTGTCTAAATTTCCCCTTCCTCAAAGAATGTTACCCCTTCTTAACGGTTGCGCTTCACCAGTCGAATTTTTGCGCGAACGGATTAAACATTTTTGTAAACAAAGCAAACAAATAACCGATCGCTTTATTTAATTTACATTTCAATATATTTCTGCAAACATTTAAATTTCAAAAGTTTAATATTGGTTATCATATTAAAGTGCATTCTCTACTTCACATCATCATAAATGTATTTAATAAAAACATTAAATAAAGCAAGAATTGTGAAAGAAAAAATCGACTCAGGAAATTTATCTCAAAACAGTTTAATCTACTTAAATAAGATTTATAGTCAATGAACTTTATTAAATCTGCATAAAGTGCCTTAAAATATATTTTTGAGAAGTTTCCAGTTATTAAAAAGTAAATTTAGAATTAAAATAAAAATTTCGGGAAGTTAGGTTAGTTGTTGTTGTGTATATGAAAACAAGAAGAATGAGTGAGAAAGCAAAGCTTATAATGGCAACAGGAGTAACAAAAACAGCCCGCCGTCGTATATCGCCTCGGTCTCTTTCAAAATGTCAAACAGAGCGTGCTCGAAAAGCAAAAATGATTTCAAAGTCTTTATTTGGAATGTCAAATAAAGCAGAGTTAAAAGAGTAAGGACGATACAATCCTAAATGAGTATTACTTTATGCTAATTTATTCTTTTGTTTTAGACATCTCAAAGCCACAGGCAATGAATCAAAAGCTTCCAAACAGTGGGAGTTTGACTTTGATTTGGGAAAGCCGGCCAAGTACCAAAAGAATTTCTCCTGGGAAGCAATGCCTTGTGATGAAGTTCCAAAAGTTTATCATGTTAATCATATCAAACGCCTCTATTCACATGCACAGAACAAAAACTTTGAGGGACAACTTCCAAAACTTAGGTATTATCATCATATTAAGAAAGTTGAACCTTATGAGGAAAATAACAACAAAATCATATCCGTGAAAAATCAACCGATAACTGCTAGCAGTAAAAAGAACGGAAGCAACGGTCAAATGAAAATTACAGGTGAGAAACACTTTAAGTGGAAGTAAACTTATGCTTTTGTTTGTTTAGTTCATTATCACTTTTTGACCTTATACATAACTTACCATGGAGTTTTGTTCTGAATATTTTGCTCTAATTTTCTTTCAGATTTCCTCAAAGAAAAGAAACGACCAACTGTAACTACAAAAAAGAAAAACTAAGGGAAATTTTTATATTGCAGCAATTCGGTGCAGGCTTTTGCTGTTAACTTTGAATCTTCACTTAGATAACTATGTAGGTTTCTGTAAAAATATTATATTTGCCAAGATATTTCGTTATTCTTTCACTGAACTTTCCTTTCATTCATATATTTTGTGTGCTAAATTTTCACTCCTATTGTTTTTGTTTGGATTTTTATTTAATGATGAAAAGGATTGTTTATAAAATGTTATCAAATAAGCAAAGTTAGTATTATGATGTAGAAAAAGAAAAATCAAATGACAATTTCTAATAAGTTTCACCTTTCAACTTTACGTTCACTTTGACGTAATACTTTTCAAAATAACGTCGGCTTCTTAAGTACAACTTAAGTTACGTCACGTTTAAGTTACGTCACGTTTAAGTTACGTCACGTTTGACTCAAGGAAATAAGAAAACTCGACATCATTATAAATTGAAGAAATTTTGAATTTCTGGAATTGAATTTAAAGTTTTAAGAATTAAAACTATTAAAACTTAAAAATTTGTATCTCGTTATCCGTACCATGAAAAAAAACACAAGAATTGTGCCATAATTGTCGAAAATGTATTCGTTGCTTTTGTAAATATTTTCTGTTTTGCAAGTGTTTAACTATTTTCCATTCTTAAAGTTATCTGATTGAAAAAGGATTTCATATTTTACCAGTGATAGCGTCTTTTCTCTGTTTATTTAGCATTTTCCGTTTAATGCGCTTTTCAAACTTTTTTCTTTTATGTTTTTGTGATTTTTATTTTCTCAAAATTATATTTTCATTGTTTTTAAAATGATGATTTTATTTCGTTATACATAAAATTTTACATAGAATAGAAAATGGATAAAAAAGAAGAAAAAAAACAGTAAAGTATCTAATAAGAATTGAAAAATTATCATGAAACCTCCTGAAAAAGATTATCTAAAATAAGAAATAAAAACATTATAAAGTTCAGAATCAGATCTCCAAAAGTAATTTTAAGATAAGACGTTCTCGTTGTCTTGTTAAAGAAATAAACGAAATGAAAATTATTGAGAAAAGTGGAAATAAAATAAAAAAACAAAAGAAAGTTGACATGAATTTTCTTTTATTACTATTTTTATTACATTACTTAATGGATTTACAGCAACATTAAGTAATTTCATTAGATTCTTCTTAATTTCAAATCTTATTCATTATAACAAGAAACAATAAACTTCCTTCCAGCTATCTCTAGTTTCCTTCTAAGTAAGTTTTTTTTACATAATTTTTCTGCCATTTATCTCCTGTTCCTTTTCTACTTACTTAAACAACTAGATACGAAGGTATCAATAAGCCTTTGGATACAAAAGCTTGATGCTATGTTAAAAGCTCTAAAAAAACTTTTTCTTTGCTTTCTACTTATTGTGATATTTATACTCTAACAGAATATTCATTCATGAAAAGAAATAGAATTAACTACATAATGTTGTAATGGACAGAAATAAAAAAAGACACAATGATGATGATCTGCTGAAACATGAGAGTGATGGCTAATTTACTAGACAATGAGAAGGATTAATTTCTTTTTGTTCTCTTTTTTCTTTTTATTACTTCGCAGTAACCAAACTCTTTTGTCAAATGACAAATTGGCTTCTTTCTATTTTAGAATTGCTTTTGTCGAAACAACAACCATGGAATATTTTCTAATCATTCATGAACTTTGAATTGAACGTAAGAATTTACTAAGATTTTCATTCAATTATTCAGAGACGAAGCATGTCGCAAACTTAAGTTCTTCTTAGTCATCCGCTTTCATCTTCCGCTCATTTTCATAAATTGAAACCAATTCCATCACTTCTCTAAATCACTAAATCTAAATCCTAAAAACTTTGTCTAAATTCTATTTCATCACAAAGCTCAATCAGTTTAGCATGATGCAAATAGCCACTCATTTGTTATTCGCTTCAATTCTAGCTTGAATTTGTTTGACTTGTCTACCTGTGGTCGCGTGTAACTTAAAAAGCGAACTAATGGTGTTAATCGAACGCTGTTCAACGTCAATCTGTCCGCAATCAAATGAAATGCTACCATTTGGCATGCGATCAATAAATGTCTTATGTCGGAAGTGAGATTGAAACAGTTGCTCTCTATCATGCTCAAATGACTTCAATATATCCACAATGCAATTATTGTTAAGTGTTCCTGGTGTTTTATAAATTATTGATTTCGTATGGTTAATCTTTTCATCGAAAATTTTCGTATCGCACGCATCAATCGCGTTCTGTTTCTTCAGCTTCGCTGGCTTTTCTATTCGAACAATAGGAACATCACGACTACTCATCTGGTTGATGCGGAATTTTGTACGCTTTGTTGAGACGGGCCATGGCGCATTTGATGAATCGTTTACTTGACTATCAACACTATGAAGTGAAGAAAACTTTTTAAAGATCTCCGAGAACGGATGACTCCTTTCATTATTTATGCCATTCTCCTGCACAATAACTGTCCCATTGAAATCATTAATCTTGTTATTATTTTCATCCATCCTGTCACCCTTCTTAACACCACCATCATCGCTCTTATCCAACATGTTTGCCTTCGTGGCTAAATCAACGGATGATGTTGTTTGCTTTGTGCTGAGATTTTCTATGTTTATGTCATGTATACCGTTGTTGTTGTTGATGATGATATCGTCGGTTGTTTGAATCTCATAATTTCTTTCATCACCGTTTGTTTGTGGCGTAGGCTCTGCTTGTACGTTTTTATCGAATAAATGATTGGTTAATTTTGTAAATTTTTCAATATTTAATAAACGTTCACAACTGGATGGTGATAGAAAACAATTGTCAATTGACTTGTGACGATCCAGTATGTGTAAATAATCTTTTATATTTATAATCTCGTTGTGATGTGGTGAAAGTTCGGTTAATTTTAATGACGATGATTTGTTATTTTCATCATTTATGATATTAATATTTTCGGGTGACGACAATGAGTTTGTTAGATCATTGTCATCAGGTGTGGTCAAACTTTCTGATGAGTTGCTTAATGAACCTTCAGCAAATGATGGTGACAGTTCTGATAATAGTCAGTTTTTGATGTTGCAAAATAAAACAAAATTTTATGTTTGAAAAAGAAAAGAAAAGAAAATTAAAAAAAAATAATAAAAACAATCACACAATTTAATTAAATATTTTATGTGCAAAGGAAAAACTCCTTCGTTCGCCTCATAGAAATCATGAAACTTTCAACTTTAAATTTCTTAAAACAGAAACCAAACAATGAAAATTTAAGTAACAGAAATTTATAAAACAACTTGAGACTTCTTCCGGCGACAGAAATAATATTTTCCGACAATTTTTCGTCAATGGCGAAGAAAGTCGAATAAAACTTTTTTCTAGTCGCTTCAATACGCATTTGAATATTTCTGTTTTCCTTCAACATTTCAAAAGCTTTAGTTATTCTTCTATTCTTAGCTTAACTTTTCTATTTCCATTCAAAAAATTTCATCGTCTGTACTAAGTTGAGAAAAGTTTTCAACAGAAAAATTCACGCTTATTTAAGTTCAGGAGAAGAATTTTATTTTTCATATTTTCAAGGAATATTTTCACACATCTAACCGCGACTGAGTGAAAAAAGGAAAGAAAATTGAAAAACTAAGCGATAAAAAAGTTTCCTTTTTATTAAAATCGCCATCTGCGACGCTAATACACAAATCGCTATGAAAATCTAATGATTGTTTCGAGAAAATGTTAAGCATGTTCAAGGTTTTGTCTTTTTCTAGGGCGTCGTTGCATAAAAAAAAGCTTAAGTTAGAAAAAGCAGCTTTACACTCAAATGGAAATGTGTTTTAAATTATTGTCTACAAACTATGATTAAGTAGGGTTACGTGTTAAAATGATATGTTTCTTAAGCGATTTCTCCATCTCCTTTTAGACTTTAATTCTATGATTTATTTTAAGTCACGGCTTCGCGTAAGTATTCTCTTTCTTCGACATTGTTAGCGATATTTTTGTATGTATGAAAGAATATCCAGGCAAATGGTTTCAAGTGGTGTTGGGAGGGTAGAGTAGGAGAGATGGTGGAGGAAGGAAGACACAGATAGAGCGGCACGACACAGAAGAAGATCCGTGTTGGCGGAGAGTAAAGAAATTATTTTATGTCATTAATTTTTCGTTATGTTCATTATCCTTGGTATAATTTATGTTTTTGTTTTTTTTACTACTTCCATTTATAAGCGACAAGGATGTGAGTGTGTGTGGGTGCGTTTGCAACAGAAAAAGTAAGAAAATATAAAGAGAGAATAGAAATATATTTATTACAGATTCCTTAAAGTCTTCTCTCTTTTTTCTTTGCTTTGTTCATGGCACAAAAAGCGTTGGATAATTTTTTTGGTCTTGATTTTCTTTTACAGTTTCTAGGGATATTCATAAATTACGTGACATTTAAAATTAATGATTCGAAGATAATTCTTCTCTTATCACAGACTTTCCACACTAAAAACAATAATTCTACTAAGTACACTCGAAGCTTTCATCATGAAATGTTAAACGTGACGTGATTTACGATCATCCCTATAATTTATAGCATTAAGCTTTTATGGGAGCATCTTAAAATCTGTACAATCATTCGATGTTTCCCAGTCTCATTTGTGTCAGACATCAACGCGCTCGATGAAACGTTTCCATTGAAAGCTTTTGAAGCAAATAACATCGAAAGCGGGGACTAAATCAGGATTCCTTTTTATTGCAAGGACTTTTTTGTTTTGTTGTGTGCTTCCTGATTGCCATTTGAGAGGTCGGAACGGGAAAAAAGTTACATTTAGTAGAAAATGATATTAGATGTATGTGCTTCGATGGACAAGACTGATTGTAGCAGCTTATAAAGCTTAAATGATTTTTTTCTGCTCTTTGTGCATTAGGCCAATATTTTTGTTTATTTTTCTTTTATTTATCTTTACGCCATTTGTTTTGGTTTGCATCCACCTCATAGAGCTTGGCATGGAGCATCACACATAAAATTTTGAAAAGCTTTTACCTATTGACGAAGAGATGCTCGAGTGCACTGATGATATTGATTTTGTGTGCTTATCAAACACATATGGCGTACTGTCATTCCATCGATCTACGCAATTTCGTAAGTTATCCTTTGCTGATGTCAGTGAATTATCCTAAAGAAAGAAAGCAGAAAATAAGATGGAAATAGTCAGACAAAGATGAATCTAATGAATCATTAATTGGATTATGCTAAAGGGTATGAATAAGCTTCATTTCGCGTGTATTTGCAAATTCCATTTACATTGATGGAATCACGTTCTTGTTCATTGCAAACAAACTCGAATTTATCTTTTCTACAAGTAAAGTGTTGATGGAAAAGTTGAATTCATAGTTCTTACTTTATCTGAGTAAACACTTTTTAACGAAAGTGGGGATGTTGATGGCTTAACATTCGTTGAATGATATTGCGGTTTTCTTTTCACCCATTTGTGTCGAAGCGCTTCTTTAGCTGTAAGACGTTCACCATGTTGCTTCACAAGTAACTTTGTAATGAAATCAATACACTCGGGAGAAACATTGTCGAATGCTTCATCATTGAAATCGTATTTTCCGACTGTCACGTTTCCCATAGTTTCCACATCACATTCTCCAGCGAAAGGCGAAAGACCAGACACACTACATCATCAACAGTTGAGGAAAATAGATATAAAAGAATCTCAGTCATTAAATATTTACATTCGAATCATCATTTCACATCATTCCCTTGTTCAATAAGAGAAAATTATACTCACAGCACATAGGCAATAACACCAACCGACCACATATCTGTGGCAAACGTAATGGCATCGAAATTGACGACCTCTGGTGCTACAAACTCAGGCGTACCAAACAACACTTGCAGCTTCGTCGACGGATCATATTCCCGTGCTAAGCCGAAATCAATTATCTTAATTCGATTTCCCGTCTCAGTCAAGCATAAAATATTTTCCGGCTGTTAATGAGATGAAATTGTTGAGTTAATTTAACTAAATTCTCGCTTGTTTGTTTGTTTTTTCTCTGACTTGCCTTTAAATCAAGATGGATTATGTTATGTTCATGAATGTAGTCCATTGCCTCGCATATTTGTCTCATGAAGATTGAGCACGCTTTCTCTGTGAGAATGAATTTGTCATCAAGTACGCGATCGAAAAGTTCCCCGCCATCGACTCTGTGAATTCAGAAATTTTGTAAAGGGTTTCATGTTGTTCATGTTGCTTCGAGAAAACTCACAATTCGAGCACAACGCACACCATTTTATTGTACTCAAAGGCGTCGTATAGTTGAATGATTTTTGGATGCTGCAAACGATTCATCATTTCGATTTCGCGTTCAACATTTTTTCTCTCTTTTCGATTTGGTACAGCGATGAATTTTGCCGCTGAACATAAACCTGTCGATTTCTCTTTGCACTTATAAACTGTTCCGAATTTACCTCTAAGGGATACGAAATAAAAAAAAAGAATAAGAAATACACGTCAGAATAAATAGAAACACATAAGAAATATTTTCATTTTGTTTTCCACGATCATTCGTTAGAAAACATTCGCATTTTCCTTGAAACGGTTAGTCAATTACCTTCCGATTTCTTCACTCAAATCGTAGAATTTCTTTACGTCCTCTCCTCGCTTTACGCTCACTTGTCTATAGGGAAACTTCAGCTCGATATCTAGATAGAGAAATGAGAAATAAAAATGGAGAAAAAAAGTTCTTTAATTAAATTCGTGAATCAATGCGTAAAAATTTCGACCGACGTTGTCGTTAAAAATACATAAACGAAGAAATAAAACTGAAAGATTTTTCTTTTCTTGCTTCTTTTTCGATCGCATCCCATCGCATTAAAATGCCACAACATTTTCAATGATTCAAGTTGTTAATTCATGGCGCCCAAGTGGAGAATGTCCCGTGAAAGGCAACAGGTGAAAGGAATCTCATAAATCAACCGCGAAGAAATATTTAAGTTGCGGTGAAGGTCGCACATTAATAATTTAGATTGCTTTAACTTGTAAAGAAAAAGATGAAAAGGATGAGAGAGTGGGAGGTGGGGGAATAATCAATTTAAAACAAGTCCGCCCTTCACATTCCAATATCGACATTTATAAAAGAAACTTCAAAGGCTTATTAAGCGTTCTGTTAATCTTTACATTTTATTTTATTAAATAAGTGTTTTTGCCTGTAGGTCAGGGATTCAAAATATTTACGCTTTGAAAGATGAATTTGAGTATTTTAGTTAAACCTTCCATTAGTTAGGGTTACATGGTAACATGAAGTTCTTATTTATAATAAAAGGAAAAAAGAAGGAAAATCATTTTAATAATTAATCATCAGGATAATTAAGAAGGCGCTTTAGAAGATAATGATTTGTGAGTAAAGTTTGAGGTTGAAAATTTCTCTAGCAATCATTGAAATGTTCAACATTTACTCATAATATGTCATCGATTCATCAAGCTGCTATAATTTCAAAAGAATATCTTCATCTATTCAATCAGCAGAGTTCAAAAGTTCTCCCTTAAGTCATCAAGCGACATTTTCATTTTCTTCTTACGCGATTTTTATCGTCAAAGCAAAAATGATTTAAATTTATCTTCTTATTTGCGAATCTTTGAAGAAACGAGTCGAGAAAGAAGAAACGTCGTTTCAAGGTGAAGGAAAAATAGCTTCGCGATTCATTTTTCCTCTTCTTGACTGCTTCAATTTAACGATTATATGTGCGGTGGGATTTCCTCTCAACTCTTCGTCGTCTTCTTGTGTTATACCCTAGCGAAATGTTTTCGGTGTTGCGGTAAATAACTTCGTTCGCATGTGATGATATTTACACATTTGAATACATTTCGCGAAAAAGAAATTTCAATTGACACTAGAAGACAATAAATAAAAATACAAGCAAAGTTAAGTTGCTCAAAGTGACTGACTGTGAAAGGAAAGGATGAGACTTTCCGTTTATAATTTGCGTATATTAATGTGGTTGTAATTTATAAATACTTTAAAGTAAATAATTTTCTCGCTCAATGTGAGTCATGTGCGGTGTTCGCGAATATCAAATCAAAAAATAATAAACAAGATTTCTTTTGCATACTTTCATTGCTTTAAGTATTTGGCACAAAAATGCCGCACGTTTGACACAAATTTCATGTGAAAAGAGAAAAATAATTTAAAATCAAATCATAAGTCAAACATGTGGCATGTTATTTGAGAATTTCGTATATCATCCGATTATGTTACAGATTTGACAGATAAAGTTACACTTAATTCAATGAAGACTTTGATTCGTACGTGAAAATATTCAAATAAACTCTTCCAAATATTTCATTGAACTTTTCACGACCTAACAACGCTGACGCAGATTTTCCAGAATTTCCCAGTCAAGAAGACAAAATCAATTTCAATTTTCTTTTCTGTAACGCTTGTCTCGACGATGAGATGAGTTTGAATTAATTTAAAATCGATTTGATTCGCGTTTTCCCAGATGGGGGAGAATTCAAAAAATTCAATTTTCATTTGCGGGTCTTTGGGACTACGTCGATGAAGAGAGACGGAAGTTTTTTTTCTCGATGTAATTAAATTGTCATCGTAAAAACTGCCTCTTCGTCTAGTAATTGCGAAAAGAGTGAATCAGAGACAGAATGTTTTCAATGTTATTTAATTCTAAAATCTGTTGCTTGCCATTTCCCGTAACTTCGTTTACGATCTCCGCCTACTATTAGACAGTAAAAAGGAAATTTAATTCTCGCAAAACTCTGGAAAATTGAATGCAAAAATTAATTATTTAAAGTTCAATGATCAGCTCAGGAAAACTTTTAAGTTTAAGTCAATGTAGATGAAATTCTGCTTTTTATTTCACTGATGAACATTGTTCATCAATCATCTCACTCGTTAACGGGAAATCTCTACTTAAGTGGGATTTAAATCTTTCTCTTTACAGCAAACACTGGAGGATGAAAATTGTAAACAAATTTGAACTTGTTTACTTGAAGTAAATTTCCATTAAGTTTGTGTAAAGCTCTAGTTGAACCTTCACCTTTCTGATCGAACATGACTTGAAAATATCTACTTGAAAGAAAGCAGAGTTAATTTATTCTTAATTTAATTTGCTCTCAGTCAATACTTAGACACTAATTTTCATCCCAAAGGTAGTAGCAGCCACCGACGTAAAAGAAAAATAAAATTGAAAAATCTCTTTCGCGTTCAAACTTCACGAATTATTACGCAAATTTGAAAAGAGAAAGAAAAACATGATATCAGCAAAGGAAAATGTTGGCGTTTACCCCAAAACAGAGTCAAAGAAATGAAATCGCTAATGGCTCTCGTCACTCTGTTGCTTTTTCTTTCGTTTTGCTGCTTTTGAAAATTAAATTAAATAACATTTATTTTCTTTCAAGATGAAGTGTAAATTTGTTTTTGATTGACTTCATTTTTGGGCCAAAAAGCGATGAAATAGAAATTAACGCTTGAGAGTAAATGAAGATTTTGGAATTTCTTCGAAATGATTTTTTGATATTTAAATAGCACGCACTGGCGCCTTTAACAATTTCTCAATCGAGAGCGTCTTTGTTTGACTTCCAATCTGTCATCTCTGATGCCGTGTTTTATTCTCATGTGGATTGAATGTAGCTCGCGAGCGTCTAATGAACAGTTTGCGTCATGATGAAGAAGCCGCGTGCCAAAAATGGTCATGAAATTTAAATTAATTGTCGGAGTGAAATTTAATTAAACATCTTGGCTTTTTAAGATGCAAGATTGAATGCAATTTTATTGTACACATCTCGACAATTAAAGTTAATAATTATTTCTATGTTTGGCACAACTTTGTAGTTAACGAGATTAAAGTCTGATTAAAATAATTCTCGAGTCGTCTTGACTTTCATTCGATGGCGCACTTGAATAAATATTAAGGAAGAAAACAAATCTAAAACGGCATTCGTGTGTTGCCAGAAAAGTTTTTTCTCTATTTCTGTTCATTGATTCGATTGCAGATCGCTGATAGAGAACAATAGAAAAACTTGTTTTATTGACAAAACAAAACTCAGCTAAGATTTTCTTTTATTGTGAAAAGCAAAAGGGCACATCGAAAAGTTAGGTCAATCATAAAGTTTCAATTTTATTCTTGTTTAAGTCTTGCTTTAAGATTGACGGTTCAATTTATTCTTTCTCCAAATTTATTCAATATTCTTAATCCTTTGAGAAATATTTCTCATGTAGAAACTGAAAGGAAATTAAAGTTGAAAAGCAATTTATCAAAAAATTTCATTCCTACACAAACATAAATAAGAACTTACAAGAAACAGAGTTCATCGAGAAAGAAAACAAATAGAATGCAAGTCTGTGCAATCATTCAAGTGGAAAATGAACAAATTTTCTTAATTTTTTTGTGCTTCTTAAATGGAGGTTAAATCGAGTGAGAGTGGAAAAGAAAAAGCATGCATCGAATGCAACCCGCTGGTTGGAAAATGATTCTGAAATAATTTATGCACTTTTTCGTCATAATCTCGAAGCTTTTTTATTTCTTTTTTTCGTCATTTTAAAGCTGTGAAATTTATTTTCTTAATGCAAGAGAATAAAACCGAACAAATCGTTTTGATGTCTTCTCATTTAAACATTTTTGGCGTGAAAAAATAATAAATAAACCCGTCATCTTTTGTGCAAGCATTGTTCAGTTTTAAAAAAAACCATTAACGATTCACAAAGTACACTCACCTCCCACCGGATCTGTCTCGTCAACTTTAATCATTTTGACGCTTTTTTGGGTCTTTTGAATGTTTTGCTAATTGCTTCTCTTTACTTTACCGCAAGAGCAGAAGAAAATGTCAACTGAATAGCTTCACTTTCTTTCCTTTTCTCTTTTTTTTCTATTATCGTTCACCTTTTTTTGTCCCTTGAGCGCACGAGAATTTCGCGAATATAATTAGTCTTAAAGGTTATTTTGTGCACTTCAACTCTATTTCATCGCTCGTTATGAATTTTCACGAGACTTTTCTTATTTACTTCATACATTTTATTCTTCTCCACAACAAATAATGACACTTCGTTATTATCTTATAAAACTTTACGATCACTGCGCACTTAAAGGAACACCAGAAGATTCAAGATCTCTTAAAAATTCCTTTCTATCTTTACTTTTTGTGCTTCGCTGATGATTCTTGACGTCAAAATCAGCCTGATGGTGAATGTTTTTTCCTTCTCTTGATGAACTTTTTTTCTGTTTAAGCTTCTCTCGTTCAGATATCTTTTTTTATTTTATATTTTCACTATAAATAGAACAAAATCCCATTAGAATGTTTCAGTTTTTCTCATCTTCAACATGTACAATTTTTGCCACTTTAAAGAAAATATTTTTCTTCACTCTGACTATAATTATTCAATTAAAATATTTTTAACAGCGGGAGAGAAGCACAGCAGTTGAGATGTCTGCTTTTCTCTATGTTTGATCTTGAAAAAGAAATTCTTTTTGAAACACTCCCTTTTCTGACAAGTCTTGAAGCAACACGCAGTGAGAGAGTTCAATTAAAAGTTTGGTTTGAAGGGTTGAAAACTTAAAAAGGGATATTTGAAACTTTACGATTCTAGCGAGTGAAGAGTTAATTAAAATTAAAATATTAAGACAAGCTAGCCGAAATTATTATTCAAAGCAACAACACGGCTACTTTGAAAACAGAAGAGAGAATATGAAGAATGTTTTTCAACTTCAAGCCGTGGAAGATTTTTTATAATTTGATTCTTGCTTATTCAACTCACATTCTTACTAAGATTCTTCACAGCTCTAAATTCAATTGCGTGAAAGAAAGACTTTAAATCTTGCTTAATTAAAACAATAAAACTTTTCTCTTGATATAGAATTTTTTTTCTCAATTTTCATTCAATGATTTTCTTTTTCTTGTGGAAAAAAAAATATTTAAATGAATGCGATTGTTCTTTCGGCACGAAAATTTCACGTTCAACTGAGGATAGCATTTAAAGAAGAATTTATTCAGCTTCTTTTCTGACGAGATCGCAGTTTTCTTGTTATACAGAGACAAGAGAAAAAGAAAATTTCTTAATGAGAGAAAGAAAATATTTTTCAGGGACGTCGGAAAATGTTTTTCGTCTTCGACGATCGAGAAATTGTAAAAACTGCGAGACTTTAGTATAGTGTCAGAATTTCTGGCGAGATAAGTTTTTAAGAGTTTTTCCATTTTTCTGATCGAATTTGAGATGCAAAAGAAAAGAGAAAGAGCGAAAAATATCTTTTGAATGACTAATTAGAGCAATATGTCCAATAAGTGCGACATTTCAAGGAAGAATCAAGGAATTGTCGATGTGATTAGCAGTCAATTTGTCAATCTCTGTATTTCAACGATGAGATTGAATGAGAAATTTGTCAAACTATTTTATAATTCTTTTAAATAGAACAATTAAAGTTGCATTAAAATGCATAATGAAAAAATGCAGCATAACAACCAACTTTTCATTAAGCAGAAAAGTTTTATTTAAGTCAAGTTTAAAATTATTTTAGATTTCTTACTCTCACGATGAAGATCACTTAGGTTTTCTGTTTTTCATTTCCTCTAAGAAACTGCATAGTTTATTTTGAGGTTTGCTTGCATATGGAGGACCGCACATTGCTTTTCAAACTTCTTTTCATCTTTGTTCTGTTTTTGCATCGTTGCTATGAAAACAAATTGCTACAAGAAACTGCGCAATGTGAAGAAATGATAAACCGTCGTAATTAACGAAGTTAATTTAAACTCAGCAAGGGACTTGTCTGATGACGCTCATCACAGAAATGTTACTTACTTGACATACAAGACATTCTTTAGCCCACTCGTTAAATATTTCCGCATTAAGAAATTACCAAAACTGATAATTTGTAACGATTTGTGAAAAATGCGATGACACATATCAGGCGACAGAATAAAAATAAATTCGTCGCTCCAAAAATAAACATCAACGAGTTGTCAAGAAAATATTTTGTTCTTCAAGATTTTCTTTATTATAATTTTTTATTTTTTTTGCACGACGTATTTTTCTCCAAGATTAATGTAATAAAAGTTATTTTTATATTTATCATACATGAAGCTTCATAGCAACTGATCGTGGGAAGTGGTGATGACGAATTGTGAAGCGAAGAGTTTGATTGATTGTAAAATCAAATTAGAATGAAAATTCTTCAAAATTCTTTAAACTTTTCTTCAATGTCAGAATCTATTCGAATGGTTTGAAGTGCTACCACGTGTATTCTAAAATGTATACAAAGATAATTGTTTTAAATAATTTAGAAATAATTTCTACACGAGAAACAGAACAGCTCTTTGCTGAAAGTCGTTAACACCACGATAAATGATAATATCCCTGAAAAACATGGATCAAGCTGAGGTTTTTGCGCGCAATTCTAAAATTAGTGGTTTTCTTTGTTTTTATTATGAGCTTTTTTCTTTTTGATCTGGAAGTTTACAATAAAAAGAAAATTCAACGAATTTTTCTTGTCGGTTTCATTTTAATTTACTTCTTTCAAGTACTCAAATTAATTGTAAGAAGTGATGAAGAAAATGTTCAAGATTTTCGCGTGAAAAATCAAGTTAGGCTACACATGTTAAGGGATAAAAAGTTTAATTTATAAAGGAGAAGAGAAAAATATCAGCTGTGATGTGAAACATCCTAACTTTGTTACTTACTCAACAAAAACCTGTCGTCATGAATGTTAAATGATGTTTTGAATGAATTTTAATTAGGCGAACTTTTGATGCTCGTCACGAGGCATATTTTTTCTCTAAATTGTCTTGTTTTAATAAACCTGAAATTTACGGTTATTTTTGTTTTGAGAAATTCTGATGGCGTCGCTACGTTTCTCTAAGACGCGCGATAAATTTACTCATGGTGTTGATGAGAGATGACAATTTCTCTAATCCCTAATGTGTCGTGGGAGTTCCCACCTACCTAGTCTCGCCAGAAAGTGGGAATGCAAAACGTATTAAAATCTTAATATAAATAATAAAAATGCGTTCATATAAATGCCTACGTAAATGATCTTTTTCCCCCAAATCTACAATAAATCGTTTTCCGATGATTTTTCTTTCATTGAGAAAATCTCAAGCAGATTTTCGATTAAAAACATGAAATCAAATTTTCGACTTAAATCATTTAAACATCCGGTGACGACTCACTCAAATAATGTTGAACGTAAACATTGCTCTTACAAATTTGCAAGAAATAATTATTTCCTCTAAGATTAATTACGGTCGCTCAATAGGTTGTCCAAGTACATTGGAAAAATAATTTCTACATAAAAATGTTCGCATGTAGCCTTGGCAAAGCTTTTCCCCTTCCACTTTCTGAGAAATTTAAAGAGATAGCGTTCGGACTAGAAACGAAGTTTCCCGCGTAAAACGGTAAGTCGAAGTTTGGTTTGTTTTGTATGGGAGAATGATATTTCAAGAACGTCACAATAAGCAATGCGTAGCTATGTTGACGATTTCAGTGACAACTTTCTCATGACAAAACTTATGTACACAACCTACTGCAATCTTATAAATGCTCTACAGTTGTGTGAGTGACTGCACGATTCTTTACAATTTTTTTTCGTTTATTGTTGACTTCCATATAAGGTTGAATAAGAAGACGAAACAAAAATAAACGAAAAATCATCCTACTCAACAAAATAAATCATAAACTCGTATGTAGCTGTTTATATTTTCTCTTGTGAAGTCATCGTGGAAATATCGCTGTGCGTTATTACATGTTTTAATTAAATTGAGTGATTTTTTTCTGTAGGCTAAGAATTCTAAAAATAAACTCGAAAATATTTCATTCATTACGTGCTTTGCAAACGCACATCCAAGGAAATCGATATTTTCGATATAAACAGCTTATTCGTGATTCAGTGTCGATCCCATCTCATTGCATTCAATCGGGAAAAAGTAAAATTCCATCTTTTTAAAATCTTTAAAACAAAATAAAAGAAAAAAGTGATAAAGAATTGCTTCTGAAGCGGTAAGAAGATAAAGCAGGAACTTTCGAGCAATATATTATCAGCACAATGGGTAAGAGATTACTTTTATCGTAGCAAAAATAAAACGCATGAATCACCGGCGATTAAAAGTAAAGTGCATTGTATAAACATTAGAAGAATAGAAACTTGTTACAATTTAAACTTCTAGCTTCACAATTAAAGGAAATATCAGTTACAGCTAACCGCACCCTTCCTTCTTTAAACTTTTTGGCTTTTAAACATTACGCAATTCTATTATTGCTTCCAAAAAATTACGTCGATTACAGTTATAGTTGTGTGGGTCGCGTGCTGTTCACGATTTTCGCAAATATTTTTCTTTTCTTTCTTTGTTGGGTTGGTGCCGAGCTGTTTCATGCGTTTGTTTTCGTGTTCTTTACGACCTTGATGACATCAGTCTTTATTTCCGTGACCTTGTCAAGCAGATATCATAAACACAACGAAAAACATTCAGTGGTCAAAAGTGGCTTTTGATATTCAAGTGATGATGAACGAAACGATTGTTAAGACCGGTGCATTTGTCAGTGAGAAGGTCTGGGGAAATAACTTCTTCCAAGCAACATTCATCTCAGTATTGTTCCTTACTGCCTATTGGAGCATCATTTATTTAGACAGCTCTCAACCTGGTGTGAATCCACCATCACCGTTCTCTTCAATTCAAAGGAAAAAGTAAGTTTAAAAATGATATTTGATGATCAATAAATATTTAATTATATTTCCTCATTAGATCTCATTACCAACGGCAAGCACACTTCCATATGAATTATCTACTCGGTGCAATCATTTCCGTCCTTCTCTTTCTCTCCATTTTCTTCAATATCTTTTAATCTTGAATGTTTAATTAACTTAATGACCTCATCATTGCAATCTAGGATAAGTTCAGCCATGGTCACAAAAAAATCCAATTTAAAAGTCGATCAAATTGGAAATTTTGTTGCATCTTTTTGTATTTATTTAGATTTAAAGGCACGAAGCGACACATTTAAGGGGTTCCTGGTCCAAGCTAGGAAGCCATTACCAACAGATTTATTTATTGTCCTATCTCGAAACATATTTTGCTACAATGCATGTTAGGAAATAGTATTTATTATGATAAACATTTTAAATTGTGCCATTAATCAAATATTTACAACTAACTTCATTTTCCTGTTGAGTTCAAAAAGCCATTAAAATGCTAAAAATAAATATTTATTAAAATGGAACCAAAATGTCACTTTTATTAGAATAGAAAGCACAAAACAGCACATTAACTTAATTAAAATGATTTCAATAAAATTGTACCAGAAATTTGCGTCTTCCTAATTTCAATTAAATTAATTGGATGTAATGATGTGAAATGGAATTGTGTTTTGGTTGCAAGAGATGTGAAGGAAAGAAACCACAGGCAGTTGAACCCTTTTTTCTCCTCAAAGGTCAGTTATCGGTGAACATTTTGATCATGGAATTAAGTTTATTACATTTTCTGGCATGTCATAAAGATTCAATGGGATTCCTTTTTCCATTCGTTGATACGAACATTCTTACGTCAACATGAATTGAATCATATCTCAGCAATTCCTTTTAAAGAATTCATTTCCTTTATTTGTAAGAATCTTCCTGACATTCAAGGTAAGAATTGAAATGTCATTATAACGTTAAGTTCATCAGATTCATTCGAAGCCCTTTATTGTTGAGCGACGAGCTGCAGATTGAAATTCTCTTTGTTACCAACGTTAAGAAAAATTCCATTCAAAAGTTAATTTTAACGTTATCAAAAAATTCAATTTATTTTTTCTTTCATTGAATTGCGAGTTGCCTAAACAACAAGCAAACATTTTTTCAAACATTTCCTATGACTAATCATTCAGAAATTTCCTCATTAATTCTTTGCTTCACTTCAATTCATTTATTTGATAGATCTTCTTAATAATTCTGCTACATGTTTGGAATATTTTCATCTTTTACATTGTATTGGGTTGGTTAAACTCGGGCATTCACATGAATGGCTATGTAACCTTCAGGCGCTTCTGAAGAAAGGTAGATTGAAGCAAAGCCATTCGATGAAACTGTAACTGTTCCACCTGTACATGAAGTCAACTCTTTAGATCCTGATGCCAAGTCACAATAGATGCCAGCAGGTAAGCCAGTTTGCAAATTTGCATTCAAATCAACTCGGTACTGTCCATTGAAAACAATAAATCCACGATTTCCACGCGAGAAAGCAATTTGATTATCTCCATTGTCCCACCAATTGTTAACAACTGTTCCTTGAACAGTATTTCTAAAAGCGACCATATTTCTTGTTTGATACCAGCGATGTTCACAAACCCACTTTCCATCGTTACATTCCCCATTGGAACCAAAAGTTGGTGAGACGAGATTGTAATTTCCATCGTGGGGTGGTCCTTGCGTTCTTTCATTGAAATAAAATGAAGACATAATCCGAGGAATTCCGTAAGGCCAAGCTGAGTTGGAGGAAGAAATGTTGGCAAATGTTATTAATCAAATTCTTCATACATACCTAAGTGGAACGCCACAGCCATCTTATAAAGTCGGCCTTCTTTGTAACTGAAAAGTCCTTCACGTTGTGTGTCATGATTCGTTACGAAACTTAAAGCGTATTGAGATGGATGAAAGCTCCAACCTTCACCAAAGCTTTGTAACCATTTTAATGAATCTTGACCTCTGAAACTTTTAGCGATGGCATTAGGAAACCGGAACTCGGTTGTTGTTCCCAAATGCCAGAAATCTGATCCCTTTATAACTTGATCATCATAAACTTCACCAACAACGAAGGGTCGAGAATTTGCCGGAAATCCGTAATTAACATTTAGGTTTTTTAATCGTCCCCAAATTACTTCAAGATCAGACGGCCACATATGCTTCATGATGTCAACTCTAAAGCCTGCCACTCCCAAATCTATTAAATGATTCAAATAATCGACAATCGCACCTCGAACATTTTCACGAGTTTGATTTAAATCACGTAGGCCATAAATTTCACAATTTCTTAATGTTGGTGGGTCATTCCAGTCCATTGTGCATCTTGGGAAGTTGAAATCTTCGGGTGTGTAAGGGACACCCGGGAAATCGCCTGTTTCAGCGTTGCCATAACTCCCAGCAACGCCAACTCCACTCATTCCTGACATATGATTCACTACAATGTCAGGATAAATTCTCACACCAACAGCATTACATCGTCTCGTCATATCAGCAAAAGCTGCTTCATTTCCAGATCGCGTAATCAATTTATACGACATCGGTTGATAACGTTCCGACCATGGACGATTGTTGATTGTTTCAAGAAAGTTTTCATTTGGCGGTGACAACTGAACCCCCGCATATCCATTTGGAGCTAAAAATGTTTCACATTCTCTTGCAATGTCCACCCATTTCCATTCAAACAAGTGCACAATCACACTCCGTCCAACAAACCAGTGGGGATTATGATAAGCGCTTGCGAAAACAAATCCGTAGATGACAAGAAGAATTGTTAACAATTTCATTTTTCAACTTCAACTGAGAGCGAGAAAACAGCAAAGTGTCACTTATAAAGAATTGATAAAGTTTATTGATTTTGCTTCTTAAGAGGCTTAAATGATTGTGTCTGATAAAAAGTAAATAAAGCTATAAAATAATAAATTAATAAACGCTTCGCTTATCATTTCTCATTTTTCTGAGATTTTCTTTTTCAATACCGAATATTGATATTTACGAATCGTATTTGTAAAAGCTTTTATAAGCTTAAAAAATGAGGAAAGTTAATCGAAAGCTTCTGACACTTTAATTAACATTTCTCGGTTTGAATTTTTTTGTTTTAAATTTTTCCATTTTCATGGAAAATCTTCCAGGTTCTCAGAGATTTCATTTTCTAAAGAATTTTCTCACGCAAAGTTGGCTTCAATGTAAATTCACGTAATGTAATTTGACACTGAATAATAATAATAAGGTGCGGTTTATTCTACAGACTAGAACAGGTTGCTGTGGATCTTTAAACACGACATAAAAATCGCCTAATAAAGGAAAATTAAACTTCAAAAAAAGAAAGAAAAACAAGATTTATTTAATTAATTATTTATTTATCGCAAATTTGTGAAAGCCACACAGAAACTCACACAATTGAAGTCATTTCCTCTGCTTCATCACTTTTAATAAATCGAATTAAAATTGTCGTCAGCTTAAGACTTGACACTCTCGATAATTGATGGAAATTTGTTTGCCAGCTGCCTAAATGAAGCTGTTTCCGATGAATAAATGAGAAGAATGAAAGCGATGAAAAACGGAGCTCAACGGGAAGCCTATTTTCGGAACATTTCAGGAATTTAACAACGCGGGATGAGATTATTGGCAATGTTGGGGGAGTTTGAAAAAAGCTTCCCTTCCTCCAACTTGTTCCTAACATTTAAGCTGCACCAAATCGTCTTATGGATTTTTTTAAAAGGGAATGAGAAGAAAATGAATGAGCACCGTTGGGAAATGATTAATTACAAAAAGTGAACGAGCAATGACGAAAACTTTTTATTTCAGCACATATAAGGAACGTATTCAAAAATCATCATCATTCATAACAACTTTTGTTGTTACGCTCTACAGGGACAAACAATTTCACTGCTTTAATTTGATAATCATTGAAAAACGTGAATAGAAAATTGAATCCAATTAAAAATTTCCCGTCATTCAAAGCGAATAAAATAAACAAGCATATTTAAATAAAAAATCAATGCATGCTCTACTTCCTACTTATGTAGGCATATTGCAACGTTGATTGAATAAATTGATGGAAGGGAATTAAATATGATCCAATTATTGGTGAGTTCGCTCATTATTCCAACCTTTCGAACAACCCCCGTGATTTCTCCATTATTTTTATGATAAAATCAAGAAAAAAGTTTCTAGCATCTGCAACCAAAGTTCCAAAGAATGTCGATCCATAAGCTTTTATAATTAACAAACTAAAAACTTCAAAAACTTCAATGTTGTGCTCATAATTTCTTCGCCATTACAACTGCCATTAAAAAAGCTTCTTTTCTTATAATTGCACAATGAAAAGTTGAAGTTTTATGATGACTAAAGAATCGTGCTCATTACATTGCTCAAGGTGAATCTTGAATAATTGTGAAAGTTTTTAGATTACAAAAATAATGCTTAAAGTTACAGAAACTTCCCGAAAAAAACATTTTAAGATTTTGTTCTAAAATGTCACATTTTCCTGTTCCCATTAACGCTTTTGTTATTATTCATTTCTGGTTTTCGCACAACTAGGAACTTAAAATCTCAACAACTTTTCTGAATTAAATTAAATTTAGAGTTTCCACTTTTAAATGTTTAAAGCTCCTTGTTACGAAACGGAAACAAAACGTCATCATCACTTCCAAATTAATTCACCTACAAAGCAAGTGGAGAAGCGAACTTTGTTAACTTCCTTCGTACACTTTAATTCAGTTCATTCACAGCTATTCAAAAAACATCTTTTCGTATCCAACTAAAGTTTGTAATCAACAACATAAACATGAACATTGTTGGTTACTACTAAATTTGTAAATAATTAAGCAGTCGAGAAATTATTTCTAAAATTTCCTTTGATTTATGAACTTAAATGAAAACACAAAATCGAATTGTAATGGAAGATTTTATCGAACTTTAGAATTTCATTTCTATTTGAATACTTTGGGTGAATAATTTTGCTGTTTGAATCTGATAAGCTCAACTCTGTTGGGCGCTAAAGCAACAATAATTTTTAACGCCCAGCACAAATTTCCGTTGTGATTTAATCTGGGAATGAATTTATGCTTTGCGTGATGAGTGAAACAATGTAACGAGCAACGCTTCTCTTTCCATCTTCCAAACCTTGAAGATCAAAAGCATTCGAAAGCTCATCTCGCCTCTTTTCACAACATCATCAGACTTCGGTTGCATCTTTCAACGAAATGATTTTACGAGGCACAGCAACGTGCATGAAGAAAAGTAAAATATTAGAGCATGATAATGTCAGCTCAACTGAAAGCAGCAGAAAAAAAGGGCAAAGCGCTGAGTGAAAATGAGTTCAAAGTGATGTCAGTTTTATCAGAAGAAGAACAGCAAAAGCAAGCATAACGATATGTATGAAAGTTAATGAATCTTTCTGTACAATTTTTCTCTTTATTGAGGCAACTTTTGCAGATTCTGATTTGCCTCGAGTAAACTAACACATATTTGTTTCTGAGAGAAATTTCCGCTTGCTTGTGCTGAAAATCAGAAAGAAACGTTATGAAGCTGTAAACGGTTTCATCTCAACCTCCCTGTGAAGATTACTGAAGAATATTTCATAAATATTTTTATACCAACGATTTAGTTTTTTCCGCACGTCATGTCAGCCTTTGCAATGACGAGTAAAAAAGTTGTGAGTTGTCTGATAATGCTGTCAAATGAAACTACTTATGATGTTGAGAATAAATCTTTTGACGCTTCTTTAATAATAAATGTTAGGATCATTTTTTTAGCCGTCTTCAGAAATATTTCAATGACAACTTTTAATTATTTGCCATCAATCTATGAATTTTCGATTTATATTGGCTTCAGGAAAACATTTTTTATCAATGTTCAGTTAACAAGAAGACTTCCTTCTTGTCCTTTTTAATTAATTAAATTATTTTTTCCTCAGGTATTTTTGCGACTTTTTAATTCTTCTTAAATGCGTCTTCTTCGAAGCTGAAGCTATAACAACAACAGTTCATCAGAAAATGTTATTCCGATTTAAAATTGTTCTTTTCCTACTTTATGAAGAAAAACAGAAATTTATGCGGGACTTTTTCCTTCGAAAATCATTAGAAATAAACGCAAATAAAAGAAAGACTGATAACATTTGTAAGACGCTTTTTAAAGATAAAAGAAAAATTATTCTAATAAATCTTCCGTTGATTGTTACGATGGTGATATCTTAAATATTTCCCTCGTGTTTTCAGAGTTATTCTCATGAAACAGTCAAAAATATTCCACCTAAAAGGTAAAGAAGCAATTAAAGTATTTTCTTGAAGAATTATCAGATCAACGTCCCACAGAAAATTTAGCGAAACCTCAAAAGTAATAAATTCCATTGGATTTCCATAAACAAGAAATAGGTCGAAAAGAAGATTGCGAAAGAAATTAAAATCGATGGAAAAGCATGAAAATCTTATTCATCATAAACGGTAAATTGTCTTGTTTTACCAGCCCATACCCAACCTTCGCATTGCGGCCGAGGGTTTCTTGGAGACGTGCCCAACATTGATACTCGGGTTTATAATCGCTCGGCATAATAATCAGCATTCAATGAGACTACCAAAATACGCCTTGAGTCTTGTTGGCTATTCATAATTCCATCTTGTATCACTTGCAGTTGTTTTCATTCTCCTTTTTCAATCGATTTTATCTCATTGAAAATATTCGTCTCCTTTGGAGAATCCAACAAGACCGCCCACAAATTTTCTATTAAACTTTCAACACATACTCTGGCGAACTACCAGTAGAATAGTTGACCGAGACCCACAATACTTGGATGTTGAGGTCGAGCATTTGAATGAAGTTTAACTTTTCAACCAGCGTTTTCTCATTTACAACTCTAACTCTAGTTAAGAAGTTTCTTTTCCTTTATTTGAACAAACTTCCTCTAATAGAATTTAAATTTGTAGCATGATGTTTTATGATATTCAAATTTTAAATATCTGTCGCACTAAGTACTGAGCGACTGTTTTCGTTTCCATATTTTAACATCCTTAAACTATCGTCTAACATTAAAGGAAAACTTGTGGTGTGTAATTTCTCTTGTAAGTAATAAACAATTTACTTTCTTCATTAAACTTTCGTGTAAAAGTTTTTCTGTCGTCGCAAACTGAGATTAACAGCATGAAGATGGAAGAACGAGAGTTTCAATAAATGTACACGTGTAAGTGTGGTGGGTGACAACGACATCATCTTTAAAAACTTTTCTCTGTTGACAACCCACCGCAAAAATTACTGGTAAACATTTATGCAATATGTTCTGATAAATTTTCTGAATTATTTAGCCAGAAACTTTAAAAAAAACCGCAATTGTAAGCTGGAAAGCTTTCAAGCTTTATGAAGCTTTGAAGTACGAAGAATATCAAGTAAATCTAAAACAAAACTGAATGTTGTCTTTAATCCTTTTCAGTTGAAAGTGTTTTCTGCTTCGTTATCTTCTGTTTGAATACACTTCAAACTATAATAAAATTCACAACATATAAATTCGCATAGGGATGAAGTCGCTTCTGCTTTCTGCTACGTCATTTTATCGTATTTTCTAATTTGCGTATAAGCATTTTGTGATTTAATTTAATTTGTATTGCGACTTCGTATGAAAAAACATTATCAAATATCGCTTAAACCTCACAATCCGGTAATGTATACGGAAGCTTTGCAAAAACTCTGCGATTTCATCGAAGAGCTTCCTCTTAGATTATACAACCAACACCCGCAAGAAATTCCCAATATGGTTTGGAAAGCAGCGTGAAGCTTGAGGGTAGATTTAAGGGCGCCTCGAAGCGAAATTTAATTTTCTTTACCGGTTTTTGTTTCCACATTTCTATCTTTTTTTAACATCGCTTGTTCATGACTGGAATTAAGAAACTAGCAAATGATATGGGGCATGGATAAGTCGCAAGGTTGTAATATCACAAAAGTTTATCAAAAGGTAAATCTAAAACATTTTATGGTGGTGAGGTTGGAGAATTTTCAAATTAATTTCATGCAATTATCAAAACAAAATTCTTGAATAATGTTTCTAATTACTCGCTCCACTCTCAATGATAATCTTCAAAATGACTTAAAGGATTATGAAATTCATTTTAAGGATAGAACGTTATGCTATCATCGTCAATAAATCAAAGGATTTCCAAGCACATCTTAAACAAAGATGAATGAGAATTATGAGAAATATGGAGAGGTAATAAAAAATGCAAATTAGGTAAACGAACCACGTTTCACTCACTTTCAAACGAATAACTTCGCGTTGGAAATCTTTTTAAACAAGATTTGCTTTGAATGATAAAAACAATCATCTCATTACGCTCTCATTTCTTTCACGGGGAAAATATGCTTCATCTTGCGCTTTTATTTCGTATTTGCGAATCTTTTCTCATGATCTTTTTTCCTTTTATAAACTTTAAAGGTGTACGACGATAAAATTATTTAAAAAGTGTTCCCGAAACGATAAAAAGAATTATCAACATTTTACAGACATTCTCTGATAGCTTAAAGCTCGAATGAAATGATTTAAGCACTTCTTTGGTGAAAGTTTGAAGCTTTTGAGTTAAAGCAACAATTCAAGCTAATAATTTCTCCATAAATATCCACAGTCCTTTCATCGCAATGTGTATAAGATAAGATAAGAAGAAAATATTTTCATTTCCCTCCACCATCTCTCAAGCTCAACTGAGTTGTGATGTTATACATAATAAATAACATAAGTCGATTATTGACGTTTAGAAAAGCTCCCAACGGTTGTTGTTCTTCTCACAGAGAAATAATGATGGATTCTCAGACTCAAAACTCAGCATGATTGTCTGTATCTGTAACGTCGGTGTTGGAATGATGCCACTCAGGAAATGTGCAATTAAAATCATTTTATTTCCATCACCTGCTGATGCTACAAAAGAAGTGTAATTATTGTGATACTTTTTGCGATATTCAGCAATACTTCTGTGAACTTTGAACTCTCAAAATGTGTTTTTCATTGTAAACTTTCAGTTTATGTTTGAAATAAGAAGCTTTGTCACTGCACAAAGAAGCTTTGAAGAATATTTAAGAAAGTTTTAAATTTCATTGGCAGATAAGAAACATTTTTACTAGATTTATCCAACATTGAATCAGAAGAGATTAGCGATGACAAAAACTGTTTCATTATGAAGTAAATAATCACTTAAGTCACTCTCTTACTTCACCATGTCACATCAGGATTCAGGAAAGATGATGATTGGATTAAAATACCATCTCGATACAGAGTCATGTTAAGATTTTATGGATGTTTGTATTTACAGCGATCACGACAATGATCCACTTTGATTAATTATTTCACCCTTAATTATTGCACATGTATGTGAATGTTGTATATAATGAAGCTGTGTACAAATTCACGTTTCATGGATAAGAGTTGGTAAGATTTTCTCTTCATCTTATATAAGGCAAGGAAAATCCCCAACTTTCCATCATACCTCATGTAATCCTACAGCTTTTATAAATATTTCTTATTAAGTCTTAATTCAAAACTCTCAAATATCTTTCTAGAGAATTTCTAAATGTAAACATCCTTAATTATATTCCTTACAAAGTACAATTCTGTTCCTTTCCTTCACATTAAAATACGATGTTGTCATTGATGATTTAACTTTTTGTACACCTGTCGTATCTCAGCAAGATACTTCCTGGAATAATTCTCGATTTGTTTAAAGTCAATCCTACGAACCTCTACTATAATGAACTTGGGTATATCTTACACCCTGCTGTGAGAAATATTTCGTATGAATTCATTACAAACTTTTCCTTCTACCCTTATTATGGGTTTTGAGGTTTTTTTTTAACTTTTCTCATTTCAAGGTGCTGATGAAGACAAAGTTGCTTAATTGAGATTGATTTTCCTTATCAATGACGCTGAAAGCTTGAATAAATATATTGACGAACAGATAAGACTCGATCTAACCTACATTTTCCCTGAAAATCCATAGAAATTTTGTTTTAAGCTTCATGAATTTTACGTGGAAATATTTGAGATCAACCTGAGACGAATCTTTTCTCATTCATGTCTTGTACCAAACTAAAATGAGAGATAAGAAATTGACTGAGATTTATCTGAGTGTACTAAAGATTTATTTTGTTGAGTCTGCGCGCTTTAGAAGAGAAGATTGAAAAGTTTTTTAAAATATAAATTGTCTCATATTTATCTACACTTTCCATAGTGTAATTCCTGACATAATTAACATAATCAATAGATTACATGATGTAATGAAATTTTGAAGGATGTTTAGGGATCTTTTACTGCACCCTCGTTGCTCTTCAGATCAATGTATAAATTATGATAAGAAGGAGAGATTTTTAGTTATGAATTTAAGCATTGCCAGCGGCATTATAAGTTGTTAACTTCAGCAGTTCTGTCAAGAACTCTTCTTTCATGACTTCAGCATTTATCTTATGAAGGCGATAATAATGACTGAAGACAGGCTAGAAAAACTGTCGTTACTTCTACGTTTAAGTTAACTTTCAGAAACGATATCTGAATTCACTGAAACATATTTGTCAACTTCAGAGTCAACTTAAAACTTTTTGTGCATTCAACATTTTCTGGGTTTCAATTAAACAAAAAATCATAATTTTTGAAACGACTTTCTTCCTTTACTTGTGAAAGTTTTTATTTTATAAAGGCAGGAAGATGACGATGTACTGGTTGACATTTGAAAACAGTTACGGGCGCTTTGGTGATTCATCCAATTTCCTCCTTTTTATTTCTTCTTTACCTTTCGAGACTTTCAACTCGATGGAAAACGAACGGAAGTTTTTTAATTTAACGAGTTGAAATGGAAAATGTTTTAGAATATTCAAGTTTTAAAATAAAAACAATTTGAAGGAAACTCAAACGCAGCTCATGAAGAAACTCATAGTTTTAAGCTGAAACTTATTTCTGAACGAAAATCATTTAAATTATAAAATTTTCTTTGACTTTTCATATTTCTAAAACTTTTGATCAATTAGTAATGACATTCATTTCTATTATGAACCTTGAAATGTTATTAATGTTGATTATTTTTAATTTTCAGACAGAAAATTTGAAGATTTAGATTGAGAAAAAATATTTTTTCTACCTTAAAAAATTTTAGAGAAATTAATTTTATGACAACCTAAATATTTAAGAAACCAGATTTAATAGATAAAGTTGATTCAACTTTACTGATAATGAATTTTTATGTCTTAGTAAATATCTACATAAACACTTGTTTATAAACGACAACAAAGAACTTGTGAATATTGACTTGATGCGTCAATATCATCAAATCTTCTCAAGCTCACTTTCAATAAGTGACAAATTGAGATTAAATTATCTCAGTTTGAATTAGACCGCTTCTGAAGATGATAGCATTCCCATCGAAATAAAGGTAATATCTTAAATCGAAAAGTAAAACAGAAATAAATTAGTTTGTAGATAATAGAAACAAACATTTTACGCTAAAGTTAACGCGATGTAATTTGATGCTCGTCATCAAAAAATTGGAACAAATTCTTCTTCAATTTTCTTTTTATTTCTGCAAGAATTTAAGAAAACATTGCAAAAGCTTATTGAGCAAGATGAATTCAATTAGAGTTTATTTACATTTACGTAGCAATTTTAGACTTAAATTTGTAAAACAAATCTTGAAAGAAAAATAAACATGCAGGCAAGAAAGAGAATCAACGTTGGCTTCATGTCTACTAAAACTTAACATTTTCATCACAAACATAGTCATAGAATTATTTTATTTTTAAAACAACTATTGCATGTCACGAAATATCTTCGTTGGAATTAGTAACCAGGCAACATACACATGAAGAGTGGCCAAAAGAAAAAGATTTTGTAGTATGTATCGAGCTTTAGTGTTAGTTCAACTTTATATCCAACTCTACATCGAGCATTTCATTGTAAAGATAAGCCACAACCGGCGTCTCCTACACAAATGCAAACACAGATGACATGTCGGTATGTGAGCTTACAAAAACTTGAGTAAATTTTCGCATACGCCAGACTTGATTTTTATTTCTTCTGGCAACAACACTTTCTCTCGAGAATTAAAAATTATTCCAGAAAGTTCTCGTTTATAAATCAGTGAAATTAAAATCAGTTTTAATGTAAAAAGAATTAACGGAAACCAAAGTAAAACATTAAATATTGTTCGACACATAATTTCTAAATCAATCAAGTGGATTAAACTGTTTAATTTCACCGGGTTAGTTAGATAAGAATTTTTAAAATTTTTGCTGTTAAGGGTCATAAAATTCATTTCAGTTTATTCAATTGACAAGTGTTATCACATATCAGGGATTATTGCATTTAATGTAATAAAATTCACAACAGACTTGATTACTGAATCATTCAAAGGTAATTTTCTGTAATAATTTCTTTACTTATCTCACTAACACAAGTAATTCATTCAGCGAATATTTTAAGCTGTTTAATGAATAAAAAACTTTCCCATTGAATGTCTATACTTACAAATAAGCACTGCTGACTTAGAGAATCTCGAATGTTTTTCTGTTTATTTCTTTTTTAAGATGCCTTTCTTTTTATTTTCTGTTTCTATTTCGAAGATTCAAGACCGTTAAACTGATAAATTTGTTTGCACGTGTTGACGTAAATTCGCATTTTAAATTCGTTCTATTTTAATCTTGTATGAATTTCTATTTTAACGATAGAAACTTGCTGACGGATAAAAAATGTCTTCGCTTGATCCAAAAATTTACAACTTGTCGGAAAAAGTTGCCAACTTGCATTACTTCAACTTGTTGCCTTTCAACGAGAATGGCCAAGTTGAGACACGTGAATTTCTTCAAAAGATCGTCGATATTTTAATGGACTATGTTGAGTTGACATTCAATCGAGAAGAACCCGTCTTAGACTTTTATCAACCTGAAAATCTTCATGAGAAGTTTGATATGAAAATATCGGATGAAGGATTTCCATTACAACAATTAATCATTGATTGCGCAAGAACTTTGAAGCATCAAGTAAAAAGTGGACATCCACGATTTATGAATCAACTCTCTAATGGCTTAGACATGGTAGCGATGGCTGGTGAATGGTTGACAGCTACAGCAAACTCAAACATGTTCACTTATGAAGTCTCGCCTGTTTTCATTCTCATGGAACATGAAGTGTTGGCGAAAATGAGAGAACTCATTGGATTTACTGTCGGAGACTCAATTCTGGCACCAGGTGGTTCAATTTGCAACTTGTATTCGGTGCTTCTTGCAAGATATCACAAATTTCCCGGAGTGAAACTCAAAGGAAGTGCAATTCTTCCTGGAGAGTTGGTGATCTTCACATCGGATCAATGTCATTACAGTATCAAGACAGCAGCTGCTATCACTGGCATTGGAATCCATAATTGCATCTTTGTTCCTTCTGATTTTCATGGTCGAATGATTCCTGAAGAACTTGAACGGTTGATTAAAGAACAAAAAGAGAAAGGAAAGATTCCCATTATGGCAATCGCTACTGCTGGTACAACTGTCTTAGGTGCATTCGATCCACTGGTAAAAATTGCCGAGATTTGCAAAAGGTATGACATTTGGATGCATGTTGATGTGAGTTGATACATTTTGAACTTTAATTAAACTTTCTTTAACACAAATGATGTTTATAGGCTTCATGGGGTGGTGGACTTTTATTTTCTCATAAGCATCGTCATCCACGATTAACTGGAATTGAATTAGCTGATTCCGTGACATGGAACGCACATAAATTGATGGGATCAACATTACAATGCGCAACTTTCCATACGAAACATGATGGAATCTTAAAAGATTGTGACAAAGTATCAGCTGAATATTTATTCATGACTGATAAATTTTATGACACTCAGTACGATACTGGTGATCGTGTGATTCAATGCGGTCGACACAATGATGTCTTTAAGTTGTGGTTACAATGGCGTGCACGAGGAAATGTTGGTTTTGAACGACGAGTTGACCAATTTATGGATCTTGCGCATTATCATGTTCAACGTTTAAAAGAGAAAAGTGAAACGTTTCATCTTTTGATGGACCCTGAGTTTGTTAACATCTGTTTCTGGTACATCCCAAAGCATCTTCGAGGTACTCCACACAATGAAGAGAAAACTGCTGCAATGGGTCAATTATGTCCCAAAATCAAATCTCGAATGATGAAAGCGGGAACTTTAATGGTTGGTTACACTCGCGATGGCAGAGTTCCCAACTTTTTCCGATCGGTCATTTCAAACGAAGCTGTAACTGAGAAAGACATCGACTTTTTGATGGCTGAAATCGAACGATTAGGAGACGATTTGTAAATAAACGAAAATATTTTGTAATCTTAATGAAATTGAAATAAAAAAGAAATTATTTTATTATCTGAGAATTTATTTTCTGTTTGCTGAATTCCATTTCGTGAACCACAAACAAATTACAAGCTCGCCTAAAATCCAACCACCAATGACAACGAATCCTAAGTAGATCGTTGGATTATGGAAAGGAAGATTTGTAAACATGATGTTGACGAATGTTTTGGAGGGTAATGTAAATGGAAGCATGTAGCTGAGAAACTTAAGATAATGTGGAACTCCTTCCACTGGCCAGAAAACTCCTAAAATAATTTTGTTTTATGTTATGATTTCGATGAATATTTGAATAAAATTCCTTACCACTCAAACACATGAAAGGATAAGCAATCATGACGGAGAAATATGAAGCAACAAGTGATGAATCTGTTGACACAGAAATCACTAAACCGTAGAGAATTCCAGCCAATCCAAGAAGAATTATAAGCGTTGTGAAAAGTAAAATGAATCTCCATGTGTCGACATCATTACCGACCAGCACAGCATAAACAACAAACTCAAGTGCTTGAAGTGTTGCTATGGCTGATCCTATCACAAGATGAGAAAGGAAAAATTGAAAGGGATTTGCACCAGCAACAAGTGATCGATGCCAAACTCCACTTCGTCGATCATCAATCAAACACATTGAAGTGACGTAAGATGAAATTGCGAAAAATGTTCTGAAATGGAAATTGTTTTGAAATTGTAATTGAAAGAAGTTGAAGCTTGACTTACGCAACAAGAAAACCTGGAACAATTGAATTCTTAAATTCATCATCTAAAGCTCCATGAAATGTTTCAAACATCATCGGAATGTGTCCCATTTTCTCTGGTTTTCCACACACTTCCATGATTCTTCCAATAAAATCGTGATAAGCATCGTAAAGTTTTCTCTGAAGAAATGTCACAAACTGCAAATTTGTGTTGTCAAGATAAACTTGAATGATTCCATCGTCACTATAATCAAGATTGAAATCTGATGAATATCTGAGCAGTGGAAAGGCTTCAGTGAAGTTTGATGCGAAGAAAATGAAGCCTGTGAGTTCACCACGTTTGGCGTCGTTCTCAGCTTCATGTCGACTCTTGTAGAATTTCTGTTAGTCAAGACAAAGTCATTGTATATGTGTAATGATATAAATGAATTTAGTTATGTAAATATTTTCACTTCACCTTTACAACGAAATCAATTTCTTCTATAAAACGACATGAAATTTTATTTACTCTGCACTCGTACTCTTCAACTTCCACAGCTGTAAAGGATTGATTTGAACAATCGTGTTGTCTCATTACCTCATCATTTATGATTCCTAATTGTAAACCAGTTGGTTTACCTCCGATTGTATTGTGGAGACAAATGATAGCAACGAATGGAAGAATGAGAGCAAAAAATAAAACTCTTGAGAGAAATCAAAATAATTTTAATTAGAATTTTAAGCAAGGTCAGAAAACAAGTTTAGTGATTTTTAATTTACCCGGGATTCCTGATCAATTGAATTACATTTTTCATTAGTAGTGCTTGCAGCTTTCGTCTTCCTTCTGTCTTATTTCTTATGTGTTTTTCATGATCATTTTTTGCAGCTCGTTCAATGAATTCCGATGTTATGAACTGCCTTCGTCCCATCTCTTGCTGTTCACTAAGCTTTAAGAAAGCTTCTTCTAAACTTGTTGTGTTACATTGTTGCAGGAGATTATGTGTCGTGTCTTCAGCGAGTAGAATTCCTTTTCTCATGACCCCCACATGTGACGAAAGTCTCGCTTCTTCGATGTAATGTGTCGTCATAAGAACTGTGATGTTCTTTGTTCTCGTGATATCTAACAAAAAACCCCAAATCTTACTTCTTAAAAGAGAATCAACGCCAACAGTTGGTTCATCGAGGATTAAAAGTTGTGGTTCATGAATTAACGCAACAGCAAATGAAACTCGTCGTTGTTGACCGCCACTACAATTTCTTACCAATTTTTCAGTGTCGTCAAGTTCCAAAAGATCACAAAGGAACTTTGTACGTTCTTTAATTATTTCAGATTTCATTCCATTCATGATCCCAAAGAAGCGAATCATTTCGTTAATTGTAAATTCACTAATCAGGGATATTTCTTGAGGCATGTAACCGATTTTATTAACATTTGCTTTAACACGATCTCCAAAAACTGTGATATTCCCACGATCCAAGGTATTTGTTCCAACAATGCATGATATCAAAGTCGTTTTCCCACAACCCGATGACCCCATCAATGCGTATCTATTTAAATATCTTAAATTATAAAAATTTTCTCCATTTTCCAGAACAAAAAGAATTTCTCACATTGATCCCTTCTTCACATGCATGTTAAAATCTTTTAGAACGACCTTGACATCCGACCTCGAGTCGTAAAGTTTGTAGGCGTTCGTAACTTTAATTACACCCATCACAAAAATATTCTTAACTCTAAGCGGTCTTTCCTAAATGACCTGTTTGTTTGAATTCACTCCACTAAATGAGATTGAAAATTAAATCTAAGCTGAACAAGTCTTTGAATTGCTTTTTTCATAATTATTTCTTTAAATTCCTTGTTTTGTTATGGTTTGACGTCAAGCAACATGTGAGCTGATCATTTAAATATTAAGTAAATTTGCTGAAACAAGAACAACTTTAAACATCTGTTATAAAAGTTATTACATGGAGCTGGCAGATAAACCCTGTCGATTGTGGAATCCCTGAGTGACTGGATGATTGCTTACAATTAAATATCAAGCATGAAAGTTTAATTTTGTGATTTTTGCTTTGTCTCTTTTTGGTACGCTTGATCGTTATAGAATGTAAACAAAACGTAAGTAAATAAGCATGTTGAGATACCAGTTTTTTTACTCTCGATTATTCAAATAATTAAATTTTTGAAAACAAAAGTAAAGAGATGAATTAATGTTGTTAATTATTGTTATTCATAAGGCATTAAACTTTAAAAAAAATATTTAGATGTGTGTATTGTTACGAGACCTAAGTTAAGACAATAAAGATAATTTTGTTGTCAAAGATAATTAATTGGATATCTAACTGAGAATTTATTTCTGCTTCTTTTTAACGTAGCTTTGAATATAAAAATCAGCGAAAAAATAAATTAAGATTGCAGCATTTATCGCTTGTACATAAAACAGTCTCGTCACATGGCAACTTGGAAGAATAGCAGCAACATTTTGTCCAAGAATGATCACAAGTTGAATCAATTGAAGTCCCGTGATGAAAGGCTTCGCTTTCTTTGTGTACTTGTCTAATGATTTGTAAGAGCTTAAGAAGTAATAAAAGTACATGAAAATATGTACAAATGAGTTGACAAAAGCTGTATGAAGGTCCATGATTGCTGATTTTATTATGAAAATAACGAAAAAAAAATCACTGTCAGTTGTCATCAATAAAAGATTTCTTAGAAATTTGTAACTCACTTGAACAATATTTCATAAACATCCAAATAATTGTCGCCGTGCTGATATGATGATACACATGAAGCAATGAAACTTGATTTTGTTTTTTTCTTAGCACAAACACAACAGTCTCAATCAGTTCAGCTAGCCGCAAATGTAAAAACCACCATTGAGCTATTTTATATTCCAAAAGCTTTTCTCTGTCATTGAAATCACTGAGACACTTCCAGAATGTATCTATTTTAAGTCCAAATTTGAGTGCCCACGTCACGAAAACTGTACACAAAATGACTTGAAGAATGTTATAAACTCTCGTAAAGTTTGTAAGTTGGAATGGCTTCCGTGTTTCCATGAACTTTGGGCCAACTTTCAACACTAGAAAGAGGTAAGTTGTGAAGATGAAAATCATCGGTGCCCATGATGCCGATATCGCCCACGATTCTACAATCGAAGACACAGGTACATCTGATGCTTTCAAAACTTCCATATTTCTTATATTTATTTATTTATTTCGTGACTCCTTTTAGGTCTTAACACTTTAGGAATTCATAAGCCACTAAAAGTGAATCCTAATAAGTTTTAGACTTATATAGATATGTACGGTATTTACGTAAGTACATTGAAAGCAGTCACCCCAAAAGAAAAAAATAATAATAACGTACGTTCTTTTGAATGGAAATGAGACATCACAAGAACAATAATTAATAATGTTTTAAACATAGTGGGTATATGTGTCAGAGTCTCGTACCTGAGAGAAAATACTGAATGGTGATTAGGTACGTCAATGCTTTTGTTTTAATTCTTCTTCAATCGCTAAACATTTACAAATATCCGATAATATTTGAAACAGTAAGAAAAAACTGTTTATTTGAGACAGCTTATTGTTGTCCGTTTAACTATTGATTTATTTGTTGTTAAGGCTCTTAGATCAGTGGCACTGCGATGACGTTCATATATGTTTCGTATTTTCATCTCGTGATCTTACATCATGATCAAAATTGTTAATTTTTTCCTTTTTTTGGTCTACATTCACATGTGAAAACAGCATGGAGTTGAGTTGATTACATTTCAAACCAAACTTACGATTGATGTTCTTCAAGTGTGAATAACTTGGTCATTACAATTCTAAATGTTTAAGAATTATTCATTGAATGAGTGCAATAACCATTTTAATTGATTTTTTAGATACAAAAAGGTTAAACATTATTTGATGCTATGAAAAGCTATTTATAAATATTCAACCTCAGACAGAATTATTATGTGTAGACTTTATTGTTATAGCTATAAAACTTAACACAATAAGATCGTCAACAAACAATTACGTCGAAGATCCATGGGGTTCACAAATAGAGAGAAGAATTATTTTTTATTTCAAATTATTTTCCGAACTTGCTTCACATAAATTGCACGACCATGAAGAATTGGTTTCTCTTCTTATCGGATAACGGCCTTTGTCCATTGTAAAATTCTAGACTTCCCATTCTTCTTTTTCTATCAAGCAAGCTTATTACAAAACAATCTTTCACAAACCATAAAAAAATCTCATTACTCAGCTTTTATTTTTACGTCATAGTTCGTTGGAAATCAAACTTTAATATTTTTATTCCCTTCGAGTATATTTGCGCAACATAAAAAAGAATAGAATTTACATGAGTTGACTTTAGACTCTTTTGTTATTAATAAGCAAAGTTAAAGGAGCAAATCAAAGCGAATACCTATTTCAATTAAGAAAAGTGAGAATTGGCACTGAAAACTTATAATTAATCTGAATTTTATGACGGTTTAAATTGAATTGTCTTTTGCACTCTTTTTTGACCAATTAAGGTCTTTAATTTATTCTTTTACTCACTCATGTGTACAAATATTTAATAATTAACAGTTATTGGGAAAAAGTTATAAAAAGAATTGAGTCAATGTTTAATAAAATGTAAGGCGAATTCTGATGATTCTTTCAACGGTAAATACGCCATTTGCGAAGTTCAACAGGAAGAGATTTGAGAGCCATTCCTGACTCATTTTTCAAATACAACTCGTGAAAAGCAACACCGTCAAAGTTTAAAATCTTCTATGGGATGAGAGAACAGAAATAAATTATGAAACGAAAATCTTCCTGACTTTACTTACACTCATTGAATCCAGAAGACCTGTCACTTCGAAGCATTTATTGATGAGTCCATAAGAAAAGTTATAAAGATGTGCAATCTGAAAAGCGTTTTCATTGATGATAACAGGAAGTCGAAGCTCTTTTGGAGTTACTTTTTGTTCGACATTATAAACCGTTAATAAAATGATGTCTGCTTGTGTTGTTGTGATGAAACCATTCGAAGTCATAAACACAAGCGTTAAGATGTCGTGAACAAATCGTTTTGGCACTAAATTCAAATCATATTTTTCAAGTTTCTTTTCGTTGATCAGCCATTTCAGAAGCTGGAAGCGAATTTGTTTATGATTTGGATATTTTTCTCCTTCTAATAATTCCATTAATGGTGGTAAGTTGAAACTGGGAAATATTGGAAAATCGAAGTGTTGTTGAATGTCCTCAGAATGAATTTTCTTTCCGTAATAAGAAAATTTTTCTGGATCATCTTTTTCATCAAAATTAATAATTCCAACGGCCTTTAAGATGACTTCCATTATAATGTTAATTGAATTTGAAGGTCTTGTAATGTCGCAATAATATGGAAAGAATTTTCTATCAAACTTTTTCAAAACATCGATGATAAAATTGAATTGTTTATCAACACATTGCTTTTCCAGAGGATCTGTCAGCTTCTTCGTTTCAAAAAACTTTAAAACATAAATATTAGCTATTAATTTAATTACTTTTTTCTATTAACTTATGACTTACTGTATCGTATTGATTGATCGAGTCTTTGATGTGTTCCAAAAATTTCTTCGAACCTGAATTAAAAACCTTTTCAGCAATTTCTTTGATAGCAGAATCAAGATCTCTTGGTAGAGCGTGAATAAAATTTCTGAGGAAAAAGAATTTCGGTTTAGGTTTAATCCATTCACCTAAATTCGTTTTCAAGAATTTTTCTACTTCAGGATAACGAAGGACGTCATTTCCACTAAGTGACGACAAGATCGTCAACTGTTGATCGTTTAAACGGAGAGTATTTCTCAACGCTTTCTTGTTATATTCCTTTGTTCTCAGTGGATTTAATTTTATCTCAGAATTGGAAAAATATCGCCAGCGACCAGGAAAAATGAGAAAATCTGAATCATTTGCAATGACAGCAAGTACAGCAGGATTATTATTAGCATATTGAGCGATTTCTGCATCGCAGTCTTTTGTCAATGCATATTTCATCAATCCATGACGTTTAGCAAGAGCTTTTACCATATCGTAGTGTGAAAGAGTTCGTGTAATCATCCAATCTCCCGACTCTACTAAGATATCAGATAAAGGCGTATGAGATTTTACTCTTTTAATTATTTCAGTTATTCTCTCGTCTTTTTCTTGATCACGTTTCAAGATGGTTTCTTTTTTCTCTTCCGGTGGAAGCTTGTCTTCAAAGAATACAAGATTGGCATACTTTGATAGTTCGTTCAAAATTTCTTCTAGGTTTTCTTCATACATTTGATGTCTTCCACCACATAACATTTGTCCTTTATCTTCGACAATTGGGCCAAGTAAACCCAATAAATCTATGACAAGCACTGGTTTCTTTCCATGTGATCTAAATTAAATTTAAAATTTATTCAATGTATTTTGAAAACTTTCTAACCTAAAAAGTTTACCTCTCAAATTTCGTACATTCTTCGTGAATGTCAACTGAAGCAAATCCATTCTCTACATGACGTTTCATAAAAGTATCAAGATGTCTGACTCCCATGTTTGAAAAATTGTTTTAAACACATAGAACTTAAATAAGCAGATTATTTTGGTTTGAGAACTTCTTATATGAAACGCTCAGCACCAACTGATAAGCGAGAAATTATTTTCGAAATTGTTTATCCATTTTCGAAACAATAGTTGCATGCAAGTTGGACTTTGCTGCAACTGCTTGACTTTTTTGTAATAACTATCCAGATGTCCGGTTTGAATTCTACTCAATCACTGATGACATTTATGTAATTCTACATTCTTGTGGAATTGCAAGCCCATGGAGAATGGTTTCTCTTCTCATCGGATAACGGCCTTTGCCCATTGTAAAATTCTAGACTTCCCCTTCTTCTTCTATCAAGCAAGCTTATTCCAAAATATTCTTTCACAAACCATAAAAAAATCTCATTACTCAGTCGAATTAGTTTACACCTTTGATACATACAACAACGTCAGATTTTATTTCTACGTGATAGTTCGTTGGAAATCAAACTTTGATATTTTTATTCCCTTCGAGAATATTATGAGCAACATAAAAAAGAATCGAATTAACATAATTTGACTTAAGACTCTTTTGTAATTTATAAGCAGAGTTAAAGGAGCAAATCAAAGCGAATATCTATTTCAATTAAGAAAAGTGAGAATTGGCACTGAAAGAAACGCCATAAAATAATTTTTTTACTAATGTTATAAAGAAGAAGTTTTCATTTTTAATGTGAGGTGCCAGATGAAAGCTCATGTAATATCTAAATAATGAGCTTCACACAATCAGTCTGTTCAAATTATAAAATTTTGATAAGATTTCATTTGTTTATCTTAAATACTCATCTCACCTTTGATGGTATGATCACGTTTGAAAATTGTTCAAATAAATTTCCATTGAAATAGTCAAGTTTATTACTGACTGCTGTGTGTTATAATACTTCTTATAAGCTCTTTATTAGCTTTAAAAGATAGTACCTAATTAATCTCACATTTTTGACGATAATTTTTGTAAAAAGTACATGACATAAAATTTATGGGAAACAAATTAAATTGCCTTCTGCACTCTTTTTGTACCAATTATGGTCTTTTATTTGTGTTTTTACTCACTTATGTATACGTATATTTAATAAAAATTAGAAAAAAATTAAGAAAAGGATTGAAAAAATGTTTTAGTAAAATGTAAGGCAAATTTTGATGCTTCTATCAACAAATAACTTTCAACGGTAAATACGCCATTTGCGAAGTTCAACAGGAAGAGATTTGAGAGCCATTCCTGACTCATTTTTCAAATACAACTCGTGAAAAGCAACACCGTCAAAGTTTAAAATCTTCTATGGGATGAGAGAACAGAAATAAATTATGAAACGAAAATCTTCCTGACTTTACTTACACTCATTGAATCCAGAAGACCTGTCACTTCGAAGCATTTATTGATGAGTCCATAAGAAAAGTTATAAAGATGTGCAATCTGAAAAGCGTTTTCATTGATGACAACAGGAAGTCGAAACTCTCTTGGAGTTACTTTTTGTTCCACATTATAAATCGTTAATAAAATGATGTCTGCTTGTGTTGTTGTGATGAAACCATTCGAAGTCATAAACACAAGCGTTAAGATGTCGTGAACAAATCGTTTTGGCACGAAATTCAAATCATATTTTTCAAGTTTCTTTTCGTTTATCAGCCATTTCAGAAGCTGGAAGCGAATTTGTTTATGATTTGGATATTTTTCTCTTTCTAATAATTCCATCAATGGTGGTAAGTTGAAACTGGGAAATATTGGAAAATCGGAGTATTGTTGTATGCCTGTACAATCAGTTTTCTTTCCGTAATAAGAAAATTTTTCTGGATCATCTTTTTCATCAAAATTAATAATTCCAACGGCCTTTAAGATGACTTCCATTATAACATTCATTAGAGTTGACGGTTTTGTAATATCGCAATAATATGGAAAGAATTTTCTGACAAACTTTTTCAAAACATCGATAGTAAAACCAAATTGTTTATCAACACAAAGCTTTTCCAGAGGATCTGTCAGCTTCTTCGATTCAAAAATCTTTAAAACAAAAATATTAAGTATTAATTTAATTACTTTTTTCTATTAACTTATGTCTTACAGTATCGTATTGATTGATCGAGTCTTTGATGTGTTCCAAAACTTCCTTCGAATCTGAATTAAAAACCTTTTTAGCAATCACTTCAATAGCAGAATTAAGATCTTTTGGTAGAGCATGAATAAAATATCCTAGAAAATCGAATTTCCTGTTAGCTTTAATCCTTTCACCTAAATTCGTTTTCAAGAATTTTTCTACTTCAGGAAAACGAATGACGTCATTTCCACTAAGTGACGATAAGATCGTCAACTGTTGATCGTTTAAACGGAGAGTATTTCTCAAAGCTTTCTTGTTGTATTCTTTTGTTCTCAGTGGATTTAATTTTATATCAGAAATGGAAAAATATCGCCAGCGACCAAGAAAAATGAGAAAATCTGAATCATTTGCAATGACAGCAAGTACAGCAGGATTATCATTAGCATATTGAGCGATTTCTGCATCGCAGTCTTTTGTCAATGCAAATTTTATCAATCCATGACGTTTAGCAAGAATTTTTACCATATCGTAGTGTGACAAAGTTCGTGTAATCTTCCAATCTCCCATCTCTACTAAGATATCAGATAAAAGCGTATGAGATTTTACTCTCTTAATTATTTCAGTTATCGTCTCGTCTTTTTCTTGATCACGTTTCAAGATGGTTTCTTTTTTCTCTTCCGGTGGAAGCTTGTCTTCAAAGAATACAAGATCGGCATGTTTCGATAGTTCTTTCAAAATTTGTTCGAGGTTTTCTTCATACATTTGATGTCTTCCACCACATAACATTTGACCTTTATCTTCGATAATTAAACTTATAAATCCCAATAAGTCTATGACAAGCACTGGTTTCTTTCCATGTGATCTAAATTTAATGAATTATTGATTTAACTTCAAATTAAATGCTTTTTAATCTAAAAGGTTTACCTCTCAAATTTCATACATTCTACGTGAATGTCAACTGAAGCAAATCCATTCTCTACATGACGTTTCATAAATGTGTCAAGCTGTCTGACTCCCATGTTCAAAAAATTGTTTTAAACACACAGAACAAAATTAAGCAGATTAATTGGTTTGAGAACTTTTTATATGAAACGCTCAGCACCAACTGATAGGCAAGAAGTTATTTTCGAAAATCTTTCTTCAATTTCTTATAAATATACACATGCCCGGTTTGAATTCTTCTCAATCACTGATGACATTTATATAATTCCAAATTCTTTTATTAAGAATGGATTGGTTTCGCTAGCTGTAATCTTGAGTATACTTTAAATGTATTGATTTCGCTAGCTAGCATATACATGTTAGCATTAACAAAAAAATTAATTTTTTCATTAAAACAAATAACGAGTAGAGAACGCGAAAACGCTTTTATACTTTTTACATAACATTTAACTTACTGAATAATTATTTGGACAGCAATGCTGTCATCATCAGAACGTTTCGTTCAATACTGAGTAAGATATATATATATTTATTTTATATTTAGATATTATATACAGTGCAAGCGCGATTAGCGAAAACCGAAGGGAGTCACAATTAACGAGCTTTTCCTCTAAATGAACTTTTTCGAAAATTTTGTTGAAAAACTCGTTGTCGACCTAGCGATGCATTTCAATATACATCAAAGATAATGCATCCTTAAGAACTTTGAGTCATTTTTCTCGAAGATTTGAACGGCTTTCACCGATATTTTTCAATTTTATTATTATAATTTTTTTTTGTTTTAGATTTTTTTTTCAATGAATTTACGCGCATTTTTATCTTGACGCGTCTCTAATCTATAGTAAAGTGATAAACAATTACTATAAACGCGTTGAGAATGTAAAACTGCGTTTTTTTCTCTTATTTACTTTCACTGAGAGTACTTTCAATATAAACTCTCGTGCTCATTACGGAGCCATGCTTTCAACGAATTTATTCGTTCAACGAACGAAAATTGTTCGAGAATGTGAGTGTGTCGAAATTTATCGAGCTTTTACGCTCAAGGGAATTTCACTAATCGCGCTTGCACTGTATATATATATTTCATGATAAGAAAAATTATAGCTTACAGTAAGACTGATAAAAGATTTAGACGCTTTGATGAATTTTTATTTACGAATGAAAATTTCTTTGCAAATTCTTACAATAATTTGAAAATCTTACAACTCAGAAGAAAAAGATTTTTATTAATTAATGCTTGTCCACACGAATCCTTTTTTATCCGAGTAAAGTCCATCAGCGAGCTCTTCTGGTTTGGAGTAAGGTTCAGTGCGATTATAAAAATATGTACTGGGAGCGTTCATTATGAATTCCATGGTATTTGCAATTCTTCGTGGTATGTCTTCTTCATATCCAACAAGATAAGTCGATGGGTCAAACTCTTCGTTTGGATCTGGAGACGAAGTTGTCGGAACAAGCCATGTAAGTACTGCAGATTTTTCACAAAATGTATCAACGATGAGCGAACGAATCTGAGCGTAATATTTCTTTCCTTTGCTCATTAATGAGACAATATCTCCAACTTGATAATAGAAACCATCATGAAACACATGAGTCTTAGTTTTGGTTTCTGCACAAATATTTGCTGGTGTTTTAATTGGACGGCTGCTTTTAAAAGTGTTGGAACGTCGTGATGTTACTTTTGACTTTTGCCTTGCGTTGGATTTATTCTTAAATCTCGTGGATCTAGTGCTCTTTCTTACTTTTGCTTCCACAACATTAGTTTCCTTAACATTAAGGTCTTTTGGCGGTTCCTTGTCCACTGTCTCAGTTGATGGAGTTGGTTTTTCTAAAATTTGATCAGATTTTTCACTTTCGTAGCAGTCATTACAAATTTCCGCGTTCTCAGAATTTTTCCTCCATAATATTGATTCAGTTTTCTCACATTGAAAGCATTTTGGATTCATTTTTACTTGGTTCTTGATGGAATAATAAGTTTTAAGTTTTAATTTGTATCTTTTTGTTTGTTTACGTTTTATGCAATTTTCGAAATTATAATTTTCGAAAATCGAAAATGTTTTTTATTTTTCTTCATAATCCGATTAAAAAAGTGCGTCTTATGTAGATAAAAAAGAAAATTATAAACAAACATTCATAAAAATTTTGAAAACTTTAACAATAACGCACATTACTAACAGCACATAAAATGAAAGTGGGAGAAAAGGAAAATATTGGACTTTCTACAGCAGATGCATTAAAAAAACTTCACGATGATATTGCTACGGTGCTGGAAAACTTTCAGAATAGAAAAAATAAAAAACTTCCAAAGGATAAGAACGAAATTCTTCCAAGCTATTCAATTTTTATCACACTGCTGGTAGTTATTGGTTTGATTTATACATCATTCTACTTCACTGGAGTTTTATTGTTTCTAATCCTTGTGTTGAATGTTGTATTTGTTCATCGTGAGGAGAAATTGAAAAAAACAGAACTCAAGAGAAAAGCTGAACAATTATTAGAAGAAATTAACTTAAGTGTAATATTGTCTAAAGATTGGAAGAGTATAAATTACCCTCATTTGTATTCACCATTATCGCCATGCATTAGTTTAGTCTGGACATATCGTGATAATGAATTAGTCAATCTTCCAACTGCGTTGCTTGTTGAAGGCGACCATATCGTAATGCGATTGGGAATGCATTCCCCGGGTAGTTGTAGTCAATTAGTAAAAGATTGTAATAGTAAAACAACAAAAACAAGGAAATTCAAGTTGGGTGATTCATATGGTTTAAATTCACATCCAAGTGAACCTCTGATAAAACCTAAAGCTGTTCAGCCGCTTCCAGATATCATTTGTATGATGGAGGTAAGTAAATTTAATCTCAAATGATGTTGCTTTATGTAATAATAATTATTCTCAGCACACACCATATGTCGATAATCTTAAAGCATCTTTGGAAAAGTTTCTCGATCGACCACCAACAATTCATAATCGTCAAAGACATATTCTAACAAATCATTATATGCAACGTTATATTTTTGTTTTAACATTAATTCTTATCTTAACAACCATAACATTGCGAGCTTTCGACAGTTATTACATCAAAGGTAAAGTTCATCACACAACTTGGTACAATATTGGAGTGTTGAATTGCGTTTCATCTTTAATTTCACTTCTGCCTTTGATATTTCCATTGATTTGGATAAATTTACATCATTGGGGAACGGCTCGTTTGGAGACACTTCTGTCAATTCCACAGCCACTCATGCATACTGAGAAACTGAAATCGTCACCAGAAATGATGGACACGCCGACATCAGGTGACATGGATCTTCCAATACTCCCAAGAAGACAAGTTTGGTGCAATTATTTAAGCCTTTTAAATGGAAGTTGTGAATTGTTAAGTCGATCAACGAATATTGTTCAAATTTTGGGATCAATTTCTGCTTTCTGTTGTGTTGATAAGAAAGGAATTTTAAGCTGGCCGAATCCAACACCAGAAAAAGTTTTCTTCTTAACCGATTCGACGACAGCCAATTCGAAGAGTTCAAGTGAATGCAGTTTGGAGTCGGAAATCAGTAATGAGCAATCAAAAGTTACAGCAGAAGTTCTCGACATAACGCATGATCAAAATAGTCCTTTTAAGCTTGAATTTGATGATCATGAATGGAAGAATTATATAAATTCTTTGAAACCTTTAGGTGAGTTCTTAACATGAATGTTGTTGTGGCAGTTTAATTGAAAATTTCTCCTCGTTCAAAGGTCTTGCAATTTTAGTTAACACATGCTGTGAAAAGACACAATTTTCTTATTCAAAGTTTTGTGGTCACATAACTGCATCATCTTTGATTGATAAGAATTTAGTGCCCGCAACAAACCGGTATGCAACTTCAGACTATGATTTATGTGCTAGTTTTATGCATGGGTTAGTATGCGTTTATGTTTTGCATTTTGCTTTAACTGTTAGATATTATTTTTAAAGTAAGTACAAACGTCGATACTTATGTGGTCCATCAATGAACGTGTAAAAAGGTTTGAAACTTTATGACTAAATGAAGAATTCTCTTTACTTTTATTTGTTAATTGTTTTCAATCCTTTCATTTTGTCAATTTATGTCTCTTTCTTAAATTAAATTTCTTTTTCGCTGTTCTTAACACAAGCTTGCTTCTTAATTAAGAATTTATTTCTATGGGCATGAAAGAAATGGAAGAAAGAAGAGACAATCTTTCATTTAATGTGATAACTTCTAATAAAATATGTTAATTAAATGATTTTTAATTTCCAAACATTTAGTCGATGTCTTTGCGAACTTGCACGTCAAATTGGCTTTCAACCGCAAGCCAAAAATATTTTTAATCTTGAAGCTCAAATTTCAAGCTATCGACATTTACAACCAGAAGTCATTCGACGTGATATTCGCTTCACAAAATCCCTTCATTTAGCATCAAAGATCAAAGTTCCATTTCCTCACAGTCTCAGTGTTGTTGTGAAGGAAGCTCAAGGCGGATTACAGTTGTTGACACAAGGAACGGCTGACATTATTTTAGACAGTTGCGATGATTTCTGGAGTGGAAGAGATTTGCGACCTTTGAAGGAAGAAGAACGTAAACGAGCGCAAGATTTTTATCAGAGAAATGCTTTGGTAAGACATTAAATCTCAAATTGAAAATTATTTAATGAAACTTTTCTTTAGACTGCTTATTGTACAGCATTTTCATATCGTCCTTTAAGACATGGAATAACTGGAATACTTGCTGGTCCAAAGTCCAACGATTTGCTTCATCAAGACGAAGTTGCTTATCTTGAACTTCCACCTGAATCATTTGACGTTGCTCGTCATAACGATAACTATCAATGTGATTATGAAGGGCATTCCTTGTCACATTCAATCAGCTCCGATTCTCTTCTCTTCTCTGACAACAAAGAAGAGTCAGTTAACGATGTTGAAGGATGTTTTGAAATGCAATGTCATCAGATATTTATTGGAATGGTGACGATGCAATATCAAGCACAAACTGACATTGTTCAATTGATTGAGAAGTTTGAAAGAGCTTGCATAAGATTTGTTCATTTTAGTAAAGAGAATGAACTTCGATCTCGTGTGTTTAGTGAGAAAATGGGACTTGAATCAGGTTGGAATTGTCACATATCACTTCTTGCACCCGAGGAACAAAGCACAGTTTCGTCACCGAAACATTCACGACAATTAGATGGATCACCATTTGTCAACATTGAAATGAATGCAGAACTAGATTGCGAATATTCACGTTTACTTCCACAATCAAACTTCGAAGCATCAAAAGCTTTAAGTTCGTCTGCACCTTGCGCCATTTCAAATCCTGATGCGACGACAAATTATCAAGAAAAGAATGAAAAAGATTCGAGAAGAAGTTCATTGTCGAAAGATTCAGTCATTGATGGACAACCAAATGAAGACATGAACAATCAATCGTTAAGCTGCACAACTGACAGTTCAGAACAAAGTGCAACTCAAATGCCATATTTGTCAAACCGTGCAAAACTTCCACGTGGCATTAAAAATATTGAGCCACACATTCAGAATGTCGACAATGTTCCATTATTGGTTTCGTTATTCACTGATTGCTCTCCAGAAGCGACACAAGAAATGCTACGAATAATGCAATCGCATGGTGAAGTTTGTGTCGTTATGGGATCGTCAGCGAATGCGAATTCAAACACAAATATTTTTTTGCAAGCCAACTGTGCAATTGGATGTGAGCCGCTTTATCCACAAGTCTGTCAAAATTATCCAGCATACACTGAATCAAATATTTATAATAACAAACAATTGTATCTCAAGCATCAACCAGCTAAAAACTGGTTTGAATATTCAAAAAGTGTCACAATATCACCGGTTTACATAAGTCGAATGTTGAATTCACTTCCATGCTCGATTTCTGTTTGTCGTGATGATCCGATATCGATTTTGGGATTAATTGAACTTGCGAGACGCTTTTCTATTGGATTATGGAATTGTGTGCAATTTTGGTGCTGTTCGGCAGTGATGTTTTCAATCTTAAACTTATTAAGTTGTGCTATAAGTCTTCCACCAATTTTATCACCAGATTGGTCTTTATATTTGATGCTGTTCGTCGTATGTCCATTGGCAATTTCACTCGTAAGAGTTGAGCCGAATAGTGAAATTATGAATCGCGCATGTGGAAGGAAACCTTCGAATTCAATTGATATCAACACTTTCTTGTTAATCTTGTGGTTCTACGGAACAAAGTTTATTGTCTCGGTCATCATTATCATAATTGTGTACACTTTTACAGTTGATCACGTTTTTGATTTTGTTGACGAAGAAGATGAAAACTTTCTATTAGATTTAAATTTGGCACGATGCTTTACGGTGTTCGCTTTGACACTTCACCTTGTTGTCATATCTTCAACATTTGTCCATCGTGAACATTCTTTATGGAGCAAAAATCCAATAAGTAATGTCTGTTGGCTCGTCACTTCATGCACAATGTAAGAAAATCCTTTTAAATTAAATTTCTTTTTTTTAACTATTTTTATTTCAACAGTTTAATATTCCATGTTTTGCTTCTTATTTGTCAACTGACAATTAATAATCACAACTTTAATGCGATGGGAAATAAATGGCCGGTATTATTCTTGTTGATAATTTCAACATTTTTAATAATCGCTTTTGCTGAACTTTGTAAGTATCAAGAAATCAAACATAACAAGAGAAGTCAACGACGAGCACGTCTTGATTTTGGAACAAAACTGGGAATGAATTCACCATTTTAAATTCAAGTTGATTTTAAGAAATTTTATTGAATATGTGTAGTTTATGTAGAAATAAATGTAAATAGTGAAAGATTTTATTTTATGATAAATAATAAAAATATAAATTTTATGCTACAAAATATTTAACGGAAAACTTTCAAATTTTTGCAATC